TGGTCATCTGTATCTTGTTTGTGGTGTTTATTATTTTTATTTCATACTGTTGCCACTCACTCGGATGCTGTGGGTGGCTGTAACACTGATATAGTTATATAAGGGTTATAGTCCTTGTTTAGATACAGCTAAGATAACAGTGATTGTGATAATGGATAATAGGAAGGGGGGGAAGGGCATGGAGACTGTTTCCTTTGGAAGCGTGATATTTAATTATCTGCCTTACTACCTGTCCAGCCTAATATTTTTCATTTTTGTCTCTTTTATGTAAAAGAAAAGTTGGAGATAAAGAAGGCAGCTAAAACTTCTGCAGACCTGAGAGGGGGAATATGGGCTACTGTAAAACTGCTGGGGTTTTGATGGGATTTTTTTGGTTGATGGTGGTTTTGTGTTTTTTTTTTTTTTTTTTTTTTTTTTTTAAATTATTCAACAGTAGATGAGCTTCTGTCTTGGGTGGATAGCAAACTGTTGATGGTAGAAGTAATTCCCTTACATTGAAAAAGGCTGTGTTGTCATGCACAGAAAACTTCCAGAAATATACCAGAAATACTTCTGAATGATTAGAAGTCTCCTTGTGTTTAAACTTGGTCTGTCCTCTGTTTGTGTGTATATGCATGTGTATGTGTATATACGAGTAAGGTTTTTGACTGTACAGGCATCTGCAAAAAAGCACATGGAGTCAGAAGCTGATCTGTGTGTCTGTAGGAACACGTTAGCATGTGGAAGAGAAGGGGAATGAATGGAGGGATGTGTTTTGAAAACAGTACAAATATAAGAATTTATCTGTTGCCCGTTGTGAGGCTTTGTGTTTCTGTTATTGGCCTCTGGTGTGTCTTGCTATACTTGCTTAAACCTTCAGTCCAGTAGTCTGGCGTGTTGCAGAAGGGAGGAAATGCCCTGTGGTTAGTCACTAGAGGACAGGGGCTTGTGAGGCAGGTGGTCATTGCACGTAGGAGCATCCCAGTCGTTGATTTAGTTTTGTCATTACAACAGGGTTCAAAATCTGGTACAGTGTCAGGAGATGGTTTACCTACCGGTGTGGCATCTAACCTATACAAGCCCCTCTGCCTACTGTGTGGACCTTGCCTGGTTTCTCAGGATGGCTTGGCTCTAGCTTCCTCATGCTAGAAGGCGTGGGTGTTTTCCAGAGATTCGTTCAACTGTGAAAAGTTTACTAAGCAAAAACTGTGACCCTGCTTATTCTTGGAAAATAGCTCATGATTGACACTTGTCAACCCTCTTCAATCCAGTTTAGCGGGCACTCTGACAGCTTGTGTAGACACGACCGACTTGTCCATATTCCATGCCGGTAGTGCCCTACTTTGCTAGTGCTAGATAACGAGTCCTCAGGGACTCGTCAAGTGTGATATAGACTTTGTACACTAGGACCAATTCTGTTTAAAACCACTCCTTAAATCTGTTTTTGATAGAGCTTGCTTACACTGTTTGTTTATTGATTTAGTAGTGGTATGACTAGAACTTGCTGGGGGGGGGAAATCCCTTGCCTGCTGTCTGCACTGGGTGTTAACACAAGTGTATCGTTGGGGATACGTACCAGTTGTCTTGTGTGTGCTTCCTCTGTCTTTCAGTTTTTGTGCCTCTTGTCCTTGCTTGTGCTTATTGCTTTTTCACTGAAGAAAAAAGGTAATTTTCCTAATTCTTGGTTATTTTTTGTGTGGTCTTTTCCCTTCTTGATTACCTAGCATGTATTTTCTTTCATGCTTTCCCCTTCTGGTTGTGATAACCTCGTTAGTCTCTGCTTTGTGTGTCCTTCCCAGGATAATTAACCAACGTGTCCTGCTAAATGTAGGGTCTACAAAACTGGATAACCTGGGATTTTTTCCACTTGAGGAAAATGCCTTCAGTATCAGTTCAGCTCTCATAGCACTTGTTAGCTCCCACCTTCATATCGCTTGATGATGGGTACAGACATTACCTGAATGCTTTCTTGCTCCTGATGCCTATTGCCAAAGGATTAATCATTGCAGTATAGTTATTTTTGTTTCCTCTGCTTTTTCCTGACCGTGCTTTGTTAAAGGTGAGGACTTGGTGTACAAAAGATGAGGAACTGGAAGGAGATGGCTTACAGACACGGTTCTGTTAAAAAGCAGGAGTATGGTCTTGCTTCTGAAAATATGTTCCTCCTCTCACCCTTTATTTGTTGGTGACTCTCCTTGGGTTTGACCTCTAAAGTCCTTATTGAGCCATGCCTTGCCTTTGTGCTTGTACTGTGGTTTCCATTTGGGTCTGAGAGCTACCTGCAGAGAATCTGAAAGATCATTGAAAACAGCAAGTCAGTTGCCTGTAGGCTTGTATTTCCTACACAGAGGCCTGTGTTTCCGCAAGGTGCTAGGATAAATGGCCTGTTATAATAGCCTCTCCTTTGGCAGTGCTGCATAGGAAGGAGTATGTTGCTGACGCTTCTGAGCTAACAAACCACTTGCATCGTACCTGGGTGGTTGTAACTGCTGGGCAGAGGAAGGTGGGGGTTATAGCATGGATGTCCGAAGGATATTGGTAGCGATGTGCCCAGTGCTGTCTCTTATAACCAAACCTGTAAAAGGCAATTGGTCTTCTTTGCTTGTTGATATATTTAGCAATGGAGGGTTGAGCGTGCATTGTGCAATGTATGCTTTCCGTTTGTGATTGCATTAGCTTCCCTGAAATTTTGTTGGAAGATTTATTTTTTTTTTTAAATGCACGCTTAGTGTATCATAACTGTCACTTCAAGGTAAGTCCTTCAGCTGTTTTTAGGTGATAGGAGGATATGGTTTTAGTATCGTTGGTTAGAAAGAATCCATGTTAAAAGTGGATGTTTGTGTGTGTTGTCCGAGTGTACATCGATCTATATTGCATTACCTTTTGTTGCCCTTCTTGGGAGGGAGGGAATGAACTTTGCGCATTCAAGCTTTCCTGTGCTTTTAACACTTGCGAGTACAAAAGCACTTATTTCTTAGTAGTGGCAACCTTTGAACGGTCTCATTTCAGCTAGGACGGTATTGAGGTGTTGGCTGGTTTCTCTGCCTGGCTCTGAATTGCAGGGACTGCCTGCAAATCCTTTGAGTGAGAGCCATGTGGAAATTTCCAGTGTGAAGATGTGTGTGTGTGTGGGAACCACCTCCTGTTGACAGAGTACATTTCCTTACCTGACAGGCAGCTTTCAAGTTTAAAAGTGCATTATACAACGTTAAAACCAACCCTAGTGATTGAACTCTGGAGAGATTCAGGAGTAACACTTCTTACTGGTCTGGAGCATATGGATAGCTCTTGTAAAGATAGCCACAGAATAATGACCTGGGTAGGCTTGATTTTTATTTTTACAGCTAACCCATTAAGCTCAGATTCCTTGTGAACACTTGACTGTCCTTCTAACAACCGTACTTAAAGCATGTAATGCTCGCTTCCTGACTACAGCCGTTGTTCCTGATTTTGATCACTGATTAACAGTTGTTGAACAAATATTCCAGTAACTGGGGTTTACCTTGCATTTGCATAATAATGTGTTTCTGAAATTCAGCTGTAGTAATTCGTGTGTCTCCTGTGTGACTGCAGCAAAATTGTGTACTTATCCAGAAACTTATCTATAGCAGTCCATACTTCTCCTGCATGACTGGTATAGCAGACATGTTTGTGAGACAGGCTTTGTGTTTCCCGAGAAGGTAACTGGATCCAGTTGCTTGTGATCTGCAGCAGGGCGTAAGGCCGTGTGTCCTGTTGACTCAGGATCACTTGTACCACTTCAGTGTATTAAGGTTTATAGTTGTAGTGCATATGTGGGTGTTGACAAGTCATCTTCTAAAAATGAATTGGTACCTGTGTACCTACCTAGGAAATAACTTAAATACGTGGCCTTAGACTAGTGCTCAGTACCTATCGCAGCCAGAACATTTTTTCTTCTCCAAATCATTACAGAGAATGGTGTATGGGTAAGGTTGAACCTTAAGTCAGCATCTTGTGCCAACTGTATGCCTCTATCTTCTGTGTCAGTAAAGGTGGGAGGACGTGCAGCTCGGCCAGCCCTGGAACTGTGACCCTGACTGTGCTTTAAAGATGTGGGAGATGAGTGAAATAAGCAGGTGAAAAATCTCTCTTGCAAAACGCTTTTGGCACTTTGGCCACTCCTGATTTTCTTTTACATGAACCACAGTGATGTAGGAGAGCCTGAGTCCTGAGCTTGGTTCTAGGCTGAGACAACGGAGTCGGTGGAACTTGTTCTTCTCAAACATGCTCTGTCCTGCATCCTACAGTGCCCAGTTTGTGTTTGAAGACACTGAAATTGCACAGACTGTTACAAATCTGAGACGGAGTGCCTCTTTAACAGGAAGGCGGACTGAGTCAAAAATTTAGCACTGTAGTGCAGTACTTTGCAAATGCTGTGGTAGGTAGGTGTTCTGAGTGTATTTAAGTTTCCAATTAAAAGTAGCAGACTGAGCTACAAGTTGGGGACTCAGCGGACTACCCTTGGAGGACAGACAAAGCTTACTCACTGGTGTGGGGGTGAAGGAATTTGGCTATGTAAAATAAGCAGGCATAGCTCCAGGGCAGGAATGGGATGTGACAGTTGTCACTGCACTTCATCTGTGCTATCAGGCACTGAGAATATGTTCCAGGGCCTGATAATAATTAAAGGTCAAATGCTAATGCTTTTAATCCTTTTAAACATCTGGAAGGAATCAAGACCATCTTTGCAGTGTTACTGACATATACCTGTCTTTGCTTCCCTGGTCAATGGTAACTTGAATATTTGTGTGGAGTCCTGGAATATTATCCTAACTCATAAACAGTCATAAGGAGAGTTCTCACTTTGCCTGGTAAGGTCAGCTAACTAGCTGTCATTCAAGCTGGCCTGTGTGCTATCTGAGCTGCAAACAAGTTCCCATGGCGGCCGCTTGCCAAAGCAGAGATTGGGATGTGCCACTAGCTCTTAGGTGACTTGAAACTGGTTGCAAACTTTTTCCTTGACCTCTTGCTTCCCCCCCCCTCTCTTTTTCACCTTTCAGCACAGAAAGAGATCAGTCATGGCGGGTGATGCCATCATGGTCATGAGAGGCTTGACAAAGCTTAGTAAAGCAGTCCTAGAAACCCAAGCAGGACAGCTTCGGCAGGTGCTCCTTGGGGGCGATGCAGTTACCGTTGCAAGGACTCTCCAGGCCGCTGCTGAAGAACAGTTCAGTTCTGCCTTGGGGAAAATGCAGGTAAGCAAAGCTTTTTGTGCACAGTCTAGTCTGATGTTTTGCTTTTCCTCCAGGTACTTTTTGGTTTTGTTGTGAGTGGCTAGGAACTTTCATCAGGAACTAGAACCTAGCTCTGAAGTGTTGGATCAATAATACAGATGTTGCAATGCTCTGGGAATTCTCCAGGATTTCTGTGGTGTGCAGTAGGTGCTTGGACAGGAATGGGAGGGGAATGTTTCTGCAGAATGTTTCTATTTCCATTATTGGGTGTTAAGATATGCTGAAAATGAAGAGTGCTCTGTTCACCTCATCTTGTCAAAGATAAAGCTCTTGCTAAGATTGGCTGTCAGCTTTGTTATTTAAAGTGTCCTTTAAACTTCAGTCATTGATTACCTCTCCTTTGACTAAGTGAATGAGCTCTTTCAGAGTGACTTGGATTTATCTCAGTGCTGCTTCCTTTCTTGACAGAATTGGTGCACATGATATTATTCAGAATGGCTCAGGGTCAGGTGTTTGCATGTTCATCACTTACAGCCCAGGCTGGATTTTCAGAACTGATTTTCAAATGAGGAGGAACATAAGGAAAGCCAGACTTTTTTTTTTAAGCAGCAGCTTCTGTCGCCAGACACGGGGATGGATTTATAAGAGCTTTGCATTTGCTCTGTTGCCATCTCTTGAAAACATGGGGCTTGTCTGAGGAAAAGAACTTCTCTTAATCAAAAATTATAATCCTTTATCATCCTTTAGAAAGAAAGACAGTGTAGCTCAGATCATAATTTTTGAAGCAGAAACTAATGAGTGAGGTTTTGACATTTTTTTATGCAATGAGCTTGGACTATCATGGCATTCTATAGCTTCAGTCCTAGAATCAGGGTCCGTGTTTACTTGGTTCTATTTAAGCTTGTAATAGGAATACCCTAAGTGTGTTTGTTTATGGGGATAGTGCTTTGTCTTGCCTTTGTCCTCCTTTTGCATCCAAGAAGAGAGATGATGTTCTCCTGTTTCCATGCCTGTTTCTCTGCACAAGAGGCCCCACAAGCACACCTGCAGAACACTTGCCCTGTGTTCTGTAAATGAGTTGCATGAAAAGCTGCTGCCAAAGCAAGGCTCAGTAAGAAATCTGTAGTCTGAAGCTACATTTTCTGTTTTGAAGGGAGGAAAGTTTGTATGTTAAGTGACTATATTTCACTTCTCTTGATCTGTGGCAGGGCTTTGGCTGTCTGACATGCTTTTTAAAATTGAAGTATGGAAATAGAGAGGTCGTCTTGCTTGAAATTATCAGTCAGTATTGTGGCCACTGTCCCCATCTGTAAACAGATTTCTCCTCTCCCCCGTGCTGTGATGTTGAGGTTCAGAATAGCATGAGACCTGCTGAATAACAGGAAAGACCATGTTCTGTTTTTTTTTTTTCCCTGCAAGGAAGGGAAATGTAATTAGTCTTTAGGAAAGAGCCTAAAATACGCTGCCTGCTTGCCTGACCACAGCAGGATTTAAAATCCTGTTGATTGGTTGTAATAGTCATCAGTTCTTTCATGGTATTGCCGCTGCTGAGGTAACTAGAATATGTCAAGTAACAAGTAAATAGGAGATAATGCTCTGCTGCTGACTTTATTTCTACCTTGAAAAGCAGTGGAAAATATCTGGACTTAATGGGGCAGCTCTTGCAGGACAGAACAGAAAAGACTGTCAGGGGAAGCTTGCCTTGAGTGTTGCTGTGTCTGATGCTGCTATCCTTGCTTCAAGCACAGAATTGTATTTATTTATTTTGGGAGGATGACAACAAACCCTGCCATAGTTTAGTGGTTGAATAATGAAATCTGTTTTGCAGTTGGTAATGTCATGGCTGTGGAAGGCTGAGCTTACTTTGCCTTTAAGTAGGTATTTGGTATTGCTTTGGGCTTGAAAGGGCTGACATTGCATGATTAGGGACAGGATTGGAGGAGGGAACATGGTAGGGGTAAGAACTGAATACTATGAGGTTTAGCTTTTCGTTATCTCCCTAAGTATATTTTATGCAATATTGCAGCTCCCATCACCTGTTGTTTCTGAGCAGTGTATTCCTTCTAGTGAACTCCACAATTAGTGACCCTTCCTGGCAGTGTATGTAGAACAAGGAGTCTCCAGTTACGGGCATTTGAGAAGCTGTTAAGGAATTTGTCCCACCAGTGGGGTTGAAAGACTGCCAGTGATCCCAGGCATCCTCAGTGTCTCTTCCTTTTTCCTGTCTCTTACTGTGAATGTCTGCAGTGGCAGAGTCTCTACAAATTTCTTATTGTGGAGACATGACAGCCTACCTGCATGCCCATCTCTGAGGACCACAGATGGGTAGGGAGCAGGTTTTAAGTTGTTTTCTTAAAGTATTTCTATTATTGTTTGCAGGAACTAGGCAAACAGCAGGAGAACTTAACTGATCTCAGTGAAGATTTTGGGAAAGACTATGACTTCTCAGCCCGAGAGCCATCAGATGCTCCAATGGACTTCTCCACTGCCCCTGGCAAGCCTCATGAACACAGCGGTGAAGGCCCTGCTTACTCTTACACTACAAATGGACCGTTTAGAAGTGTCGGTGAGACTGGAGATTCTGGCATGGGTCAGAAGCCGTTCCCTCCCAAAATGGATGCAAGGTTATTTGGAGGCTTTAGGGACCCTGCAAATCCTTTTGCTGTTGCCTTTGGACAAAATAGGGCTTTTCACCAAGACCATTCCTCTGTTAGTGGATTAACAGCTGAAGATATTGATAAAGCCAGACAGGCCAAAACAGGTTCAGAGCAGAAACCCTACAAACAGATGGTATGTTTTTTTTAAATAAAGATTCTCAGTACTATGATTTCTAGACTGGATTGTCCTTACTCACCTTCTCCTGTGTTTTCTCATTTCTTTCTCTCATTTCTTCCTCTTCCGCTATTCCCTTTTGTGGTGGCAAAAGAGGAAAGTGTCAGTGCTCATTAACTCTGATCTCTGTGATTATTTATTCTGTCAATAGCTTTTCAGGCTCTCGTTTCACACCTGCCCCCTCTATATCAGATATTCTGATGTGAGAGGATGTTTAAAAAGCATACATAGGGTTAGACTTAAGTTTTATATTAACAGGAGCTCTTCTCTCATTCACTGGACTATGAGGACTCGATGTATTTATTGATGCGTGGTACAGTAATGAAGGGTCTGTATTTCATCCCAGTTTTGGGGGTGAAACGTTGAGCAGGTGGGGACAGCTGTAGGCTACAAGGGTTTGAAGACTGACCTAAAGAGTCTATCTTCTCCTTGAAGGGCCCCGTTCCCTTTAGCTAGTTATTTTGCTATGGCTGTGAAGAATGAATTGGACCCAAGCTCCTCTCAGTGAAGGCTGTGGCTTCCTGTACTGTGTCTTGCAGTCCTTCTAGAGGTGGAGGGAATGTTGCCCTGAGCATTAGTAGATTGGAGAGTAGCGTAGCTCACAATTGTTGCTGTAGTGCTTCATGCCCTTGTGTGAGACAGCGCAGAAAGCCCACAGCAGAATTCACAGTGGAGATACTTGCCATCTGCTCTGACCTTCTGCCTCCTTCCCCAAACCCAGTATCAGATGCCACTGTGGGTTCACTTACTCAGGATATTGTTTTGATGAGACTGTATGCTTCTGCTGCTCCAGCTGTTGTACTTGGGGGAATTATCTACAGTACTGTGAACCTGATAACCTTCCATGAGTTTTATTTCCATGTGTGGAAGGGAGTTTGGGTTGGCATTGCGCTGCTTCTCCAAGTTCAAAACATAAGGGCTGCTGAGGTGAAAGTAAAAATGGGGTTTCTAAACATGGTTGTCAGCTCTTCTATCTTTCCTACCTTCTTGTCCACTCCTCTGCTTAGTGTATGTTTCAGTTCATGGTGTGTCTGTTCTGCAGTGTGTTCACTTGAAAATCTCGCAACATATATAAGGCTTGGTGTTCAAGAAAAGCTTTCTGTAGCACAGAGTTGTTCAAGTGCTTTCGAAGTTGCACTCTCCATTTGCAGGTATCTGACCATATGCCCAGTTCATTTGTGGATTTCTTCTTGTTTTGTTTTCCTTTCCCTCTCTGCTGCAGCTCAGTGAGCGGGCCCGGGAGAGGAAGGTTCCTGTCACAAGGATCGGACGGCTTGCCAACTTTGGAGGTCAGTTTGCACACCCACATTTGTGAATTCACTACGCGTGCACGTACTGATTAATGGCTGGCTGTGACAGTCCTCCTGCTGAAGCATTAGTTGGTTCTATTTTCTAGTTAAGCTTGCTAATAGGAAAGTGCTTTCCCACAAACAGCTAGTTAGCTCAGAGCTTGATTTGGGCTTTTTCATTACAATTATGGATCTTGGCCTTTAGTCAGAATGAAGTTATACTTTGAATCCTGTCTTCTGTCACTCTTATATCTAACTGCTGCTGGGGTAGTATGGCAAAGAAAAAAGCTCCCCACCTAAACACACCTTTCAGATGCGTTCAGCAAGCTACCTGTAAACAAGAACTACAGAGTTGGCATGGCTTTTCATTTGTCTTACGATGGCAGGCTGATATATTCCTGGAGCTTAGTTTTTGTATACCTGTTCTGAAATGGAAAAAAAAAAAAGTCACTCTTAAGAGAGTATAGGGCAGATGACTTGGGAGTGCATAGTAGAACTGCACATCTTCATGGTAACACATACTGGGCTGTGCTGTTTTACGAGAGGGAGAGAGAGTGAGGTGCAGGTTGTTCTCCAGTGTGTACAAATACCTGGGTCCTGCATATGTGAGGAAACTCTCCTTCTAGTCCTCACAGTATGCTGTTACTGTCAAGCGTAGACAGCTGGAGCAGCTGTTATTTTAAATAATTTTTTCCCAAACTTATCCTTGCTACTTCTCTGAACAGTGGTTAAATATAAAATATATCCTTTTGGTATTGATTTTTGAGTGGGGAGATCATAATAGTCAAGGTTTGATTTACTTAGCCATTGCTTATAAACCATTTTCTCCCAGGAAGGATGTGAAGTCTGAGCTTGTAAGATCAAGCTAGCTGAAACCTACGTGAATTTTATTTGCAGAATGGGACTTACTATGTTAAAAAGCAGCTAAATGTCTTCAGTAATATTAACAGATGGTGCTTATCTAATGTCTTGTATCCGAAGCCATCAAAGGACTTAACATCTTCCTGAGAAAAAGGGAACTATCACAGTATTGCTATCACAGTGGAAAAGATGATCACAGCTAGTCTTACTTAGCTAATCATTAGATGAGTAGTCTCTCTGTTGTTTGGGTTTTTTTTTTCGGGACCGTAGTGTTTTGAGATGATAATAGCCTATCTAGGTTTGAACAGTCTCTCCCAAGTAGCTTGTTAGGCTCTTGTGATTCTCTTCCACAAATTTGATAGAGAAGCACATGTGCAAAGTAGACATCGTTGTGTTACAGATCCCAGAAGAAAGAAAAATAGCCTGTCGAATGTAATTCAGATCAACTATTATATAAAAAAAACAATTATTCTTCCTCTGTGTGTTTCTTTGTCAGAGTAATACGCACACTAGGAGGACTTGGGGCAGGGACTGATTCTATGCAGTGCAGGAATAAACAGCAAGTGAGTTTTGTGATAACATAAGGTTTTAATGCTGGTCAGATTTCTTTAACCCTGTCATTCATTGCAGGCGCTCTGGCTTCTCAGCATGTTTAGTATTCCTTAAAGGGAAGGAGGATTCGTGATCTGCTTTTTGGAGTAACAAGGCACCACTTTAAAACTCACTTGACTTCTTTGTTTTTAAGTTCTAGTAGCATACAGGTCTCCGTTCTAATCTAGTCTTGATTTGTATGGAAAGTGTCACAGCACTTTTAGCTGTCATCTTCCAAATTTATCTGTGGCTGCTTGCTGACAGCCGGTGGATGTGAAGTGGCAGATGACCAAATTTTCTGTGAACTTTGAGTTCCAGCGCTGTCGCTGTGCGCTCCAGCTCTGGGCACCCAAGGCTGTTGCATGAGGAAAGGCTGACTCATGCTTCAAGGGGAAATATTACTAACTACCTGTCTTCTCCTAACCTCAGGATAAAAAACAAAACAAAAAACCCCCACCAAACCAAAACCACGAAGGGAGAGTAAGAAAGTAAGAGGTTGTTTATAAGCAGCATCCTCAGTCATATCTGTGTGTGTCACCTATTTTTTTGGTCTTGCCCTTCTCCTCCAGTTGTCTGTTTTATATGATTGAAATTGCTGGCAAGACAGAGCTCTTGCTTTCAGACTGCTTTTGGGGGGACACTGGTGCAAAAATGGTGTTCAGATTCTCTGGTCTCTGCGATCTTTTGTTAGCATTCATTGCTTATCTTTCCCTCTGAATTTTTCCTCGCAACAGCAAGGAGAAGTAGTACTGTCAGTACACTGGCTAACAAACAAGGGATATGGCCTATAGGTAGGTTTTTTTCCAGTTTAAGAAATCCCTTGGTAATAACTTTGGTAGGCTGTGGGTAATGCTTGAAGAAGGTTTCTGAGGGTGTGGTGAGTCTGAAGTAGTGTGGGCAGCCCCACATGGGAAGGACTACCTGTAATGAACATTTCTTAATGGTCAGATCTTGATCCAGACTGATACGAGCTTTTAAACAGCCTCTAGAACTGCATGGAAAGAGGGACTCCATTTATAGCGAGGAGCAGCTCCTGCTTGCTATTTGCTCCGAGTTTAGAGTGTTTTTTCTGACCTGCACATGGCCTTAACAGAGCCAGTGCAATTGTGAAACCCCATCAGCTAATTCTAGTGTGGCTTTTCCTGACTGGCTCTTATCTGATGAGGAATGTTCTTTTCAAATTGCATCTTTATAAAGCATTTTAAATGCTTAAACCAGGAAACATTAGCTGATGGCAAGAGCTGTGGTGTACCATTCACTTTTACCCGTTTTTGATTCCTCTGAAGTTGTTGGTGACCTTTGGCTTATAGTTGACTGTTTTCTTCTTGGACTGTGAGCAGGGGAAGGTGGTACTTGTGTGACTCTCCTAGCTACTTACTGTCCTCACTGCCAGTCCTATCTGGGCATTATTCTCAGGACTAATGCAAGAGGTAACGTGTACAATTCTTAAAAAATATCTGCAAGCTGAAGAGTGAGGCTGATTAAGAGAGTCTCATGAGGGCATAGGAGGCAGTTTCCAACTGAGATGAGAATTGATTTTTGCTTTTCTAAGTTCCAACCCAACTTAATGTATTTTTGTTTTGTGTGTGTTTTTTTTTTTAGAGAAGGCAAGATAAGCTTGAAGTAAACTAAGTGTTTCAAAGCTCAGTGGTAGGTGAGTTGGAAGTTCCCTGTGCCTGCACAGTGTGTGTTCTCTCTCATGCATTTTCTCTTGTCTTGACTTTTCAATGGAAGTCGGAAACAAGGTGTAGGATGATTTAATGAGAGTCTGCAATTACATTATTGGTTTTTGGGAGCACCTGCTGCTGCTGAGGGATGATGGTTAACAGCTGGAAGGAGCCCTTTTGCAGGGGATGTCACTCTTAACCTGTGGAATAGTAGTGACCCAGCTCTGTCCTTGCTTCCTAGGACATTCAAATGATCAGAATTAAATAGGGGATAGCAGGGTTGGGGGGGGTTGTGATTATTTCCTGCTCTACCAGTGGCCTCTTCGCATTGCCTTGAAAATAATTAAAGGCAGGAGGCCCCTCCGTATCCGTGAGGGAGTGTAGCTTAGAGCAAGTAAGCTTTTTGTGTACGATTTGTTTCTTCTGTGCTTTGGGGTGCCATCTTCATTTGAAGACCCCAGGAAATCATTGTGGGAAATATAATGGTTGAGGTGGATTCTTCCCCTACCACCTCCACACCAGTCAAACTAGCATTTGACTTTTGACTTTTCTTGGTGGGATAAAAACCACTTTTTTCTTTATTTCCATATTAGAACAACATCATTTTAGACTTGTAGAAGATGGAAAGATGTTTAGTAGGTCAAAAGCAGAGTTCATGTAACTATTCCTGGGGTTCAGATAGCTGAATTCCGATGCTATCGGCATGATCCCGTTCACACTTGAATCATTCCTCCTCTGTCTTTGCATGTTTTTTGTTGTCCCCCTGATGTTATAGGGAATGCTGATCTCTCAGCTGTGGTGTCAGGACACTCTGGTGGGTGATGGACAAATTAGTAATAGGAGGCAGAAATACTTGGACTGCAGAGTTTGCCTGGCTTCTCACCTCTTCTGGGAGCGAGGAACATTTCGCTGGAAAGATTGAAGATCACTTTCTCCAATGCTTGCATGTAATACTGAGCTAATGTTTCTCTGTAATTAGCACAAGATCCTCTGCGAAACTTCTTTGTCCTTTATATGTATTTTTGTATGCTTCTTGTAGCAGCTGGAGTGAGTGACTGCTGTAGCTGTATTTATAGTACTAAATATCATCCTTGATTTTTATTTGTTTATTTTATTTTTTCTTCCCAGGATTTGAATTGGTAAAACAGATTTTTCTGCAGTTTTTTGTTCCATGCTTGTTTTGTAGCCTGATGGGTCATCAGTTCCACCCACACAGTTCTTGATCTTTTCTTTATTTCCATTCTCCCTTCCTTGCATCATTTGACTTTTCTAAGCAGTTTCTGTCTCCCTTAATCCTATTCCTGGTTTGTAAGTTTATTATTTTAATGATATAATAAGATCCTTTTGCAATAAAGAAAATTGAGGAAGCTTGCAGTGAAGTCTAGATCTAATGTGATTGTAGCAATTTTGGGAAAAAAAAAAAACAACAAAAAACCCTAGCCTCTTTAGCGTATACAGGACTGACAACTACAGGATTCAGATTGTCATGCTAGTGACAAGTGAGTGTGGCTTTCTTCTGGTGAGCTTTTAATGCTCAGAAAGCTAGTGGAAATTGATGCATAACTGTCTGCAGCTTGCAATGTGTTGTGTGTGGTGCTTGCAGTGTTTGACGTGACCAAAACCAGGGCACAGGCTGCTCCAGGGGAGAGTCTCACCCACCCCTGTGCCTGGCAGGCTGAGCAGTGTGATAACAGCCCATTCAGTCTCCTGTTTGTTTTGTTGTGTCAGTTGCTGAGCAAGAGGATTCTTCCTGAACAAAAGTGATTCCAGATCATCTCTTGATGGGCTTGGTTTGAAGTGTAACGGGTGCTGGAGATGCCTGGAAAATATCTGAAGAGGTACTCTCCTGGTGTAAAACCAGGTGGCGTTTTCAGGCTTGAAATAATCTGTCTGCGTAAAGTGCAAAATGCAGGAGTGTGACTTTCTGGAGGTGCTCAGGGATGTTATTTTCCAAGGTGCTGAACCGTGGCTGTTCAGTGATGCTGAAAATTGTCCCAAAGTGATTAATCTTCGAGGAAATACTCATCTTGCAGACAAGGAAAATGAAGGACGCTAGGAGTGACTTGTGCGAGGTCAGTAGGCTAGTGGCCCAGAGGAGGAGAGTGCTTTTCTACAGCCGTGCAGCTTCTTTGGAGGGATGACTTGTTCCTGGTAACAGGTGAAAGGCTGGCAGTGTGTGCTGGGTTGACCTTGGCTGACAGCTAAGCCCCATGCAGCTGCTCACTCGTTTCCTCCCACAGCAGGACAGAATAGGAAGAGCAAAAGCGAGAAAACTTGGGAGTTGAGATAAAGACAGTTTAATAGGTGAAGCAAAGCTGCATGTGCAAGCAAAGCAGCAAGAGGAATTCATTCACTACTCCCTATCAGAAGGCAGATGTCCAGCCACTTCCTAGGAAGCAGGGCCTCAGCATTTGTAGCAGTTACTTGGGAAGGCAAACACCGTAACCCCAAACGTCCCCCCCTTCATCCTCCTTTCTCCAAGCTTTTGCTGCTGAGCATGATGCTATATGGCATGGATATCCCTTTGATTTGGATCAGCTGTCCTGGCCGTGTCCCCTCCAAGCCTCTACCCCACCCCCAGCCTACTCATTGCAGGGGCAGAGTGGGGAAAAAGAAAAAGCCTTGATGCTGTGCAAACACTGTCCAGCAACAGCTAAAACACTGGTGTGTTATCAACACTTGCAGTCACAAATCCAATACACAGCATGATACAGGCTGCTATTGTTGTCGTTTAACCCGGCAGGCAGCTAAACACCACACAGCCGTTTGCTCACTTCCCCCCCGCAGTGGGATGGGGGAGAGAATCAGGGGGGAAAAAAAGTAAAACTCGTGGGTTGAGATAAAGACAGTTTAATAGGACAGAAAAGGAATGGAAAATAGTAATAATGATAAAAGAATATACAAAATAAGTGATGCACAATGCAATTGCTCACCACTCGCTGACCGATGCCCAGCCAGTCCCCGAGCAGCGGCCCCCCCGGCCAGCTTTCCCCCAGTTTATGTACTGAGCATGACGTCACATGGTATGGAATGTCCCTTTGGCCAGTTTGGGTCAGCTGTCCTGGCTGTGCCCCCTCCCAGCTTCTTGTGCACCTCCAGCCTTCTCAGTCGGTAGAGCATGGGAAGCTGAAAAGTCCTTGACTAGTGTAAGCATTACCTAGCAACAACTAAAACATCGGTGTGTTATCAACATTATTCTCATACTAAATCCAAAACACAGCACTGTACCAGCTACTAGGAAGAAAATTAACTCTATCCCAGCCGAAACCAGGACAGTTATGAAGAAAATTAACTCCTGTTTCAGCCAGACCCAGTACACAGCATTATTTGTGTTCAAATAACATGTGCCTAGACCACAGCCTTTCAGATGGGTGGATGTGCAGAAGAGGCTTGGAAAACAAATCTGATTGGCATTTCAGGAAATGAGTGGTGTGGCTCTGAACCCTCCTGTCTAGTACTTGCTTTCTGAACCCTAGAGCGTTAATCTGGGTTGTAAGATGAGGAAAGGTTGAGTTTTCCACACTGGTTTTTGTTATGTGAGCTGTGAGTGCTCCAAATGCTACACTGAATGAAATTCAAGTTGGTGAAGGAGAAGGTAATACGTTCCTAAGTTCAGGGTCAGAGTGATCCCTAGCACTGGTGTTAGTGGATGGAGTTAGAGCTGTGAGGAATTTAGCCCATTATTTAATTCCGTAATTTCATAGTTCTTCTGATAACTTGGTAAGAACAAAGGAATAACGTGAGCGACAGACTTCTGAAAAGTGGCAGCTTTTTCTAAGCCCTGGACATTCAGGGAAAGGGCCAAGTTTTGGTATTGCTTTGAGAAATAAAACTTTGAATTGTCACCTGTTTCTTGGTGATAGAAGGTTACATATACAGCTGACTTAATTTTTGCAGGCTTGATTGCTAAGAAGCAGCAGACACCGAAGATACACATGATCCTGCACAGTCTCAAGAGTATTATCTACCCTCCTGCTACCACATTTAGAGCAGGGCTGCGTATGCCTTCAGATGTTTCCAGGTAGTTACTGAACATTTGAAGTCGGAATGCTACATTGCATTTTCATGTAATGCCCTGAGCTAAATATCTTGCTGCGCGCTGTGATTATAGTATGAAGATGCTTGAAGCCTTTGTTTAAACTTCAGATCTTTAAACCTTCATAGCTGTTTAACAGTGAACTTGTTTATGCCTGGCTTTAGTTTATTTGAAACCACTGTTGACTGATGATTGGAGTTCATTTTCTAGCAAATTGGACAGAGTGGAGCAGTGAGCAAATTCTAAAGGGAGCTATTGTAACAGAAGCTCTTTTTCTAGCGTAGTCTACAATATGGTTCAGTTCAGACGCTCAACTGTGTACGGCCATGAGAGGGGAGGTGTGATGCACACTTGTTTGGAGTCTGATCTTGGAGAGGGGAGGTGTGACACACACGTGTTTGGAGTCTGATCATGCCTACACTGATATAAAACACAAGCTGCTTTGAAAATTATTTCAGGGTTTATTAATCGAAGTATTATAATGTTAAAATCATGGCATTCTGTGAAAGTTATATTTTTTCTGAATGTAGATTTCTGTATTATGCCATATGCTCTTAAACGTTCATGTGCAATGGAGAATGAAAGGTTGTCTGACAGTTAAATAGCACGGGAGTGGCCCTGGAAGCAGTCCTCGTGAAGGCCTTGTAATGTCACTGGTGCCTCCTGTGCTTCATTCACCCTATGCTGGATTCTTTGACCCAGTGCATGTGGTCTGCAAGATTGCAAGATGGAGCTGTTTCTGAAGCAGACGGACTGTGCAAGTTCAAAACTTTATTGGTAGAGGTGGGGTTGTAATTACCTGATGGAAGAGAGTAAAAACTCACTGTGCAAAATGAGGTTCAACTTGTTTGTGCCCAGGCTTCCTCACTTGAGACTACAAAACGTGTGCACACATGCACAAAATGCCACGCGCTGGTCAGCTATGCTTCCTTCATTGTACTCGGTGTCCCCGGGTTGTTTTACCTGGGAGGCTGTCTCATAGTGCCTCAACAGGGCTTGGGGTGCTTGGAAAACATGCACAGCCAGTACTGCTAGCAGTGTGGGAGTAAGGCATGGCGGGATGCACCATTGCTGAGGAGATGTGAAGGAGCACCAGCTGTTCTGGTTGCCCATGTCATTTATTATCTGGAAGAATAAATATTTTGAAATTGGGAAGGCAGTGAGACCTTTGATAGTATGGATTACTGCATGATTAGATCTGTGTCTCATTTAATCTTTGGTGGCTTTGGTCAGGTTAGTGGAGGCAGATAATGCTTCTTTTGTAGTTGTAGCTTAATCTGTGGCTGTGAGACAACACCCTAGAATTCACTGCTTGCAAGGGTGATAGTGCACGTGGAGTGCTGGTGTTTGGTCACATGGTCTTACGGTTGCTGTGCGGGGTTACTCCCCAGCACTGTTCCTTGGAATTGCAGCTTACAACACTGCTTGCATAAGGTGGGCCTCAGGAAAAACATGTTTCTGTTCATCATAATCAACGGGTACGTGGAAGTCAAAGACAGCTAACGAGCACAAATAAACCTGAACGCTTAGACAGTAGGGTCACAGAGCCTTAAACTCTACTGGCAGCGGCTTCATCTAAATAGTTTTCCCTCTAATGTGGTGGCTTGGTGGGAGGTGAGGGGGATTCTGTTTTTTCCTGAGAATGGTACTTTGAGAACCATGTGTTTGAGATTTTTTTTTTCTTCCCTTCTAAACTCCACGATCTGAGTCTACAGCAGGACCTGAGCCAGAGCACAGAGCTCTGAGTAGCAGCTGTTGACATGCTTTATATATATATTATTTGGACATCCCAGACTGGCCTAGCCTCTGATACCTGGCTGGCGTGCTGGGCTGAAGAAGTACAGGAGAAAACTGTTCTGTGTCAAACTTGAAGGTGATTCCATTGCAAAAGCCAGGATGTTCTAATCAAGCTGTTTTGCTGCTGTGCATTTGACCATGTGGCTCAAGGTTAATTACAGAAAATGCCTCTGTAAGTGGCTCAGAAGGTTTTTTTCATTCTGACCTGGGTCTCTTTCTTATTTTAAAGGACTAGCTGTTGGTCTTGGCATTGGGGCATTGGCAGAAGTTGCAAAGAAGAGCCTTAGACCTGAGGAACGCAATGGTAAGGCCTTTCTACATCCTCATTCTTTTTTTTTCTCCCCCCTTTTTTTTTTCTTTTTTTCCCCAGACACAGTTTACCTGCATTTGCAAGATTTTATTCTTTTGAAAGCTGGGACAGTGAGGCAGTCAGAATAACAGGGGGATGTGGATAGTTCTTTTAACATAATCCTTCTCCGCCTCCAGACTCTTCTCCCATTTAAGTACACCACAGCCTCACTACGTAGACAGAGGTCAGAGGTATATGCGAGAGAATGAGTTTATGCCAGCACAATTCGTACAGCTTACTTTCCCACAGCCACCCCTGAGTTTGAATACTATCCCTGTGCCTGTTCTTGGATTGCCTTGGCCTAACAATTTCCTTTAAACTGTTCAGTGAAACCATGTAGCTCTATCAGTACAGAAACTGTAGATGAGCCTGTATGTCTGAAAACTTTGTTAGTGGTTGCAGTCTGTTTGAAATTTAAGGATGTTCTGCCTGGGAGGAACTTGGAGGATGGCTGCTCTCTTTTAAGAGAGACAAAACACTTTATGTACATGTTAAATGGCAATTATCTACTTCCAGTATCTATATTTTGCCTTCTTCTAAAGGATTCTCATAACAGGTCAAAAGGCTGTGCTGTGCAAATCGACCTGATCCTGTATTCTTCCCAGCTTGTTTGAAGTTGGAGGTAAAATATTCCTAAGTTGTACCTGGCCATGTCATGGTGGCTTTCTTCTAAGCTTATGTGTTGGTAAAACATGGTGGTACTGAATGGTTGTGCGTGGGTGAATGGTTTAGGGCATAGAAAGTACACAGTGTTCTTTCCTAGAAAACATGAGATTACTCTAAAGCTTATGGCTCCATTCACTTGTTTCTTAAAAGCTTTGGTGGGATGCTGCAAAATGTAAAGTTCTTTGTTACAGTTATTGCAGGCTGTTTGGTCTTCAGCTGGTCTCCGTGGTTTGGCTAGCATGTTTGTGTGTTTACGTTATTTCCAGTGACTGGAGGGAACTGATGAAAGGGATAAGCACTTGCAGCTAGAAGTAAAAATGAAGTCAAATCGTTCCTGGTTCAGAAGCATTGCTTTGAGATAATGACAACTGCTGGGTCCTTGTAACTTCACTCTGTGGCCAGTAGTATTCTGCTACAAGGCCAGTTTGTGTTTTCCCCCTGGTCTTCTTTGGGGGTGGGGAAAGGATGGAGACTGAGGTAGTGTGAACCTCTATTCCAGGAGGTACTGGAGTGGCTGAAAATTGAAGAAATTTGGAGGGGGGGAGAACCCTAAAAAAACCCAACCAAACAACAAAACCCCAATGAAAAAAACCCAAACCAAAAAACAACACCCCAGCAGATGAAACAGGTTCCCTGTGGTGGGGGGACAGGGGCGAGGCAGGGGTTGTGTGCCACCCAGGACACTACTTGTTAATACTTGCATCTTTGTATTCCCTGTACAACTAGGCAATGCAGAGCAGCCCAGCAGAGAAAAAGGATCCTTGGCAAAGAGTTGTTGTTTCTCTCCATGACCTGAGGTGTTTAAGGCTGGGTGGGTTTCTTTGCTTTGATTTAAAAGCATGCATTCAGGCAAACATGGCCCATCCTGTAGAGAAACCTTGAAGGTTTTTGCTTTCAGCGCTTGTGATGTTTGACAGGTTGTTCATACCTGTTGGAAACTGATGATTTGCTTTGCTTTTAACAGAGGAGAAATTGCACAACTGTTGGTATTTCTCTGTTTGCCAGATTATTTTCTAATTGGGTACACCCCACATTGAAAACGTGAGCTTGCAGAGCTATGATATTTGAGGGAATAACATGAGCTTTGTTTCTCTTCCTTACAGCATGAGAAAGGATTTTTTTTTTTTTTTTTTTTTTATCTCTGTAGAGGGCAACAGACACTTTTTCCTTGCAATAAAGCAACTGCACCTTTAGACTTTTTTCTTCTTGCTAGGTAAACTATTATTTTCCGGTGTAACTATAACTTGGTGCCAGAAGCCTGCTCTACAGTCTGAGTCATGCTTTGGGAAGAGTAATTTTCTTGAACAAACCTTGATTAAAGAATAAGGTAATGAGAACTGTTGACTTTGATGCTAGGCAAGGGAGTTAGAAAATGACCTGGCTCTTATTTTTAGCTGCCTTGCTTTCGTTCTTGCTTCTCCTTTTGCTGTCATGTCTTCTTGGATAAGAGCTTGGAGCAGTAGTTACAATGTAAAGGACAAGGGTAGTGGGACTGAGAATGGGCCAAAAGCAGCAAGTGTTTGAGGTGAGGCAGATGTAAAAGACTATTTCAGCCCTCATACTCTCTTGGAACTTCTCAGGCCAAGGACACAGGAAAGTCTCCAGGTGACTCAGCTACAGCCTCTAGCTAGTGTCCTTGGATGTGTTTTCCACAGGATTTTACAGTGGTGGGTAAGGCTCCATGGATGACAACTCCCTCCATGGGCTCTGCTCCTGCAGAAATGCATGGCAGAGGATATATACACAGTTTTGAGTCCAAGATCGCATTTTCTTACTGTTCTTCTGGCAGTACCAGCCTTAGCTGTTCTTGGAGGAAATCTCTTGACATAGGTACCTCTACGTTTCTCTGAAAAAAACACCTCTGCACCCCTTTCATGACTTCATCTTGAGGCATTTGTGTCCAAGTTTTCTGGCTGCCAGCACCATAAGCTTGGGCTAAGACGTGTCTTTAAGAATGACAGATTGTCCTGTTCTCTGGAAGCTGGTAGAGGATTGTCCTTTCTCTCCCCACTGCTGCAATATTAATAGCAACTTCTTGGCACTTCAGACTTAAACAAGTGGGTTGTGTATATGCCCAAAGGCATGCCTAAGAATTTCACGCTCTTACTGACATCCAGGAATGACGGGAAAGAGCCTTCTCTTCGTTACCCTCCTCCTGTCCAGTCAGTACAAATGAAAGTGTCTTCACGCCTTTAAAATGGATCTAGAAGCACTGGTCCTTCTGTCACAAAACTGCAAGCCAGAAACTCCTGAGCTACAAGTGATCCTAGTAACATGGCTTGTACTAATTCTTTCCACTGCTGTTATCAAATGGAGGGACCACAAATGCCTACTCTCCTGCACATTCTCTAGCAACTGCGCTAGTGCTGATCTGTCTTTTCCTGCTCAATTTCCCCATCCTTGTTTAGTAGCCACAGGGCCCCCCTTCTCTCTCTGCTTTGGATTGTCTCTGTTTCCATAAACAATTCAGTTCTGAAGGGATTTTTCCTAGAACAAAAAAGTCTGGTGCAAGAGTTTGTGAATTTCTCCCTTCTCCATCCAAGCCTGATGTCCTGGACATAAGTTCTTTCCACTGCCAAATTCCTGTGAGTGAAGTTTGTTTTGTTTGGTTTTTTTAAGGGCTTGAGGGCCTCTTTAAGTTCTTTAAGTAGTTTGGTTCATCTTATTTTTTTAAAAAAGAGGATGGCTGTACTTGATTTCCAGCGGGAATTTTCTTGGTAGGCTGATGTAGCTAATTAAAAATAACCTCCTTGGTCACTGGTGACCTTGATGGCAGTCTCAGTATTTAGAGTGTGTATCTAAAGTGCAAGGCTGACACGGGGTGGGAATGGGAGGGTAGAATAAATTTCCAGGAATAAAAATGAAAGAGTGCCCAGATAAATAGCTGCCATTACTAGTAAAGAGTCTCTGGGTTCATGGTCAACTTTGTAACTTATTAATGACCTGTACTGGGCTGTTCTACTAGGCACTGTGCAAATGCCAGGCTGGACAGAGCCCCGAAGGGCTGGCAGCTGGCCTAGGTTTGAATGTAGAGTTGTTTTCTTATGAAAAGGAATAATGCAATCTCCTTGAGTTTTCAGTCCTAAGTGCTTAGGCTATGTTCTTGACTCTTCCCTTGCCCCAAAGTTTGAGTGGCAGATGGCCCTAAAAACAAATACATGCAAAGTCCAGTGGCTAGTTCTCCATTTGACAGTAGCAAAGGAGGTGGAAAAGCACTGATACAGCTGTGAGATGCACACAGATTTGGAAGGGTTCACCCAGATTCTGGATTTGGAAAGGAAGATGTGGGTGAAGCACTCCTGAGGGCATCTGCCTGCTGCCTCTGCTGTGGAAGAGCTGACAGGCTCCAGGCACCGTGGCTGCAGGAGCCTTCATTTCTGAAGTCTCCTTGTTGCTACAGCTTGTTTAGATGTGACTTCTATTTGCATTTTTTTTTCCTTTCCTGGATGAAGTAGGTAAAAAAAAAAAAAAAAAAAAAAAAAAAAAAAAAAAAAAAAACAACAAACAAACCAACTTTGTGACAAACCAACTTTGTGATCTTAACATGGGGAGAAGATCATTTGTAGCATCGAAAGGTACCTGCAGTGTTTGAGAAAAATGTTCTTACTGAAAATTGGCATATTTTTTTCATGAAATTGTGCTTCCTTTCTACCTAGCCCTGGAAGGCTAAGTCTGTTTTCTGTTTTTTCCTCTTCACTTTCCATTTACATAATCCTGCTTTTGACTCTTGCTTTCAAGTTACCTTCTTGTTCATGCCTGCTTTTAGCAGAGTACATAAACAAGCAACAGCTGATCACGGGGCTGTTGGGCTGCCTGGTGATCAGGTAGTGCCCCTGTGGGCTTGACTTCAATGAGAAGCACACCAGAAGAGGATGGGGAGTGCCTGTGTTTGGCTCTTTCTCTGATAAGACTCTTAAAAATGTCAGGGTTCATTGGCTTCTGGAGGTGACTTTAATCATTAACTAACTCCTTTATCCTGCTGCAGACTCAAAGGAGGATGTTTGTGTGTGCAGGTGGTATGAAGGAAGGTAAGGCTTTGACTCAGTAGTTTCCCTAGCCCCTGTGTGTCTGTATGTCAGAGCTCATACAAGGGTTCATTTGCCTCATCACTGCAAAGGACACAGAATTTTCCTGATGGGACAGTTGAGAGCCAGAGCTCTGTTAGATGGCTCCAAGCACTCCACTCTCCAGAGCCCGCTTTTCAAGTGGGCAAAGCCACATCCTTCTGCCGTAGGCAGCTCTACCTATTCAGCCTCTCAGACTCCTTACATTCAGGATCCAGAGCAAAATGTGCTCTGAGGCTTTCTCTGTGTGATGCACATGGTGACTTCTGGGCCCCTCCTGCTTCTCTGCATCTTGCTCTCAAGCAGGATAGTTGTCCTGTGTACTCCCTCCTGGTGTCTTTATTCCTCTCTCCTTTTCATGTACATTCTTTACTTGGGACAGGGATTTGGACAGATAGATGATGTCCCACATGCTGTGCCATCTTGCTGCTCTCCCACAAAACAGGTAAAGGAAAGGAGGGGCCAAAGGACAGGGGAAGGCAGTGCTTGGCATCCTCTGTGCACTGCTAGTGGAGAGCTCAGTGACATCACTTCTCCAGGGAAAGCTTTGTAAGCAAGCCAGCTGCTTGCTGGGGCTGAAGGGTGTCTGTCAGATCAGTAACATGCTTGGCACCTCAAGAAGGTTGTATCAAGTTGTGTGAGCAACCAGAGTTTAGACAGCAGCTACTTCAGTCAACTCTTGGTTCTTTCTCCTGTTCTCTGGCCAGTCTGAGCTCCCTCTGAATACTGTCCTGAGAGTTAGATGGAGATGGAGAGGGTCTCTTGCTGCTGTAGGCACTACATGACACACCAGTAACTTCCATCTGCCTGAGATCCTCGGGGCTGTTGCAGCTGCCATGCCTTTTTGGGCCCTGCTTGTTGTATATGTGGGTTTCAGCTGTTCTGTCCTTGGTACCCTTTCCTCTGAAGTGTTGAGAAAAAAAAAAAATGTAGCTCCAAGATCAGCATACTAGCTGTGGGCCCTGCAGCCTGGCTGTAAGACCCGACCTTCCTCCTCCTTGGCTCTCCGTCAGCAGGAGCTGAGCTGCAGCCCCAAGAGAAGTGGTTGGCGGGTGCCTGCCTGCCCTTTCTGTCCCTGCTGTACTGGGCATCGCCTGGAGAAGGAGTTTTGGGTTGATTCTCCCAAAGGGACCACAAAATTGAGTCAGGGTCTCCTTCCCTCCTCCTTCCCTCTCCCTTTAAAAAAAAAAAAAAGTGGAGGGGAAGTGCTTCCTATGCCATGTAAAAACCACATCGCATACTTAGGGCCGTGGCACTGGTGTGTAGATGGCTGCAGTGATTACTTGGTGAGCCTGTCAGACATCAGGCTTTACCTTTTCTGGGGGATGGGAATGTGTGTGTTTGAGTATGTATATTTTGGGCCTTGTTCTGTGCAAGCTGATGCTTGCATGACTGCTGATGGGAGTAAGGACAGAAAGGTTTGGCCTCCTCCCTGCATGGCCTCTATGTGCAGTCAAAAGAAGTGACTAACTACATTGAGATGTTCTTCTGTCTAAAGGCAGCATCTTTCTCAGTAGCAAGCTGCCCATAAGGATGTCCCGAGGAACGCCATGCATGTGTGAGGATGTAAAAGGGAAAAAGGTTGGCAATCTTGACAACAGGAATTAATGTCCCTTCCAGCACAATTGTCTAAGAGCAGCATGGTATCAGAGATGAGAGCTCCTGCTGGGCTTCTCCTGTGAGGACTATCTCCAGCCTCCCTGGCTTTGACTAGCTTGATTAACCTCATCACAGATTTACAATCTGCTGCTTTTTCAAAATGCTACGTGCAGCCATGGTGTTTTGGGGTTATGGTGTTGGGAGAGTTTGTTTTGCCTGTGCATCAGGAGACAGTACATTTCAGTTTGATTAGAAAAGAATGTTTTATTGTGCACTTGGAGATGTGAAAGTTGTGACTGCTCTCTACAGATGCCTAGTGCACACTCTGGATGTGCAATTGCACAGCAATATGTGTTTATGTATGAATCTGTTTTGAGCAAGAATTATTTAGTATGAGAAAGGAGGTTTGGCACTGGCATGAATCCCTGCTCCCACCCTAAGAAGTGCCAGCACATTCTCAGTTTATCCCAGTGTGCTGTCAAACCTTTTGACAGTTCCTCCGTGCTGTGGCGCGCTCCTGCTGCTCTTCTGAGGCTATGGCTATGCTGCAGCCTATGGTGTGGGACTTGGGGGACCTTTACACAGCGTTTTAGGCTGAGCTAGCTGGCACAGTGAGTTCAAGCACCAACATCTGCCCAGGATCCTGGACAGTTTGCATAGCCTCCATGGATGTCTGTGCTGCTGTGACTTGCTGCTGTTGGCCCTCAAGCCAGCAATGTTAGTCACTTACATATCACAAGACACGTGTGTCCAAGTGCAGTCCATGCCCCTGGGTTGCAGTGAAGGCACTGAGTATAGTCCTAGTCTGATTTCTCTGGGGAAGGGCAAATCTGTTGAATGTGGACTAACACAATGGATTGAGATCACTGAGGTAAGGGTGCTCTTCATCCGTACACTTTCTCTCCTTAGGAAAGAAAGCGGTGATGGATTCCAGCCCGTTCCTGTCGGAGGCCAATGCAGAAAGAATTGTGAGAACCTTGTGCAAGGTCCGGGGAGCGGCACTGAAGCTGGGACAGATGTTAAGCATTCAGGGTAAGTGGTAGCATAGGTCCTCAGCTGTCCTCCTTAGTGGTGCTGCCAGGTTGGGCAATTGATCTCTTGTGATGCATGGTCAGCTGTCTGGAATCAGTGTCAAGTGAATGTGGAGAGACTAGACAAGTGGCTTTCTCATGTGAGAGCAGTGATGGAGATACGTTTGATTCAGTTCAGTCTAATCCCAGTATGAAATAACCAGATGTGTGCACTGTACACCACTACTTTCCCAATGCCCCTATTGTGTCAGGCACACAAGTGAAGTTGGTTGAAAATAAGGTGATGCTCTCTGTGAATTTTAATGTCTGTGTTAAAAGCAATTGTTGAGAAGCAGAGCTATATCACACTCTGTACACAGGTGTCCTGCTAGAAAGGAGGAGGAGGAGGATGACAGGAACATGATCCTGTTCTTTGTTCACCAAAAGTGGTCAAGGTTATATCCACAGTCCCCTCCCATTGCAGCATGTTTATGGTTTACATGCTTTGTTGGCACTGAAGCTTTGCTGGAAAGGCCAGTACAGCTGATAACCTTATCAGGTATAAAATACTTGTTTTCATCTTGAGGAGACTTCAAACTGGTACTTACTCCATTGGGCTCTGAAGTCAGTGATCACAGGTGAAGGCATGAGTGACATTAGTGTCTGCACTGAACTGTTAAGTTACTCCTAGAAGATAGCAGGTGTGCTGAATTCAAACCTTATCTGGACCTGTCCACTTTGCCTTCCTACCCAACTTGATAGGGAAGGAAAGAACCAGCTGAAAATAGCTGTTACACTTGTCTGGAAATAGCTTTCAAGATGTCACTGAAACTGAGTCAGTGTCTGAGTGTTTGAAGTACTCAGCTTGCTTGGCTTGTGCTTCTACTTGAATTTTTGTAGGTGTTGACTGATGAGGCAGGATCTAGTATTGTATTAAATAACTTGGGCTAGCTAATAAAGCAAGACCAGCTCCCTGTTCCAGAGAGTCCTGATTGTGGCATTTCATTGTTCTTCATTTGCTAATCACTTGTTTTAGGTGTCTGGCAGGCTGATGGCAACATTAACAAAGCTAGGTGGGAGGCAGCAGCTGCTATGTCAAAGGCTGCCACCCATATGCTGTTTTCTCACCCTCTGGAAACCACCAGGTGCCAATGACTGGTGGTTCACAGTGCAGATCCAGGAGGAGCTCTTGTGCTCCTTGCTTTCTGTCATCAGTGCCTCTGGTATGTAGGGTGAGTGAGCCATGTCTGGAAATCAGCTCTGAAGTTAACTTGTCTACCATAGGTGGGGATTAATTTAAAATTCTTAAGACACTATTGAGTTGCACCTGATGTGTGCCTGGAGCCTGGTCACAGCTGCGCTAGGCTTGGATGTGAGTGAAGAGGGAATAGCTGTGAATGGCCAGCTCTGAGGAGCAGAAATGCTCTGGGTTTTTTTCACTTGCCTGCTGTCTCCTAATGTTACTGAGCTCTGACAGCAGTGTCAAACACTTGCCGATTGACTTCACTTGGGTTTCAAGAACATACAGGCCTTTAGCAACCTCAGTGGTGCTGCCCAGCTCTGTGGTTTTTTCACTTGCCTGCTGTCTCCTAATGTTACTGAGCTCTGACAGCAGTGTCAAACACTTGCCGATTGACTTCACTTGGGTTTCAAGAACATACAGGCCTTTAGCAACCTCAGTGGTGCTGCCCAGCCCTCATTTGACTCTTATGACGAGTGCGTGGGGTGCTGCGATGCCTGGCGAGAACATAGGCCCCTGGTAACCTTGCTGAGGGACAGTTGTGGTGAAATAGGTTAGACGCTTCTGACAGTATCTAGTTCTTGGGCTGGCTGTTTGGACAGGAGGGCTTCATGCAGTTCCTGCCACTTCATGGGCTTCTCTGTGGCCTGGTGAGTTTGAATTGGCTTCTTCTATTAACAGGGAGGTGTGCTAATTGAGCACAGGGGCTCTGTGTTGCCTTGTCCAGGTGCAGCTGAGCATCTGGGAGCTAAACCACCCAGAAGTTAAAGCAGTGTCCTTAAAAACCCTGATATCTGCTTCTGGGAGTCAGTGGCTTTGTTATGGACCCACATCCCTGAAGGTCATCCACAGAAAGGATGCCAAGGGCCTAAAATCATCCCATGTTCTGGTGCGTGTGCTCTGGAAGATGTTGGAAAGGTAGCTGCATTTGCCAGTTGAGAGTGCCCTGCCTTGACTCTTGCTTCGTGTTTCGTTCTGGTAATGCCTCATCAGTTTACCACAAAGACGTATAACCTTGTTCATCAGCATGTTGTAAGCCTCGTTTTGTCAGAGTTGCCCCCGCAGCATGACTGATTTTTAACATTGCTGCTGAGTTTCTGTACAGTCAGTCTGGACTTGCAGGTTTCTTGGCTATTTGGCGTTGCGCTAATGAACCATGCAGTGGTGGTCAAGCAGCCCCAGATAAGAATGGTCTCTCAGACTAAAGGTTGAAATCTTGTGAGTTCTTTGGATGTCAGCAATAAGAAAAATAACAGAAGTTGATCCTAAATACCTGTGGCAGACCCTGATACCTTGACACAAACTGCTTCTAGGAGCAGGAGTCACTTCTAGTGAGGTCCATTCTCTTTCTGCACAGTCATCCTAGGAGGCGCAGGTTATCATGTTACAGCATGATGGCTAATACTTTCACATACCCCTGAGAATAGTTTTTATAATGTTCAGAGGCTTGGCAGTGATACACCATCACTGTGATGATAGAGCAGAAGTTTCTTTCAGTGTTTGGAATGCTCACGCAAATGCAATATCTAGCCTTCTTGCAGGGTTATAACGTCACAACAGGAGATTTACCTGCTGTTCCTGCAAAGCCTGTTAATTTCTGACTTGCAGTGACAGAGTGGGAGCTCCTCTTAAACTCCTGTTGATTCCACAGGGGGGTTTTGTTAGTACGTTTAAATGCTGCTCATGGCTTCGGTGGGAATTCCTAAACAACGCTAAGTGTTAATGTTGCGTCTCTGTACTTTTCTCACCATTCCTTTCCACCCCTCTTCCCAGGGCAGTGCTCTTAAGGTAGCTGTTTGTTTCTTGTTTCCTGGGATAGACTTATCCATGTATGTGCATCTGTAAATGCAGAGGAATGATAGATTTTTGAGTGTCACAAGTGCATGTGCAGGTTGATTTCTCAAGATGAAGGCTGGTAGCCTGGACTTTTTTCCAGTGTTGGGAGAGCAGCAGATAAATCTAATTCCTCCATAAGCCTTTATGAAGTGAAAAGTTTGCCAGAACTGGTGGCTTTTCTCAGGGCTGTTGTAAAAGCCTTTGCTCAAAGGAGGGGACTAATTTTTCAAGATGCCCCTACCCCTCCTCTTTCTTATGAGTGTAAATATTTCCTTGCTAAATCCTTCTGACTCTTAAAATAACTTCTGGCTCAGCTGTGTCGTCTTCTGCCTGCTTATAGTTGCTTTGCATTTGGGTAGTTGTTTACAGTAGCAGATGCTGAATCTTGATTCCTCTAAGAGTTCAATACTTGTGTAAGTGGTATTTTACCATTGCACAGCTTTCTAGAGAAGCTGCTGCCCCTTAGAATGAACTGGATTAAACCATGCTGTGAACCTGGGAGTGTTGGGATGACTCTCCACAGGGTTCCTTCTGTGACCTGTGTTTCCGTGACACAGTGGCCTCTCCTAGACCTGAATGCTGTATTGCTCTCAGCGAGAAGACGGGCTGGTGGATGACGGAAGCTTGTGCAGAGCACTCTGCTCTTGGGTTTGTGCAACCTGCCATCACACCAAAAGCCTCCATGCTGTGCGGAGCTGCCCACTGCTCTCAGCAGTGCTGCTGGGCAAAGCCAGGGAGCACTATGACAACTGATGCTTAATTCCAAAGTATACAAAGTTTCTCAGCATGCTTTCTAGCGTATTCATACTTTGTCTTTCCCTTGCTAATTGGGAGGGGGTGCACGGAAACTTTCTCCTGCTGCAGCAGGAGGGTAGCTTAGGAGATGTTTGGGTAATATGTAGGTTTCTTGCGAGAGTGAAAAGGAAGGAGTAGCTTTTTCCCTCTATTTGGTACTTGTGCACAGGACTTCTGTTTGGCTCATTTCTAAAGGTGTGATGCCTCAGGAGATGGGCCTCAGGTGCCTACTTCTGGGTACGGAGAGTTTCTGAACTAGAACTATTTCCAAAACCTTCACTGGGGTGTGCTTGGGAGCAGGATAACCTGGCTTGTCTGAATGCAGGTGCATGTTTCTTTGTGTGCTGAAGAACTGGAGAATGCAGTGCCTGCACTGACTGCCATGTGCTTTTCCCTTGGCAGATGATGCCTTCATCAACCCCCATCTCCAGAGGATTTTTGAGCGTGTACGTCAGAGTGCTGACTTCATGCCGATAAAGCAGATGATGGTAAGAAATATTCCTTCCTGCTTATCAGGGGAGGAGGGACAATAACAGAATAGACGTCACCTGTGACATTCCCCAGTAGGGGAGGTAGATGGAGATTAAGAGTATTCTTTCAATAAATGTTGCATATTTTCAACTGTGGGTAAGATCTGATTCCTTATCTCAATTATGTGGTGCCTTTTCTCTCTAAAACATTGAAGCTCAGCTCTAGACAGTGGGAAAAATGTGGGGGTTTATGTCCCAAGACTATGCTGATGGAATAGGATGTTGCATACAAATATGATTATAGGGTCTTGTTGAATGTAGCCTCCTCTTCTGTTTCCTCTCTCTCATCTTTCTCATGGATGTTAAGCCAGTGTTTAGAAGTGCCTACATCCCATTTTAGAAACAGACTTGCTATTCATTTTCCATCAGACTAAGGCTTGCAACTTTGTCCTTACTTTTTTGGTTAAATCTAAGCCACCATCAAGAAGAACCAGAATGAAGCAAACGAAGTCTGCTTTCTCCTATGCACATGTTCTCTCTTTGTCTCTACTTCCTTCTGTAAATTAAGATGTGAAGGATGATGCAAAAAGAATTGTCAGCACTAATCTTCTGAAAGACACTGAGCAGAGCCAGAACTTAAATGTGGCAGTCTGGCAATGTAGCAAAAAAGCTGTTAAAGCAGGCTGTGATGTTTAATTGTCAATATTGCCTTAGAGAGCCACTTTTGCATGCCTGGATTGCTTCTGTTCAGCTTGGCAGCATGACGGAAGAGGAGAAATATCTAACTCCTTGGTCATTTTCTGGAAGGTAACAAGTAGCACCAAAAAGGGGACTTCTGTATTGCTAAGGCAGCGGTGTTTGTGCTCAAGATCTCTGTCATTTAGGCCAGAGCAAGAGTCTCACACAGATCTGATCAGCATCTGTTTAGTGCTGCCGGAGCACTGCTGGCTGGACTATTCCTTGTGATGGTGTGCAATGATGAGGAAGGGAGGACAACCTAGAAAGCAGGGTATAGGTACTCAGAACTACTATAGGCTGTGTGAGTCACGTTATTTCCAATAGCGAAAATCTTAAATCTTTGCTTCCCATACCCTGATGCTTTCTTTTTATTTGTAGAAAACTCTGAACAACGATCTTGGCCCCAACTGGAGGGATAAACTGGAGTCCTTTGAAGAACGCCCCTTTGCTGCTGCTTCGATTGGTCAGGTTCACCTGGCACGCTTGAAAAACGGGAAAGAAGTTGCCATGAAAATCCAGGTGGGCTTTACAGACCAACCTTGTCTCTTGTCTGTGCCCCATAGAAGGGCAGGGGAACTGCATAAGTATGTTTACTGCTAGACAAATAAGAAACACTAATGCAAGTGAAAATTTGAGTCCAGCAATATCTTACCTAGTGCAAGCAGAAGGGAGGGACAGAAGTGGTTCTGTAGCTTGAGCCAGTGTCTCACTCCAGATGAGCGGGAGACGTCTCATAGGTGTATCACTGCAGCGTGGGGATAATGGTGGTGAGGGACTGCTTGTACTTTTAGGGCTGTGTGCAAGGGTCCTACCTGCTCCATAGGTCAGTCCCCTCTCTGGGATGTGCACGTGCCACATGCCCCTTTCTGGCCACAGCCCAAAGATTAAAGAAGTTTTAAGTGACAAGCAGGCACTGACTGTTGAGCAGTGAGTCTGACGATGTAGGAACTCGCACTAAAGCCGTCAGCAACTTCAAGCAGGTATTTCTAACAGAATCGAGTTCTGAAGCTGAAACCCCTTGTACAACACGGTTTATAATCCAAAGGAGTGAGATCCCTTGCTGACTGAGCAGGGTCCAAGGAAAAGTTGGTCATCTGGTTGGTGTTTTTTTGTAAAGTGGGGAGACTTTAGAAACAGTACGGAGGTGTACTGGTGTCATCTTCTCAAGCCATTTGTGTCCAAAGTACTCTGAAGTTAGGCCAAGGTAAAAGCAATGGGAAGTTAAGCCTGTGGCATCAGCACACGTTCTGCTCTACAGCAGTGTAGGCTGGTCCCCTTCTTGACAGACAAGGTGTGAGAAAGAACAGGAGGCACCTTTGCCAGGATTGGGCTGGGGCCTCACTGCTTGCCCTACTGCTGTGGATGAAACACTCCGGGACTGTCAGTGGCATGTCCTTTCAGCTGTGGTAGGGAAATGACCGACTGCCATCTCTGTTGTGAGATTTGTGTGTCTGAGAACCTTTCATGTATTGGAAGAGTCCCTGTCAGAGGACCTGAACAGGCCATTCTGGTTGCAAGGAGCCACATCTTAGCCTGTTTCTCTGTCCCCTGTTTTAGATGCTGGGCTTTAAATAAGCTTTTAGAGGAGGGGTGTGTGGCTCAGGTATGGCCTGGTTCACTGCCAGGCTGTAGGTGGCTGTGTTGTGGGGGGTCAGTGGATGTTGAACTGGAAGGTGTTTTTATCTTACTCTGTACAACCGGGTCATCTAGTCTCAACACTGCCCTCTCACATTCTGTCCTGCAGTACCCCGGAGTCGCCCAGAGCATCAACAGTGATGTTAACAACCTGATGACTGTCCTGAGCATGAGCAATATTCTCCCTGAAGGTAAAAAGGCAGAGACCCTTGGCAGGCTCTGTGTTCCTGCTGGCGCATGTTGAGTTCTGCCAACCCCTTTCAAGAAGCGTGTTGCATACTTCTCTCCGTAGACAAGGGAGGAAACAGCCTCAAGGAAACAGTGTAAAGGACTTAAGAATTGATAAGTCTGTCCAGGAGCAGGTCTCCTGCAGAAAGCAGGAGAGGTAGTGGATGTGGGCAGTGGGTGCAGGGCCAACTTGAGGAGCCATGCTGTGCTCCTGTTTCCTGCTGCAGAGCTGCCACTGCCTTTGCTGGGCATGTGCCTGCTCCAGTGTCCACTCAGTGGAGTGGGAAGTGCACCTGTGTTGGTTTTTCCTGGCCATGTATGTGCATGCACCTGCCAGAGTAATGTGCACTTGTCTCTGTGTGCTCTTTATAGTGAAGGACCCATAGGGACTCTTGGCAAACTATAAAGTGTTTGTTTATATATATATATATGGTATATTTGGCAGAACTCATACTTCTCCATGTTTCCTGTAGCCCTCCATGCCTGCCATTCGCTGCTCTTTCCAGTTGTTCTCTGTTCTTCCCAGTCAGAGTTGTGGAGAGGTGGAGAACTGTCAGACTTGGAGCTTGCTCAGTGTCCCAGCACATGGATAAGTCCCTTTTCCCACAGGGAATGCAGGACTTACTACTCCTTTTTTCCAAATATCTGCCTGCAGCAGCTGTAAATCTTGGTGGGACTGTACAAATACTGCTTTAAAGTCAGACTGGGTGCTGACAAAACCTGGGACTGTTCTCTGTGGTGGCTGGGCAGGGCCCTGCAGAGGCTGCTGCAGTCCCAGCCGTGTCTGGCCCAAGAAGTAGATTGGTTTTCCAGCTCCAAGACTGAGAAGATGGGACTTGGCAACTCCAGGCCCGGGCTACGTGCTGCTGCAGTTCACTGTCTTAGTCATGCTGACTGTTTCTGCCCAGCAGTGCCTGCTCCCAGTTATAAGCAGATGTGGTTTCGAGCCTTTTTTGCTGCTTTTGCCCAGGCTAGTGTTTAGGTGCTTCTACTCCTTGCTGTGTGTCTCTGCACAGCCATGCCAATACCAGGAACAGACAGCCTGGGCTGTGGGTTGGGAGCTGGGGGAGGACGGAGCCCTGCTGTACAAGAACGGTGTGGATGTACCTTGCTGTAGGAGCAGCTGCGTAGCCTTGGCATGGGATTACCCACAGAACCTGTATCCAGTTGGAAATACACTTTGGCTCTCTGAGGCCTCTTGTACTCTTCAACTCAGAGTTGGCTGGATAGCAGGTTGCTCCTCACCTGTAGCTCTGAAAAGCTTAGCCTGAGGGGCTCCTTTTTTCTAAGCCTACTCTCTTCTCTGCTGTTTGACTTTCAGGTTTGTTCCCTGAGCATTTGATTGAAGTCCTGAGCAGAGAGCTGGCCCTGGAGTGTGACTACCAGAGAGAAGCTGCCTGCGCAAGGAAATTCCAGTATGTTCACACCATTGCCTTCAACCCCTCCTGTCTCTGTATGTGTGTGAAATGCAGGAGAGGTTGCTTAACTTCAGGGACAGTGGGGAGATGAATGCCGTGCCCTGGGATGTAGCACAGGGGGAGGGTGCGTGTTTGTGGCCTGAGCTGTCCCCTAGAATTACCGCTTTGTCTCAGCCAGGTGTATTTTCAGTCAGCTGAAACGTGATAGCATATCCTCTCTCCTTCAGCGCGAGCCTGTCTGTTTTACCATGGGAAGGTACTGTGGTAACTCTTGAGGCCAGGTTGCAGTGCGGTTCTGTGTACTCTTACGTCAGCCTGTTGTAAGCTTCTCCCATCCTTTAGTCTAGGAGGTTTTTCAGTTCAGCTCTCTTACAGCAATTAACACCACCAGCACTGCCTGCTCCCTTGGCCTGCTGTAGCAGAGGGATCCAGATTATTTTTACATGAAGGCTGGATGAGGGAGAGCTGCTGGAGGCTGGATGCCCTTCCTGTCCCTCTGCAGAACTGCCCCTTTGGCATTGCTCCCCTTGGAAAGGCCTGTTTCTTCTGTGCGTGGTCTGGCCCTGAAGTGAAGTGGGGTGAGCAAAAGAGCCCAGTGCCCTTTGATGTACCAGCCTGGAGCCCTTCTAGTATCACTGCTCTGGCAGGAGATGTGACCTCAGGAGCCAGCAGCAGCTGTAGTCACTGGCGTGGTTTCTGGTGACTTGATCCCTACTGTAACTGCTGAGGAAAACGTCTCCTGGCAGCCTCAGCCAGGGTGTGGGGAGAGGTTGCGTGAAGGGGCTGTGTGCTGCACGAGGTGTGGCGGAGGGGCCTGGCTGCTCTCGGGGCTCCTAACCTTTTCCTCTCCTTTCTCCATCCCCTAGGGAGCTGCTGAAAGACCACCCCTTCTTTTACGTCCCAAGAGTAGTGGATGAGCTGTGCAGCAAGCATGTCCTGACCACAGAGCTGGTGTCTGGCTTCCCTCTGGATCAAGCTGTAGGGCTGAGCCAGGAGATTCGGAATGAGGTACTGTGGGGTGGTCTTCCTTCTCCCCTCGCTCAGAGCAGCGTGCTTGGCCTGCCTGGTGACTGGTAGATCAGGGGATGCTTTGTGAAAGGGCAAACCTTGATCAGTGCAAAGCAGGGCTGGAGTCGGGGACTGTCTGGAGCCTCTCAGAAGATTTCTGTGTAGGGAATTTGGGAGTGATGTTGGAGTCTCCTCAGGCTGGTCTAGGCCTTGCAGGTGTCAGCATTCAGCACGGAGGGATTGGAGGGGTGAATGGCAAGGGCAGCTGAAGGGGAGGTAGCCTAGCTGTGTAACTCCTAGATGCCCTGTTTCTGTCTCAGATGACCTTAAGATTGGGAGGGATTGTCAGCTAGGGGAGAGGGGTCTTGTTTTGCAGCTGCTCTTTTGGGCAGGAGTGCAGAATCATCTCCTGCCCTTGTGCAAGCGTTTGGGTGTCATCTCCTTCTGTGGGACTGACCTGTGCCGCACAGGGCTGCTGGAAAAGTACCTCTCGGTAAACAGGAGGGGGGATGTGGGGATGGGTAGGCGGTGGTGCTGAATATAGCAAGGGACTGGAGTGCTGTGGTGGGACAAGCAGCTGCTCTAGTAGCAGAAATAACTGTCCTGGTATTTGGATTTTTCCTTTTTTTTTTTTGTCTTGGTGTGAGCTGTCAGCTGTTAGCAGGTCACTGAGGAAGAGGGCAGAGTATGTTCCTCTAGATAAACAGATCTCAGCACCATACTGGACTTGAAGCTATGCCAGAGCTGGCTACCTGTGACCCCTGAACTGTTTGTTCTTAGGGCTTGTCCCCTCCAATGAGCTGCTGTATCATCAGGGCTGCTTTTAAAAGGTTGTGAGGTGGGGTGTTGCTGCAGGAGCAGCCCTTCTTTCCTATAATTGACTGGCCTGGGTGACCCACAGCCTTCTGACCCAAGTGGCAGTGTCCTGTAGCAGGGTCTGGCTTGCATTTGCTGCTCTCCTCCCTCCCTCTTGGATATGATGTTTCACTCAGCTTAGCAGAAGCTGAAGAGGGGCAGAATGAGGCTGGCAGTTCTGCTGCTGAACAGGCTCCAGCTTAAATATCCTCACAGAAGAGCTCTGCTGTAATATGTAATTCAGCAGTGGGCTCTTCAGGGACTCCTACTTTTGCTTCCCCCATGCCTGTCAGCCCCCAGGTGGGGGTCTGCTGCTCCTCCCTCAAGCTGGGTCAGTGCTGAGCCCGGCGGAAGACTTGGCTGAGGATTACATGGTGGGTGTGTGTATCTAGTGAAGACCCCTTTCAGTAATGGTTTGGACCTAGCTCTGTACCTTGTTTGGCAGCTTTACAGGAAGAGACTCTCCTCTTTAGCTTCTTTGGGCCTTTAACTTAAAATCCTCTGGAACCGCATCTCATTTCCCCTGAGCTGTATTGGCTTCATTTTGGCCAGGGTCCTGCAGGACTTTCCACCAAGGTAGGCTGTAATGCTCTACTGGCCTCCCCCACCTCTGTTTCTGGATCCCTCTTCACACTGTAAAGATGTTCCTTTGTTCTCAGAGCAACAACGAAGTGCATAGTCAAATCTGGGAAGGTAAAAGACAGGACCAGGACACAAGTAACACATGCAGTTGGATAACCCCTGGAGCCTGATGTTCTCAGCCGCCAGATACAGGGTAGCAGCCTCTCTGGAGGCACAATCCAGGGGCTGATATGGACTACAGCTTAGGCTGGCGTAAAACTTGGACGGCATCTGTGCTGTCTGCTAAGGATGTCCCATGGCAGGTGTGGGCTTAGAGTTGCTGAGTGTCTCTCTCACCTCTTCAGGAGTTTTGCAGCATGGAGCAGATAGTTCCTGCCAGTGTGGTGATGTGTTCCCTGTTTGCTAATGCCTGCTGTAAATTACGTGTGAGTAGGGCTTGCTGCCCTCCTGACTTGCTTCTTTCTCTCCTTGCTTTTCAAGATCTGTCACAACATCCTGGTCCTGTGTCTGCGGGAGCTGTTTGAGTTCAGGTACATGCAGACTGACCCAAACTGGTCAAACTTCTTCTATGACCCGCAGTTGCACAAGGTAAGCCCAAGCGGCCGCTCTTCTGCCTGTACAAGAGCTGGTTTTCATCAGCTTTCGATTATTCCCCCCTCCCAGAACTTAACAAGCCCTTACTGAGATTCTCTCAGATTCCTGTCCTTGAGCCTTGGGCAGGTAGGACAGCTGAAACTTGTCCCTTTGCCATTTGTCCTCACTTGGTCTGGGTGGGAGAGCAGGGCTCCCGTAACCCTGGCTGGCTGCCTGTCTTTGGCCTTAAATCCAGTCACAGCTACTTCCTTAGCCTCAGGGTCTGTTTTGAAGCTGGTCAGTGGGAAGTTGCAGCTGGCAGTGCCCCTACCAGGGCACTCTGAGCCAAGGACTCTTTAGTTGAATGCTCTTGTCTTGTGCTGTGCTGAAGGTAAGGGTGCCTGGGGAAGCAATTGCAGATGTCCTGCTTGTTGGTTTGGCTGCTTGCTTGTGCCCTGCAGGGCAGATAGAATTGCTTGTTCATCCCTGAGGTCTGTGTTGGGAAGTGCTGGGAAAAGGTTCTGTGCTGCTCTGTCCCCGTGCAGAAAGCCTGAGCGGAGTTATCAGCTGAGCAGGTGTGACAATGTGAGCATAGGCCATACCTCCTCTGCCATGTACTAGTGCAAATGTTTGTGCTGCTGTTGGGAAATAAAGGAGTGGGGGAGAAGATGAGCTGCAGTGGAAAGGCTCTCCAGCCAGCTGAGCTTCCTGAAGACATCAGGAGTCGTCTTAAGGTCTGGCTCTACTTGAGTGGTTGACACTGTAATACAGATGGGTTTGTCCATTTCCAGGTGGCCCTGCTGGACTTTGGAGCAACACGAGGGTTTGATGAGAAGTTCACAGATGTCTACATAGAGGTGAGGGCTTGCACTGTGTCCTAGAGTGCTGCACTGTGGGTCTTAAAAGAGTATTTGCAAAATTCTGCTTATCTATTAGCTGTATCACTTTGTACTTGAATCCACTCTGGGTGTGGAGGGAAGCAGGGCTGGAGGCAAGAGAGATCTCTGTTCCTGTTTCATCCCTTACCATAGCTTTCTGCATGTCTGCTGCAAGCCTCTGGCTATCTGAGTTCAGATGTTTAAATTGCATGACAAATGTGGAGAACTGTAATGTTGCTTACCGGGAGACTTGGGCAGCAGAGCATATCAGAGCACTCGGAATTTAGTGATTTTTATATGAGGGTATGCAGGAATTGCTTGTCCTGTTCACTGTCTCTTCCTGTGATTTCTAGCTTGCTTACAGACTTACAAATTTATGTGAAGTCATGTGCTTCCTTTGTGATCACCATGTTCTGCACTTGATAAATTGAGCTGCAGGGGCCAGCAGATGTCAGCTAAAGCTTCTCACAGTTGGCTCTACTGTTTTATTGGGGGAGGGGCCGATTGCTTCGTGAAGCTTTTTTGATGTCCCTTACATTCTCTGGGCTATGTGTAGTCCTACTAAGAAGAGCTTTGAAGAGTCAGCAGCTGTATCTTTTTGCCAGTAGCTCTTAAACTGGCCAACATGCAGACCCCTGAAGATGAGGGCAGAGGCAAGGAAGCGAGCGGGCAGCATGTGTACCTGTAGCCTGTGTAGTAGTCCTGTACTCAAAAACATTTTTCAGTCATCCCCTAGCTCTCCTGAAAGTGTTCCTCCTATTCAGGTAATCAAGGCAGCTGCTGACATGGACAGAGAGAGAGTACTGAAGAAGTCCATTGAAATGAAATTCCTCACTGGCTATGAAGTCAAGGTATGGAGTAGAAGGCTCTGCTTTTAGTGGTGGCTAGTGATAAGTTTGTTGCGGGTCTGTGGACTTCCCCAGATTTCTTGATGTGGTAAAAGCCAATGTCAGTCTGAAAGCCTGTTGATAAGGATGAGGGAGGAGGGCAAAAAAGGTTTTGGCTTTTGTTCTCTCACTTCCTTTTGGGAGTGGGAGCAGTAATAATAATACAGCTAGTCCCAAAACCACTATCCTTCCTTCTCTCCCCCAGCAAGACCCTGCAGGTGGCGATGACTGCTGATATTTCATGATTGGGCAGAAGGTCTTCTGGAAGGTTTAGTTGCTTGAAACTGTATTAACCAAATGTTCATCAGTCTTGCTGGGGGCTGGAGGTTACCTTTGTTGTGGGTATAGCGAGGTATTTCTCCTGAGCTGTGGCTGTTCACGCTAGCATTTCTCCTTTTCCTCCCTGGTGGTTAAAATGGCTAGTGATGTTATTTATGCCTCTTTCCTTTTGGGCAGGAAATGGAAGATGCCCACTTAAATGCTGTCCTCATCCTGGGAGAGGCTTTTGCGTCTGAGGAACCTTTTGATTTCGGCAACCAAAGCACCACTGAAAAGATCCATGGTTTAATCCCAGTCATGCTGAAGCATCGGCTTGTCCCTCCGCCAGAGGAGACCTACTCTCTTCATCGGAAGATGGGGGGTTCTTTCCTTATCTGCACCAAACTGAAGGCCAAAATTCCCTGCAAAAACATGTTCCAAGAGGCATATAGCAAATACTGGAGCAGTAGGGGCAAGAAGCCAGAGGAGTAGTAAGAATGAACTAACAAGTCTTGTTCTGAGGGCACAGTTCATCTGAGCCTTGCAGAGAGCGTTCTAGCCTCCCATGCGTTGCACCCCAGCTCTCCATCCTCTTGAGATGCAGCAGCCCGTGCCCTGGAAGCCAAGTGTGTGTTTCCCAAGGACAAAGCTGTTCTTTCATGCTGTGTCTGTCCTACACTGACTGCCAATCCAGTCTGCAGGTTGCAGGAAACTGTCTTCTTGAGTGCTTCTGTACTGTTGCAAGGCAGCAGCTGACTACCTTGAATGCATTTTTAAGGTTGTGATGGTGGCTGCATATTGATTGGGTTTTATAACGAGTAGGGGAAGGAGGACAAGAGCAGAATTTAATATTGGAACCTGTTTGTAATTCTCCAAAAATTGTTTTTTAAAAAAAACTTCCCTCTTTCATGCTAAGGTGGAATCCAAGTAGTTTTCATACTGTGAATTATAGAATGAAATACCAAGGTGTACCCTACCACAGACACATTCAGCACCTCCCTCCCCCCCCATTTTTGTAAGTCAAGTGGTGGCAGTCTAAGAACCCTCCTGGATTTTACTGACATTGATTTAATGCAAGGGGGGTGTGTGTGTACATAGGATGAAGTTTTATGCTTTCTGCCTCTTTTTGGCTTGCAAGCTAAACATAGGAAATATTTTAAAAATCTGAGAATTGAGTGCCAATCTCTTTTAAACACACACATACACTCACACAACCCATCTCAGTTCTGGGAGTCAAATATGTAATCAACAGATCTATATCTGAGCACAGATAGTGGGATTCTTCACTGTCTGGTAGGTATTGGCTTTCCTGAGGGCGAGTTAGATAAGCTACAACTCTGACACCAATTGCTTGCTGGACTCCTAACCAAGAACCTAGTCTGTCTGTCTCTCTCTTTTCCTGTAATGCAGAACTTACGGCAAGGCAGACAAACACATAATGTCTCTCATGAGCATTTCAAGCTTTTGCTGAAATGTCACACATTTAAAACCAGACGCACAGTTTAAAACTATTGGAGTCAAGCTAGGAAATTTACTTTCTTAGATTTTTGTACAAAGCCTGTACCTGTATGACTTCCTGATTTCAATAAAAAAGTGCTTGTGCGGTGGGCCTTCTGCCTGCATTATTTTTTTCATTTTCTGGTGCAGTAATGAATAGCTAAGTGAACTGTGTCCTATTCTGTGGGATAAACAGGAGTTGAGCAGAAGGAGAAGCTTCCAAGTCTCCTCTTGTTGCAGTTGTTTGCTCAAAGAATTGCTATTACCCTTGTAAAGCCATCTGTCTATGGCCTGTTTATTCCTTTCCATTGCAGCTGTGTCACTAGTGCTAACAGTGATGGTGACAAGTTCACCAGGAGCCAGAGGGCCATCAGCCTGAACATCTGTCTGGCCATGAAAATCCCTGGTAACTGACTTGTTCTCTTCTTGTCCTTTGTTTTAATCACTGTTACCAGTCTCCTGGACACAGGTCTTTCTGCCTTTCCTCCACTTGTGAAGAAAGGGTGGCTGTTGGAGTTGATGCTTACCTGGTGCTAGTAAGGCAGATGTCCTTATCTGGCAAGTGCCAGATATTTAGCAGCAGGCTCAGCTGGTCCTACTTGGTTAACACAGCCCAGGAATGCAGAGGTTGTATGATCTTAAACTTCAGAACCTAAGATATCCTGATTGCTGACACTTCCAGAGGTAAAGAACAGGTAAGTGAGTAAATGGTCTCCCTCAGAAGGGACCTTTGAGAAATAAGAAATATTACCTTTATTCCCAGATCATAAACATATAAACTGCTTCATTTAAGACTTGGTTGAGAAAGATCTGTTACTGTTTAATTCAACTAAAGGTACTCATCAGGTTATTCCTAACCCTTTGAGAAGAGTGAACTCTGCTGTTCAGTGAAGTAATAGTTTTGCATTAAGCTGTTTAACTTTGTACACTGACAGAGTAACTTGTTCCTTGTTGGTTTGGGTTCTGATGGACATTGTTTTTGTTTTTCTCCTTTGGATCTAGACCTTGCAGCTGTAAAAACAGTGAAATTGTTTGAGATGTTAAATGCTTATGTTAAAAAGCAAAGTATAAAAAGCTGATGAGGGAATTGGATCAGGTGAGCTTCAGAGCAGAATTTCTGAAACTGAAGATTCAGAGCCAGTATGTTCAGACAACTTGCAAAGTAAGTCGGCAAAATAACTCAAAGAGCATTACCGTTCACTTTTCCAGTAAGCACAACTAGGTGATTGGTATGTGCTTGTTCATGTGACCACAGATCCTTTGTATACCATGCTGGGGCATGGGTGTTTAACTCTTGGCAAGCACTTCCATTCCCTTGAGAGAGAGCGTGTTTAAGAATAACATCAAGCTGAACAATGGAGTTGTTTTGCATTTGCCTAAAGGGTAATGACTAGCAGAAGGTAAGATGTATATTTATTAGGAGAGCTTCTCCTGGCCTTTTGTGTATGTTCTAAAAGCGCTGTTAATTCCTATAGTTTTGTCCAGAGAGATTTGTGACATGAGGAATTGCATGGAGGAAAGGTGAACCAGAAACACTGTGCTCTGGCTTCAAGTTAAAGAAGTCATGATACTTTACAGTGAGCAAGAACACTGGGTAGTGCATTTGCTTGAACTACACATGTAGGTTTAGGATATGAACACTTCTCTGCTGCAGCAAGCTTCAGAAGAATCCTCTTGCAGAAAACAGTTCTCTTGTTCCACAGGGCAAGCGGGAGGTTAAATCTGCTTCTCTGAAGATAGGGATTTTCTATTTTCCATTCTAAAGAATCAAGATTCAGGCTACATGTGCTAGGAGTGATTTTCCTACCTTCTTTCTTTAGTCAACCTGGCTGCTGCATCAAAACAGACAGTGAATGCTGAGGAGCTGAACAGGAAGCCTAACGTGCAGTTCACTTTCTGCTTTTCTAATGTCCCCTGTCCCTTGACAATAGAAGGCCCATTTCCCAAGACCTTCACAGCTGTGGTGGTGCATCTGGAACCCTGGGAAATCAGAAATGTAGCACTGATTGTGAAAGTCAGCACAGGAAACAGATGGTATTTCACGGAGCTACAGCAGCTAAGCAAGACCTGCGGTGGCCTGAATGGGATGAGCCCATGTGCTTAAATCCACATGAGCTGGATTATGGGGGTGCTGACAAAGTAATAATTTTGACTGAAGGAGAGGGACAGGAGCAGAAGCTTCTGTGGAGTAAGGTAGCCTGTGGCCACGCAGGAAGCATGCTGACTGTTCCTGGAGGGGATTGCTGGCAGTCATTGGTAATGGGAGAATGCCCAGGCTGGCACCTGCTGGCAACACAGGATCAGTAACAGCATAGTCCTGTATTCCTGCTGGGGGTGGGTGGGTGACTGAAGCATGTAATCAAAGCTAGGACTTTTACCAACAGTGTAATAAATGAAGAGGAGGATGTCCCAGCAGTCAGTTTCTGGTACAGAGAAAATCCCAGGCTGACTTGTCAGGAACTGGTGGATGATATGAAAGGGTCAGGGCACATGCAAAACTTCACAGGTATTTTGAGATGCACTTAAAGATGCACGAAAGTCAATTTGATGCTGGTAGCTCAGAAATAAGTAAGAATCCAGCCTCTAACACTAGGGCAGCTGAAACAGTTGATGTGTAACTAAATGAAGGGGGGGGAACATCAGAAACAATGACTACAAATATTGACACAGAACAGATGATCTAAAAAAAAAGTCAGGAAAACTGTAGTTGAAGAAGTTCAATATACCAAAGTATAAGGTGGCTTGACTCTGACTTTTCAAAAAGGTTCTGGTAATTTTTGGTGTTAGAGCTAAATCGATTTTTCTCATATATTCCTTTTCTTCCCACTGTGTACTTGTGCAGATGTGTTACAACATGCTGGTTTTATCTTCAAGAACACCATTATTCCCCTTTCCATTTCCTCCTCAAAGCTTAACCTGGGGAGGTGGGAAAAAAAGACAAAACGTCTGCATTTCTAACAGTTCCCTGTTTTATTGCAGTACATCAAAGTAGGTTAATATTAAGTGTGTTACCAACATAAAATAGTGGTGGTAAGTCATTTTTACATTATTGACTTTTCCACCTTAAATATTTCTGTGCAAAAGAATCTACATCATTGTTCTGTAGCAGAGAATCTCTTACAATGTCCCCTACAACATTGAGGGCATTAAACAAAATAGTGAGAAGAGGCAAAAAGCAGAATCTTTCCCCCACACGCACACTTGTCAGCTTTTATACTCTAAAACAAAAAAGTGATTACATCTATGCCATGCAAAACTGTACAATAATATTACAATGAAAAACCTAAAAAACATTTTAAAAATAAATGATATGAAACTGTCATACATAAAAAGGCAGGTATAATTGCTCTGAAATACCAACACTGGTTTGTCTGTGGATTTCTTCCCTGTGGATGAGACTCTTTTAAATGCAGAATGAAAATAGGTTGTACTGAGCTGCGGCTGGAATGAAAGACAAAGTAGGGTTGGAATTTAGACTGGAAAGCCTGCAGCAGAGCGGTTTCTGGGGGTGTTTATCAAATACAGTGTGAACACAAAGCCACATGGAAGGGCGCAGTTTGTGTTAGTGCAGAAAGTTGTCCCATTTCCTCCATGGAACTGACTCCTATTAACAAAAACCCCACAGTATAGCTACTATGTGCCACTTTGATTCTCAGACTAAGGCTCAGGAGGTGTGGGTACTTGCACTGAAGTAAATTTTACCCTCAATGTATTAATTTGAAATTAAACTGTGCATAAAATGGAAAAAAACCCTTCTTCCACCCAAGAGCATGTTTGTCCTGTCATTCAGGGTCTGGCCATGCAAGAGAATGTGGTGCCAGAATCTGTTTCCGCATCAATACTCCAACTGTTTTGTTTTGAAAGGCTGACACACTCTGTGAACCAGTTAGGTGCGGTTAAACTACATTTCTATAAATACACTATGCTTTTTGGACTTTTTTGGCATGGACAAGACCCTTAATTTCCCTCTGCCGTATACCTGAGAATAACACACCTGGCTTGTAGTGTTATCAGAATCAAATCAAAGAGAGAACATTCCTGACTCAGTTTTGAAACTCGTTAAAGTGGGCAAAATGCACATTCATAACAAGCCACAGCAACTAACTGAGAGAAAAAGAAGCAACTACTTCACCACAGCCTCAGGAATGTTTTTTTGAGCCACCAGCTGTCTTCTACAGGTCAAAGGCAAGAGAGAAGAGAGTACTATAACCCTGCTTTTGGGTTTATGAAATGTGGAAGGAAGCCACATATCTGTGTGCGCACACGTGCAGGGGAAAACTATTTACCAAACCTTTTTCATTCTATAACCTGGAATCCTTAGTAGCTGCCTGAATCTGTTCAGATCCTTTGTTGCCATCAAAAGAGGAAAAAAAAAGCAAAAATCCAACAACCCATATGTTTAAGCAGTGTCAAAAAAATGCAAACACCTTCAGTCTCAGCCAAAAGGAAAAAACCAGCTAGATACATACTGTGTACAGAGAACATACATAAGCTACAGTCAAAAATTCAATGGGAGGTTTTAAGCTCCCTGAACAAAATGCAGCCCTCTAACTGTGAAGTTGAAGCAATGCTACAGTGCAAAGTAGCAAACATCAAACCTTAAGAGACAACTGTCTTTGAGATACCAGTCAAGAGTCTTACAGTTCAAATGACCAAGTTACTTTTCCTAGCCCAATGAGTATTTAAAAAGCTCAGCTACAGTATATGCATGTTTTCAGTGTTCATACCAACAAAAAAAGATGAGCGTGGTTTAAAATTGAGTGTATAATCAAATGGTCCCCAAATATATAAAACGATTCAAGTCTTAGGACGATTTTTCTCTTTTCAAATAAGTGATGTGGTCATTTGCTTTTCAACTGAGAGAACAGTTGCTGTTTCTCTTTTGAACAGATGCGTATAAAAATGCACAGTACCAAACTAATGATTAAATATAGTAATCCTAAAGGAGACTGCCAAGGCTTAGAAATTGTGGTGTACAAACGGTGTAGGCCTGTGGAGCTCTCATCCTCTGGAGCTCAGTTTTGTAACACAGCTGACCTACGCTCTGCCTGAAAATGTCAGATTTTTTGTATCAATAGATTGCAGGCACCGTAACGGAGTAAACAGAGGGGTTTACTTGATTTAATTGTTTGTTGTGTTGTGGCTCTTTGGGTTCCATTTTCAGATAGAGCATTAGCTCAACTGCAAAAAAAAAATCCACAAAAAAGATCCTGTGACCCTCTCTCAGGGGACTGTCACACAGGCTGCTCTGTCTTAAGTGACTGCTGTTTAAATGCCTTCTCTCAACATCAAAGTAAGATTAATGTTTAAATACAACGTACAGTAAATACAAAACTAGTCTGCAAAGGCTTTGAAAAGTGTGTGGACATGCTTCGCCAAAAGGAGGGAATTGTGGGGAAAAAGCAGTGGCTATACTTGAAGCAATATGCAGCCTTTAAAAAGAAGCTGATGTGGAATTTTAATAATGCCAATAATGTCCTGCTTATCTGTCCCTCAGAAAGACTGAAAACTATTCTGGGAGGAATTAATTTCAAGTGCTTAGCCGTTTGCTAAGGCTTTTAATATTAAATGCCAGGCTTGCAAAAGTAGTAGCTTTGAAGTGAAAACGAACACCACAACCTGCTTGCTACTCTGAAAAACCCAAACAGGAGAGACAGGCTTTTGATATGATGGTTTCTAAAAAAATTCTTGAATTCCTGTCCCAAAGTAACATTGAATGAGCTTAAACTTGGGCAAGCCTCTTGATTCAGAGTGAAAGAGAAATCTTACCTAGGAGACCCAGCATGATTAAATGGATTAAATGATCTGTGTCTCATTCCCTATTTCACATATAGATCATACCTGGAAATTACTGTACATGGTTTGAACTTACCTATAACTTCCATTAGGGAAGACAGAAACTGGAAAACTCCAAACATCTCTGTGTGGGTGAAACACTATATACTGCTGACTGCAAGAATATGGAATGGTTTAATAAGAGCCATAACAAGTTTCCGAAACCCACAAAAACCAGTATTCTAAATACAAAAAGCCCTTATGTGTTTGAGTATGATCATAGTATAAAGCCAGCAACAATGCTACTGAGAAGAGAGGCTCATTTGAACACGCTCCCAAATGAAAAACACATCTGCCCTGCTAACTAAAGAGAAGAGACATCTTCCTCTTACCATACATCAGTCTCTCACTTTATTCTGTTGACTGCATGACCAGCTTCAGCTTTTTATTTGTTTTTGCAACTTCAGTGGGCTCTGTCTTCCACCGCAATACTTTCTGCCCTCCAACCTGACCTGCTGTTGGAACCAAACAGCAGGTGAGCACATAGAAACAACTGCAAATTGCACAAACCCACAGCACGGGTGGGGAGGGAGAGGAAAACCAACCTTGCCAGCATGGCAGTTGTGGGTGACTAGGCATCTTTGACTACCACAGTGTGAACAGTGTGAGGTCAGTCTTCAAGGTTCTTCGTTGCTACAGTGACAGCATAGCCAGCCACGGCTAGCTTTGGGCTAAGGGCACTCATTTGGCTGATGTGTATTAGCAACTAGTATTTGGTAACAACAGTAACAGTTTTCTGGTTAGGGATGGTCAAGGAGATGTGGAAGACTGCTCCCTTCCGAGTTAAGCCTGCTCAAAGGCTGACCCAGGGAAACAGTTTTCCTGCTGAATCCTGCTGCATTGAACTCCCTTGCTGCCTTAAGGACCTCTACTGTAGCATGCCGCAAGGCTCCTCAGCTGCACAGCTAGCACACAAGAAACCAGGGCAGCCACCTGGCTGACTGGTGCCCTTGGTTGTTGGGGCAGGAGGTTGCTTTCCAATCGTTGTCATTTTTGCAAAGGATGGGGATTAACATGAAAGTAGGAATTATAGCTTCAGTTATGCTACCGCCAGAAGTAAAGAAATGTGAAAGCACTGCAGGGACCTCTCCCGCCAGTGCAGCGAGTGCTACGCAAAAGGAATATCTGTCCTGCGAAAGGTTTTAGGCCAGGCCTCCAAGTCTGTATATTACCGAGCATGAAAACAGGGACAACACAAATCTTAAATTAAAGGCTCTCTTAAATAAGCATCCATCTTCTGCTGCATACACAATGCTTTTTTTCTTTGAATATATACATACGTATTTTACTCTAACATCTGCGTATTTATTTAAACTCTGTACTGTAGTAAAATATGCATCATTTTAATCAATAAGGATTTGCTGGCGACAATCAGATTGACATTCAAACGTGGTGGCTGAAAGCTTTTATGTGCCTCTGACATACTGATCATTCCCCATGCAGGGGAAGGGGTCTGTGCTACTTTTGTACAGTACAATGAGCTATTGTATGAAAACAAAATCCCTCTGAATTTTCTCTTGTTGATACTGGTCTGGTCTACTTAAGCTACTTTTTGGGAAGTGGAAGGGGGGTGGGATAAATATGTCTTTAAAAATGAAGCAGCTGTAACCACAAAAATGAAACCAATACTAATACAAATCTACAGCATCTGATATTTACCAACACCCTAGCTTTGCTCATTTGCTGCTGTCAAATCTGGGGAAGGGAGGGTGAGGCAGTGCCAAACGGTGCTGAAGACGACCAGCTTTTACCTTCCTCTGTACCCCACTCCCAGATCACTTTCAGGCAGGGAACGGGGAGAGTTAGGATGATGAAGGTGAGAACTGGAACGAGTGAAGGGGACAGCCATGGGGACAGCAAGCTGCTGTGATGTCAAATCTGAATGCTGAAGCAGTTCATGAGTCCCAACTCACGTGGTCAGAGCTCTCCAGGGAGAGGCTCTTGGTCTTGTGAGGAGAAACTGGGCTAGGAGGGCTGCTGAGGTTGGAGCTGTTCGATGCAGTAGAGTGTCTCGGAGAGTCAGAGTCCTGCAGCCCAAAGACACAGAAGAACACTAGTAAGTAACAGGATAGCAAGTTTGAGAGTGACTGAGGGTGTCTGAGCAACAAGTGACTGGATTCAAAGGCCTCCATGTATTTTGCTTGTGTCCAAAACTACTGAGGAATTTTTTTTTTTTGCTCAGGATTTCCTGGTCCAGGGAGACTTAGGAGCAAGCAGTGAGATCACTCTGCTTTCAGCAGGCGTAACTGACGCTGACATAAGGACACAGCACCTGTGGGATTCTTGCAGTCTGCATGTTGCTGAGGGCCTCTTGGTCAGCAGAGTGTGCAACTTCAGGTTGCTTGCGAAGCTACAATGGCTCCTGCCTTTTCACAGATTATGATCTGAGATGCTCTTGCACTAAACTGAGAAATCTTTGTGGTATGGGCTTCATCAGAGCTACCTCTTCTATGTCACTCCCAGGATATTAATTCAAAGCATCCCATCGAGTTACTCCAGTTGGATCTTCCAGAGTACCGTAGAATGCAACTATGTCTGAGCTTGAGTTTGGGCTGAAGTTCCAGCTTCAACTGGAAGGATATATTCAGTACCATGAAAAGCCTGTGTGATCTCCTAATTTTCTCACTCCTTGGTAAGAAAATGGGGAAGTTTTGCCAGCCAACTTCAGAGTGAACCCTCCCATGTAAAACATTCTTGGTTGGAGGGACTGAGTTTAGCACTGGGCAGGACTGCAGGCCTATCATAATGATAGTCTTGTTCTGCACAGAATATAAATTATTAAATCCGGTTCCTGCTCTAAATGAAATTATTATATGATAATTCTTAAATTATCTTGTTAACTTCAGGCACTCTGAGTACAAAATGTCTCCTGTGAAGTGGTTGCTAAGATAGCTCAAGAGTCTTTGCAAATAAAGGGCAGAAGGAGTATCACCACTTCAAGCTGTTACTCTACTGGGCCAGTATTTTTGGGAGCCTCACTATGCACATATTTCCAGGTAAGGAGCGCAGAGCGCGTTTTCTGCATGTTAAATACCAGGACCAGAGTTAACACAGTTTGACCAGGCTTTGTCAGGACAGCTTGAAATATGGGAAATCCAAGTCTTCATTGTCAATGACTCCCAAACTTGTAGCCAAACCCGTGACAGAATTTAACTTCCTCATCTTTATCAACACGCTTAAATTTTCTCCTCTTTCTCCTGTCACTCACCTCTCGCTCATAGTCCCTTGTTGGTGCATCGCTGCCTTGGTCCAGGCCACCAGAGGATAAGGACCCATCTGAGGGCGATGCCATAGGCTGACGCTTTGCTCCGTAGCTACCTCCTGAGAATTCCCTCCGCAAAGCACTGCCGTTTTGTGCAGACGATCCTAAAATGGGTGGAGGAATTAAATTGTATTACAGACACCTACTCAAGGTACTAGAAATTTGTTAGCTGTTTCTCTGGTTAGTTCTGCTTTCCTCCAGCATGTCCCAAGATGCTCAGCTCATGGCTTGCAGGCTGTGTGGGCTTTTATCTTTGCTGCCAGCTGCAGTTTTTCCTAGGGATTCTCTGGTCCCTCCCTTGGCACGTCAGCATTAGCACACTTTACCAGCACAGACACAGTCACTATGTTCCTGACAAAGACAGCAGTTGTAGAAACTGCTGTGGTGGCAGCTTAGTTCCAGTGGCCTCTTTCCCACGGAGTAGGTGTTGGGTTCCCAGGGTTGTACCGGCAGGTACAGACTCCAGCAGACACGCATGCTTTCTGCAAGCAGTTGGCAATGTGCAACAAACACGGCGTGTGCCACAGGAAGGGAAAAAACCTAGAAAAGTTGGGACACCAGTCTTGCCTCTATTTTCACATGGTCCATTATTTAGTCACTTGCCTGGTCTTGGCACAGGTCACTGTGCTGACTCTGGCACACAAAGGCAGCATGGCAGCACTAGGAGAGGCGTTTCCAGTGCAATGCAACTCTTCCATACCAGCAGCCAGTTTTCTATTGCTTTCTCTTTGCACTAGCAGCAAGAGAGGCATCGAGAGCCCTACACGGTTCAGCAACAAAGTTAATAACCGTGGAGCTTGTGAACAACTTGCCACTGATTTAAAACACTTAAGCAGCAGCAAAGTAGTCCCAAGGGTAAGAATGTAATTTTAATTCTAACGTCAGTTTTAAAAATTTGACAAATTACAAATGTGGGACTTTCAAAAGTGCTAGCTACTTATTCATGTGCTCTAAGCAAGATTAGAATACTGTGCTTGCCCTCAATGGGAATACAGTCAGCCATCACTTCTGAAAATCCCGTCTAGTGGCAGTATGGAGAGAAGCAAATGCAGGTAGCCGTTTCCCTAAAATACTTGTGCATAGACCCCCAAAGCAACACAGTTCTGTTTGCTTACGTGCTGCTAACCCGCTGCTTGCGCTCATCGATCGTCCTGGTTCTGTGCGGGATTTCGTGATCGATGGGATACTGACAGAGCCACTGAATACGGTCCGACTTTCCTGAGGCCGAAGATTCTGCAATTCAGACACACACAATCACATGTTTACTTATTGACTGCTGGCTCAACCTTGGATGTTATGAAGGAAGGCCCCAAAATACATTAAAACCCCAACCTTACCAGAGCTGAATTATCTGGGCAGCAAGTCAGCAAAATTTGCAAAATGATATTCTGCAGTTTAGTGCAGAGACTGGAAGCACACGCAACGCGATAGTGAAGTGCTGAATTACATGGACATATGCAGACAACTGAAAGAGTATGTCTAATAATTCAAGAATTTCCTTGAAAGGATGGTTTGCAAGCCTAATTAAGCTGCTATAGATATATTAAAGTTATATCGCATAATGCATTCTTTCTGAACACAAGCTTCCAGGGATCTTATTAAAATTTCTCTCTTTGATGCCATCATTTGTGCCATGCATGTGTAACTTTATACGATAACCATGTTAATCCCTAATGCCTGCAGAGTTATGAACACATAGTGGATCAATCTGTATTTCAATTACTTATGTAATTCCAAAGGTATTAACAGCATTACTCCAGACCTATACCAGTTGAGCCAAAGTGAGAATCAGCCTCCTGTTTTCAGCCTGCTCAAAGAGGATGACCAGAGCACATGCCACTGTTTTTCTATGTATTTTGATTATCACGCCTGTTTTGCATCCTCAGAGTTCCAATGTGATTTTCTAAATTGGTAAGTTACTGGACTGAAGTGGTCCTTTACTGAGGGAAGAGATAAAACACAATTTCTCCACTTGGATATGGTAGTTCCTTAAACATAAGTTGTCTTTAAAAGAAGGGAAAAGAGTACTTTAAGTGAGTTCTGGGAGATTTTATTTCTGCTTCTGTTAACTTACAGCTGACCTTAGGGGAAAAGGTTTCTCAGCTTATTTAGCCCATCTCTCTGTGTATGAGCTGGCTTCTTAGCCCAGAGGGACTTTCTAACGCCCAGGCTAAAGACGAGACTTCATCCTGCTCCTAACAAGATTTGCACTATTAAGTCATTAGCATTAACTAGAATTAGGTTTAGGGAAACTTTACAGATGCAGAATGTGAAAAGAACTGCAGGTAACTGAGCATTACTTTGTTTCCACTCTACAAAACACCCCCTGCAATAACTGTTAATTTCTTCCTATTTATATTTAATATTTCCCTGTCCTCACTCTGAGATAAAGTAGCCACACATAAAACAACAGTTGCAATTGCAATGCCTTTTTAAGCTAGGACGTTATGGAAATTTCTGACCAGAACAAAGATTCCACCCCCCACAAGGGTATTCTCAGAGACCCTCAGATACTACCCATTTCTCCATCTGTATTTTAAAATGGATAATTAAATAGAGGCTTTGTAATGAACAGATTTTATACAGTTCAGATTTTATCAGATAATCGTTACCAACCTGCTGTCAATCCAGTCTTACAATGAACCTTAGAGTCATTGCTGTAACAGACCCCTTGGCTCTTACAGTCAACCCTTTGCTTCTCATTCTCCCAGTGGGCTGATTTTTAACATGTAACAAACAAGAAAGAATTAAAATCTCTCCTGTTCCCAGATCTCTCTCAAACACCAGCAAAAGAGAATCGGAGACCTTATGAATGAAACAGCCCTGTTTAATTCTCCTCTCATCCACTGCTGCACTATTCTCAATGAGGATTTATACCTGAAGGCTTAAAAAAGTCTCTTAAATCATTTGTGGGATCATACTGCTGGCTCTTGCTTACCTTCCCTCCCCCCTTTTTTTTTTTTTAAAATGTAACCAACCAACCTACTTTGTAGTACAAAATACTGCATTTCTACTCCTGTGTCCTTCACCACGCAATAAACAATCCAAGTTACAGATAAGAGTATGAGCATCCTGGCTGTACATAAACAGTGGAGGCTCCCCTGACAATACGCAAAGGAACTAATGGGCTAAAGAATAAGTTACTGCTGTGTTTTGAGAAACAAGGAAAGCCAAGTGCACCACCATGCAAACGTGTGCACTGAGGTTAGTACACTGGAGTTGCAAGAAAGGTCTTTTGTACTTGTATAAACCTACAGTGGTTCATTTTGCAAAGAGAACAATTATGTTTGATGATAAGGCGATTAACCTCCTTAACAGTGACTGAGCAAACAACATACAGGCATCAGGGGAAGGAGGGAATGGGTGGATGCATGAAAAAGGCTCATTTATTTTAATAGTGTATTCTAATGATGATTATTTTTCATGACCTCAGTTTGCAAAGTCCATGTAATTCCTCGTAGAAAGTTTCTCCACAAAGCAAATCTTTCATTGTTCTTTGTTCTAAAAATAAAATAAGCACATGCCAGAGACCCTGGCATTTTGGACCAAAACCCCTGGAAGTGATATGCACATGATGCAGAAAGGGGATTCAAAGGAAAATAAACGGCGGTTATTAGCGGTAGTTACAAAGCAGCAAAATGCAGCAAGTTAAAAAAAAAGGGGGGAAAAAAAAAAAAAAAAGAAAGAAACCTGAGCTTGCTTTACTTAAAGAGACAAAAACCCCTCATTTAGAGCAACAATTCAAATCCTAGCAGGAAAATTCATTCCCACTGCTGAACCAAATGGAGAAAGGTGAGAGAAGAGAAACAAAATCAGCAGCAGAGAAGCTGCTTGCTGAGCAAAGTTGATAACTGTGGAATAGGGTGAAAGACCCAAATTAGTTCAGTGCATCCCACTCCCCACCAGAGAATGAAGCTGCTGTGGAGCTGTAGGTTACGTACGTGCAATCGCTGCTACGCTCACGGCTCTGCAGTGCTACCGAGCCTCAGCTCCCACACCCACACTAACTGCTCCCACGCTGCCTTCTCAGGCAGCGGGGTGAGAACATACATATAAGGTCTAACTAAACAGTTACAACACCCATAGGAAATTGTTTGCCTATGTTTCTCTGTCCATCAAGCTGCTTGTTGTTGTTTTGGGTTTTTTGTTTTTAAGTAGTGTTCTGTTCATTACGTTATAAACCTGAGCTTTTAATTCTTCCATGAAATAATACGACAGAATCTAAAAGCCTACTTTAATGTGTCATTTTTCAACTCCTCTATGGATCCCATGCTCTTTTGGTTCCAATATCCCATCTGTACCTGGGACCATGGTCCCCTCGGAGGGAGTGCTACCCTTCTTCCACTAAAATCTCCAGAGACAAAGGGGAGATGGGCAGACATGAAACCAAAACGCACAGCCTTGCTTTCCATACAGCTTACAGCATCTCTACCCTCAAGCCACTAAGGAGACAAATGCTTTTCTTCATACAAGATTAAGCCTCTAGTGCTCTAAGGAGCTAACAGGTACAAGATCTTGACACTCCAGGTTGCCCAATTCACTTTTTTTCTCCAGTTTATGCTAGCGGGCTGCAACATTAGGATGAAGGATGCTCCTAAAGCAAAAATTAAGAGTTATTGTCTGAAACACCAGGGGTCATTCCTTACTGATCCCACGGAGACTACTCACATGAGAAAGGGAAGGTAGAGGGTGGGTCACAGTCCGGTGATACATCACTGCATATTAAACATAGAAAATTTTATAGTACAGTTGGATTAAAAAAAACCTGTTAAAACTAGAACTGAAATACAGCTTCAGTGACCTATAATGACCCTCTAAGAGAGAAACAAATTTCAGTTTGGCTTAATATTTTTCTTTTGCATTTCAATAGAGCATTCCTCTTGTGTATTTGCATCTCTCCTCCTACCAGAAAAGCCAGGATGGATGCAGACCTGTCATCACAGGGCACATTTTCCAAAATGCTGCAACTTCATTTTTGAATATTAATGGTTGTGACAATTGGGACTTCACAACAGTGACACATGACCATGCACATGACCAGTCAAAGCTTAGCTGTGCAAACTGGTTTTGGAGCCATAGGGAAGAGATTAGTTTTCCTCCCACGTTTTTAAATTCTCTCCAGTGTTGTATGCAGGTATGTATCCAAAAACCTTCCTGGTGACAGGGATCTAGAACAGCAACCAAAAGGCACTCAAAGCAGTCTGGCGGCGAAGGTTTGCCATGCGTGTCTGAAGGGTGTCCAAAGGCCGCAGAAACCAACAGCAGTGTTTGCATTACAGCAATTGGCATGGCTCAGACCCATACAAACCCTGAGCAACCAACCACCATCACAAACATCTACCTCACAGATTATTCCTGATTTACCTGCGAATCTGTCCCAAGCAGAACTGCAGGCCACAGCACAGTACACAAGTACAATGCACAGGATGTACTTGTGTGCCTGTTTCAGTATGGCTTATATTTCTATAGGACCTAGCAACCCCCACGTAGTCAGACCAGGATGCACAATACAAGAAAAAAGAAGAGGCCACTTCCACCCCCCCAGTTTACATTCCAACTGGAAGGATATCTACAGAACAGTATCTTACCTCAGCCTCTGCTTAAAACTACCGGGATTAAGAGGATCTACATCAGCACGTTGCCATTATCTTTAATTTTTGATCTTGCTCATACATGTTCTAACTTCACTTATTTACTTTAACCTAGAAACTGTCTTAGGCACAACCTGTGTCTGTCTCTCTCAATCCATGTACAGTACTGTGTAAAACTTCTTGCATTCCACATGACTTCATCATAAACAAAGAGTTTGAAAATTTGGTCCAACACAGACAGATCCAGAACCTTTTCCTAATGCAACCTGATACACAGCATCCTGCCACACTGACTGCTGGAGGATGAACACTGTGGAACAGAGAACTTATCATTCAAAATTCCCACAACCTTCCTGGTGATTAAAAATGCTATTCTCATAGCAAAACGTTCAGCCCAGTTGTTATACACGTTTGTTTTTTTTTTTAAAGCCATGAAGTATGTGTTTCTTGGCATGTCAGAGCTGTGGAAAGACCACAGCTGCCAGCAGAAAATAAATCAGCTGGGACAGATGAAAGTTAAGGGGTGAAGGAAACTGCTTACAAGGGTTTTTCTCCCATGTTAATAGCCAGGCAAAAGGAAAACCACACAGTGTTAGTAGAGTGAACACCTGACTCAGCCGTTCATACCCTCAGAGTCATAAAGTCTGGAGTACCGAGGACAGAGCGTGGAGGCGGGGAAAATGCAGGGTTTATGGAATCATAAGAGAGGAATTTTTCAGCTGAATTAACAGTCATGTGGTAGATGTGCTCAAAGTTGCTCGGAGAGGAGATCAGACGGGAGTGATGATGAGGGAATTGATAAGGGGAACGCTGCTATCAAAGACAACAGAGAGAGAAAGCAATGAAGGATGGTTGTACAGGTTACATTGGCAACAGCAGTCCGCAAGAGCAGTCAAATGCTGAAGGACAGCCAGACAGCAACCCTGCTTGCCCATCAACACACAGGTTCTTACATTGTCACCCCCAGTCCTCTGAGCACCTTCCTTACACGGTAGCATGTGGGCCTGCTGCCCTTGCTGTTGCTAAAACATTAAAAACAAATAAAACTTTTAACTCATTGGGAATCGATTCTAATATTTATTATTATTTGATATTTCAAAAGAGCACCACAGTTGTAAAAGGTGCTTTACAGACAGTTGAGAAGCATCAGTTCCCTGCCTTGAGGAGCTTACAATCTAAAATAGACATAACACAAACAAAGGAAGGTGAACACAGGTGAGATGGTGTGGGGAGAAGAAAAGATGAGAATACACAACAGTTAAAGGTCTTAAGAGATGTCCTTCTGTTATTCATGCATTTTAGCGATTCCATTAAAATTAAGTATCACCCGTACAACAAACACAGAGTATTTCCAACAGGAGGGAACAGTGTTTCGACAGGATAGGGACACAGGTCTGGTGGGAAGGTGAACTGGTTAGTGTCAGACATCTGGGACAATTTACTCTGCTGCAGACAGATGACACGAGGCCTATGTCCTTCTGCACACTAACTTAATCCTCACAGCGCTTTAGTGATGAAGAGACTTTGCACTGCTGTCTCTGCACTGCAGAAGACTAGGCCCTTAGCAGATAAGGTGCAAAAGTATTGGGAAATTCAAATGTTTTAAATAGGTCAGCTGAGCAATGTGCTCCCAAAGCGTGACGTAAAGAAAGAGAGGGGACAAATAATCCTGCAAATTAAACAGAAACAATTTCTAATTCACCTCTACAGAATGTGCTAACACAAGTGCTCTTGTAATTTAAAGTCATCTAAATCCAGATTTAATGGAAGAGGATTTCAAGGCTCGGTCTCCCTCCCTGTGCCATCTGTACATGTTCAGCCTGCAAGGGGATGGTTTGCCCAACGGCCACCAGCAAATCAGAAAGCCTTTTCTAATTTCTAACTCCTAATCTTCTCTTCCCCTTGTCCAACTGATTTCATCACCTTAAAACAAACAGATCTGAGTAACATTAGAAATGTTAGGACTTAAAAAAATAAAATATGGTAAAAATACAGCTTACCCCTCTGCTAAACCTAAGGCACTGCTTTTTGTATGTGGAACGTATTAAAGTCTGGAAGAACATTAAGTCACATCCCAAATACATATTATCAAACATTATTGTTACTGTTCTTTTCATTTCAGCTGGTAAAATCCAACTTTTTTTTTTTTTTTTAACATACGCTTATTATGAGGCTTTGCATGTTAACCAAAACATCAATTACCACATTATGGCATATAAGACATAATATACATGAAATTGTTATTAGTAAGTTTAGCAGCATCTAAATATCAGTACAAGAAGCCACCATTCCAAGAATGGTCCAGGAAAGCAGACTTTGCTGAGTTACCTGCTCACAACAGAGAACTGGCAGCAAAGCTACGTTCCTAAAAGCCAATAAGGGAGAAAAGGGAGAGTCTTAAATCACAAGCATAAAAGCAGAGGGTAGGCCAACTGCAGACCATGAAAATATTTAGCCAGCATTCATGAATGTGAGAAAGCCACAATATGGCAACATTTTTAAAACAATCCTCCATGGAACTTTCTCCATGGACTCCACCATTAGCTGCATGCATGGGGTTCCCACTTTCTTTAAAGAATACCAGATATGGGTAAGTATTCATTTACTCTGAAAGTTTCTCATTTCAAACAAGCAAAGCTTCACACATCATCTAGAATGGAGGTATAATGGCTCATGTATAATGAGGTCAAACTGAAGCATAATGTTCAAATATAATGGCAGTCAAGACTAGCTTTTGTATGTGAAATACTTAAGCATGCAGAGTATGAAAGCAAAATCAATCCTGTACATCTGATGTACACAGAGAGGTGGTCTGTGCTGCAGTAAGTGCAGTTCCAGATTTCAGATCTTCACTACAAAGGAGCATCCACGATAAAGTGGCTTCAAGGGACAAGAGGGCAGAAGGGAGGCCAGACTGTACGGCCAGTTAATTGGTGACAGGCTGCTAGGGAAGAAAAACATGTAAATAAATAAGTTTGGGGATATACTAACAGGAATGATTCTAAATTGTACAAAACAAGACAATGACCTAGATCTAATATCCACATCAATAAAATACAGTATGTACTGATTACGGCTCTGTTAATAGCAAACAAGAACTTCTGGTTTCTGTTATGTTGTAGCCCACAAACTCGTTTGTCAAAGCCAGACCCCTGAGTAGCTGCTTGCCATGAAGAAAAGAAGGATGCAAACTTACAATTGCCTGATAACTTGTAATATTTTCTCTCTTAAATCTGATCTTACCCTGAGCCTTGGGCATGTTCGTTTCTGCCCAAACATAGGGCTATACTGAAGTCAAGGGTGTCTGTTCATGGAGAGAACAACGTGGGACTAGGTTAATACACTGCAATTTGCCATAAACATATCTCACTGTTCATGTCATGTGCCTATAGCATACCAAGACCTTGGAAACAACGGACAGAGAAAGCGTCTTTCCCCCTTGTGTGGCTGCATCAGCAAGGGCAATCACATGCAGGCAGATATGTTGCACATATGTAGGCATCTGTTTTGTACGCAACATATCAAATAGCCTGAAAGAGTTTAAAACATTCCATTTATCCAATTTTTATTTTGTACATTTACAATACAAATTAAACTCTCTAAAGCTGGTCTTTTAAAAGACATCATTAGGAACAGCAGTGGGCAGAGAGCAAGGAAGCTCCCATTGGCTCTGCATCCACCAGGCAGTTACGCCACGGGTTAAGGCAGCACAAGTGTATGTCCCCTCCTGCCCACCGACATACCGCAGCCCAGCCACGCAAGGGCCATCGCTACCAGTTCTAATTCTGCGCTTCGTTCAATTTTTGGCATTTCCCCTGAAAAAGGCGGCAGAGGCAGGTTAGTGGGACTGCAGAGATAGGTTCTGATTGGATTCATATTGCACATATAGTGAGTATGTATATATTCATAAATAAATATAAATACATACATATATATAAAAATTGTCATTTGCTTTATAAAGTTCATCCATGGATGCTAGATAAAAGCTAGGCTGAGCTGACTATTTAGTTTGTGACAATCTCATCCAACACAGAGATTAAAATATCTGTTCTTTACTAAAACCTATTTATTACTAAGGACCCTTCTGCCTACATAGCACCACATAGTGTTCAGTGAAAGCTCACGCTGGATGAACAAATTTGTATCAGTGGATCCAGCCAAATTTGAAATTGCTCAAATAAGTCGGAAGAAACTGCAAATAAAAAGGCCCACTCCATTCTTTCATACACTTTCTGCATTTCAGTATCTCATAAAAAAAAAGCAGCTCTATCACCTAAAATAGTTGAATGAAGAGAATTTGAGAAAACGATTAGCCTTGCACTACGCTGGATGAACAAATTTGTATCAGTGGATCCAGCCAAATTTGAAATTGCTCAAATAAGTCGGAAGAAACTGCAAATAAAAAGGCCCACTCCATTCTTTCATACACTTTCTGCATTTCAGTATCTCATAAAAAAAAAGCAGCTCTATCACCTAAAATAGTTGAATGAAGAGAATTTGAGAAAACGATTAGCCTTGCACTACTTGTTCCCCCTAGTGGTAGCCCTCTTTAAATGCAAAAATGTGTTTTATCCACTTTCATAAACAGAAACAGGCATTCGCAAAGTAAAATGCTGCAATCTTTCCCATAGCTCTTTAAAAATAAATGCTTTTTCTTCTGAAACATACTAATCTATTTAAAAATACAAAGAAGATGTTCCAGCTGCAAAATCATCACACATGCTAAGCAGCACACACACACACAAAAAAAAGCTATTCACCTTTTTGGAACAAGGTATGAATCTAGTGAAATAATTCTATGTCCTTGTAAAGAAACCGTCACACAGATGAACTGTACACAGGGTTGGATGAGTATTCTTTACCTTGTGTACTGATTCTCCAGGAAACGTCCTCTATTTCCATCCTCTCTTTTAATTCTAAATTTATCTTTCAAATAAAACATTAGACTCAATACGCAACATCATATGCACGCACAACTCCTTTTCTTCTATTTTTGTGCCTGAGAAACAAAGCAGGTAGTTTGGAACAGACTAAATGAAAACTTAGTCCAGCCAAATACCTTATAGGAAGCTGTTGGAAAAGAAAAAGCTGCCTGGACTGTAGTAGCTCTTGACAGAACATCTATTTCCTAATCTCAAGTTACACTTTCAAATTCACACACTTTCAAGTCCCATGACTGACGCAATTCTGTATCCGTTAAGTTAGGAATACAAATACAATATGGTATTGCAAGGAGCTGCTGGAAAAATACATGTCAAATTTGCTTTATCTGCAGTGACATCTCCCAGCTTTAAGACTGATAGCTACCTGCAAAAAGGAGTTTTTAATAGTAACTTTAAAAAGAAGCCACAGCAGTGGAACAAGTGCTGAGATCAATTCTATATTGTACACATTTTCTAATGTCGTCTCGCCACTTTTAAGTGTGGAAAGGGACTCATGAATTTCTTTCAAAACTTCATATTGATTAGAAAGAAGCAAAGTACCAGTCCTAACTTCAAATATGACCTTTGAGCCAATACAAAGCTTAGGTAATTAGAATGAATTCAAAGCTAAAAGCCATTCAGAGATGACATAGCTGAAGAAATATTAATCCATGTAAATGTATAAAATCTCCTTTCCATGTAAATCTATAAAATCCACTTCAATAGATAAAATCACTCCTCATTTTACACTTGCCAGATTTGGGGCTTGATTAAGAGTCCTTGCAGCTTTTGATTCCCATGAACTTTCAACTACTGATAGTGTAAAACAGGATGTCTTTTGCCCTACCTTTAGCAGTAGCAGATTATTTTCTCTGCTTGACAAGAGCCAGGAATATTTCAAAGAACCCACCAGAAATGGAAAAGTGAAAAAAGGTTCTGATCTACGTCCTGCCCTGAAGCAAATTAGCATTCTTTGTTTAACATTAGACATATGTATACTCACGTCCAGGTAAGGCAAACGCTACCTGCCAACTTCCCTTGGATTTGCCATGTGTTTTCTAGAAGCAGCTCCTTCATTATTTATTCATTTATAAACATACACACACAATGTTGTTTTTTGCTCAACTGCACTGAATATATTTGTTATTGAGAGGTTTCTCAGAGTGTCCCTAGCAGGAGATTTAAAGAAAATCCTTTCCTTTCCTTGCATATTCTCATCTAAGGAAAACACTGTGCCAGAAGTGCTGACGTACAATGTGCATACTTTACTGTAAAGTGTAACATAACAGTACCATTTGCTGCAAAAGTGAGGTAAAATGAGTATCTGGAGATGAGAGTTTATGCTCCTAAACTAGTGCAACTGCATGGCACACTTTACTTTCCAGTCTTATTGTTGTTTCCTTTGGGCTTTTCAGCATCTGAAAATCCCAATTTCAGCATCTACTTCCCGCTTTCTGCACAAACTCCAAGTAATAACGATGATCATTTTAGACAGCGCTTCTGTATTAACGCCTATGTCTTATGGTGGTACTCATATCATCTGTTTGATATCATATCATTTGATCTTTCTTACAGTACTAATTAGCATCTTCCGAATCACATCTGTGTCATCGTGGATGAGTTTAGAAAACAATACAGAACATACAAACAAGATGCTCAAGGTAGCTTGAAGCAAGCAGTATGATACTCTCCTATGAACAAAATATTACTTGGTCTTTAGCTCATCAAAAATTTCAGTAACTTCCAGGTGAGTATTTCCTGCATAAGGTTTTGTGGAAACAAACGTGGGTGTGTACTATTACATGTTTTCTTTTTCCATTTTTCAACTTAAAAGGTTAGTTTTTATGTAGGAAGTTCTGTTTCACTGAGACTAGTTAATTTGGAGGGAAATGAAAAATAGCGTCTGGCATGGAAAGAAATTTGGGCACTACACACTGTTGAACTGCTACAGTTCCACTGTCTGAGGAGAAGAGGCTGTAAAGAGAGAGCCTAAGTTGCAGCTAAAGATGGGAAGAGAAGAAAGGAATTGAACTTACAGTAATACAGTTCACGGAGAAAGGAATTTCTCTTTCCATTCCCACAAAGAACACAGGCCCAAATCCTCTTAATTTTGTCCCTTCGTATGGGTCATAAAAATCGCCATCAACACTGAGGGGCCAACCTGCCTTAAAACCCAGGAGGCATTAGCCACTCTTCCTCCTCCCCTCGATGCTTAAGTATCATCCTCTTTGTTTAAATTTTATCACATACAGCAGAGCATGTTCAGCTCCATTTCCCTAGTTACACTGCTCCCGATATGAAATAGACCAACATTCTGAATATACACTTAAAATTGTACTTGTCTTTCTCTCACTTGTTTGCAGCCTCTGTTGCTGTCAGTCACTCTCACATGTATGTCTGTACTTACCATTGGAAGGTCTTTGAGAATCTGTATACCATCTCCTGGACCCATATGTGCTATGTGGTTAAAATTAGTTGGGTTAGAAATTAATTTATTTCTCATTTCCGGATCGCGTAGCATCTCCCTGGAAGAGAAAATACTTTGTTTAGATATTTCATTCGAGGTGAGGATGGACATTCATAAAACAAGTACAGCTTTGATTATCAGCTACTTTTAAATGGAAATTAACTATTTAACCATGTTAACAGTGATAAACCCTTGCTATCAGCACTCGCATGGACAAGCTTCCAGCTCGAAGAGAGGGCAAGGGGCCAGAACAAAAGAATGCTGTTTGCAGGCTAACAGTCCATGCCCAGTAGTTACTAATATTCAAAGAATATACAAACACTATGAGCTGATAAAAAGCTCTGTAAGATGAGTAAAAACAGAACTCATTTGTGATGTATTACAAAGTGGAGATGAAAATGAAGTACAAATATGAAAATAGAATTAAAATAATACTGCAGTACCTTTCTCAGTCTGTGGTCAGAATTAAAAGCTCTTCAAAATGGCAAGGATGCATTTCAGAACTCAGAATAAATAAAATTTTAAAACACCAAACCGCGATCGGCTCAGAAAAGCAAGGACAAGAACTGGAATTTTATCTCCACTGTACACAGCTGTTACTTTTCTTAGAGCCAAAAAGGAAGGAAAGCTGGGAGCCAACCATCGGTGGAAGACGTTGGAAGTTAGAAAACTGAAATACTCAGTTCTTGGAGTGTAGCTTAGCACAGTAGCAGGTCATCGTTAGTGAGTGATAGTAAATGGTCAGTAACATCCTCTGTGAACACTCTGAGTAGTGCAGACCTATTTTTATTGCCATTTAGGAAAGTATTTGTGAACTGTTAAAGACTTCTATTAGAAACACATCCTGAAGTCCTATGTCCTCTGAAGAGGTGAGTTTTCTGAGATTTATAGAACGTTTATGTAGTTAAATCTATAAATCAAAAAAAGCAGATGCCTTGGAATACTGCTGAGAGTAGAATTGCCTTCAGAAAGAAAAGCAGAACCAGAGTCTGAAAGTAATTAATCCATATGCATAGTTAGCAATGTAATCTCCTTTTGCAAAGTGTTTATTACAGATCTTTATATATACAGTATATGTGCACACCTATGTACCTATATACAGTATGTGGAGACATGCATTCCAAATTACAGCTCTTTCACATAATTAATTTGAACTAATGAATACTTGTGTATCCAGTGCATATCCAAATCCAAACTGGTATTTACACAAATTAAACATTGAGGATTAAGGCAGTAGTGAAGAGACAGAAACATCTGAATGGGCGCTCCAAAAAGCAACAAATGAAGTACTACATTGGCATCACTCACTGTCCTTCAGGGCCTACAGGCATGTACAGAAGACAAGTACATGTTGAATACCGACCTCCTCTGCTGCATCCTCTCCTCCTCTGGTACTCTGAATGAATAGCGGCGCTTGTTATTGATGTTTCGAACCATTTGCTTCCGGCTGTTATCTGATGTCTCAGGAACTACCAGTTCATCGCCCTCTGAAATCAATATAAATATGATGATCCAGTGGGACACTTCATTAGGCATTCATGGAATTTGAATGCAAAGACCTTTTCTCCCTCTGCTCTTGCTAGTGTTGACACCACCCATTTCCCAAACATGAACAAATGCTCCTTGATTTATGGGTTTTCTTGGTCACTATCTACTCTGTTATATAGCAACAGACTTTTAACCCTTCTTCACACACAAGCTGCCACAACTATGTTCTCAAAATACCGCTGATTAATTCTTCCAAAACCCAAAACATTTAGGTGGGCAGGAAAGGATCTCAGTCCTCTATCTCTAACTTTCTTTGGCAGTTCTCACTGAAAATCACTACAACAGTCTTGTTCTGCCAGTCATCTGGAAACTCAGTGCAAGATTCTTTTTCATTCATTCCCTGCTCCAAAGAGACTACTCCTTTTGAACGCTGACGTATTTTGGTGCAACTGTGGGAAAAGGGAAGATTTTTTCCACATGCGTAGATCTGACCAAGGCATCTTTAATAAAGACATGAAATGTATAGCAGTGATAATCATACAATAGGAGCGTTACTTTGAATGAACGCTGCAACTGCTCTGTCTTGTTTTATATATATGGAGACTAAAGTTACACTTAATAAACTTGAACATACCCAACACCTACTGCTCACTGCCAAAACAGTTTTTGTATGGAACTGAAATCTCTTCTTTCCTTAAGATCAACTGGAGATTTCATGAACTGTGGGATCTACTAGGTAAGTAGCTTCAGGAAAAAAACTGGCAGACTTTTAAGGAGATACACCTGGAGGATACTTTACTGTTTGGCAACCTTTTCTGAAAGACAGTGAGAAGCGTACAGGAGCAAAGATCAGCCTCACACACTTCTGATCCTATGCTCTCCAGTTTTTTTTCCTCTTCTGCTCTACTTTTAATGTTCAACCTTTATTAGACTTGAAAATTCTTTATACATACTTCCACCATCTTGCTTCTCTCTACCACTGTCATTCATTTTGCACTAATTTGATAGCAATTTAAATAAACACTGAAACACTGCCAACAGCAGTATATGTTTCTAGAGTGTTTATTTCCACTATTTTCAGAATAGTTGTTAAAAAAAAAAAAAATAGCTCTTGATTGTTAAACCAAAGCACGTCCCCCCTCCACCTAAGAGGTGAAAAAAAAGGTTAAGGAAATTATTCAGGAGCATGCTTATGAAATGGGCTCTAAAGAAAAAAAAGGTCAAAAAGACTCATAACAAAAATAGAATTCTGAAGTTAAAACTTTGGCACACAATCATATGTAGCCCTAATAACAAGTTATGAATACATAATATTATATTACTTTCTGATCCTTAGGAAAGGTTAGGTTAAGTATAATATTAATTTTAATATAGTACTGCCAAGATCACTATTAAAGCCTTTAATTGTGCAGGCATTTTTAGATAGTGTTCTGTCAGGTGATCCCAGATTTGGAAGGAGTGTCTAGCCATTCTATTTTCTATTTCCAGTCTTCATTAAAGTCTTCATTGAATATTCAAAAGGGAAAAAAGTTCAGAGTAGCTGCCTAGCAGACATAATTGCAATCCATTGCAAGTGGAATCTATAAGCTTTCGCTTTCTCCCAAATTAACAAGCACCCCTAAGTTTGACAGATCACTTTCTACAATGCACAGATCCAGGCCAAAGAAAAATGCTCTTTCTAAACAAGAATTTGCATGGTGAAAGTTGGCTTCTCTTTACTTACCTGCCATTTTGTTTTTGAAATATATTAATCTGACTGTCTCCAGGCCTAAAAGGTTTAGTGATCCTTCTGTATTCAAGGGTCGTACCTGAAACAAGGAAAATCAGTCCTTGTAATATTAACAACTCACATTTATATAGCGCATTTTATTCTGAAAGTTCCAAGGTGCATTATAAACTCTATAAAAGGAGCACTGTTACGAAGCCAACCAGGGAGCAGAACAGCGTAACTGGCCAGAGCAAACCCTGCTCCACAGAAGAACTGCAGGCTGGAGGGAGCAGTGTCTCCTATCTCCAGTAACACATGCCTGCTCTCAAGAAGAACAACTGTGAGTCATTAAAGCCATGAAGCAGAGTTAAAAATAATTTTAGATTTTAAACTTCTGTTTGGAGAACAAGCACAAAGGGAGTTGCCTAAAATTCCACTTAAAGACATAGGCTTAACACCATTCCTCCCAGCATTTAAATAAATAGTTCTTAGAAGTCTACTTCATATAACAATTCAATTTTGTCTGTTAGATGCACAAAGCAATAAGCTGTGCTTTTATCTTGTGTTAGTATCACGTCACAATGACGCTTTGCAACTTGATAAGAGTATATACAGATTGCTAAAACCTATCGGTATTAGTGATTTCCAACCTCAAAATGAAAGAAGCATTCCACACTCTGAGTCTGCAAATTGTGTTAGAACCAAATTCTTCATAATAAATTGCCGTTTTTGAGTGTCCTAGATGTAGCAGTTCTTGTTCGTTGAGAGTAGCTTCATTCATTAAATGGGCAGTCTTGAGCCAAATACTAATCAAAGTACTAAATCACATTCTGCTGTGTAGGAAAAAAATGCTCCAACTGCTTAATAACTCAGAGTTTGGACATCAGAAAGAGCAGAGGAAATTTCCTCTAAAAGGCCAGATTCTTCTTCTTTCCTTAAGATGGTTAATAGCTGAGGACCTTGACCTTTGCACTATTTATCCTTACAGCATTGCCATAATATCCTGGTCTGCATCTGACATGGGAAATCAATATGCAGAGAGACTGAATGACTAACACAAGACCACAAGGACAATTTCTTGTAGTTCTATGTCATTGGCATGCCAGTTAAAGGTATTATCTTGACACTAATACAAAGTTGAAGTCAGTCTAAACTATGGGGAAAAAAAACTTTTCTTCTTTCTTTCCAAATACAGCTGAGCAAACACCTCCTAAATACCAAGGAAGTGTCAGTTTTCAAAAACCTCTTCCCTTTGATAAGTGATCCAAACCTGACATCATCCTGGTGTTTTAATATTTGTACTGGTTGAACCAAAATGTTCTAACCCTATCTGTCTACAATGTTCTCAAGCAGCAGAAGATAAGATTTCTGAAGGCCTGTTTAAATATCCACCTGTTTAACATCCACCATCTTCTGGCAATAACATAGATGCAATCAGTCCCAATGAAGTCACATGCAATTAATACCAAGAAACTGCTCTCTACAATAGTATCAGTAAGTCTAACATATTCATATGCTCCAGACTGACCATTCATCTAAAACACCAAAACCACATGCAAAACACATTTCATATTTTATACTTTGAACAAAAAACACTGGTTTCTTTGCAGTGGCTCTTCTTTTAGTTCAAATTATTTTTAAACAAGCAGTTTTAATGACGGCTTCTAATGTGCTTAAAAAACCCAGTATGACTGTAGCAAAGCAATATCGAGTCTAGGCATATTCTTTAACTGATATTGAAACAGCAAGTTACCTTTTTGAGAGGAATAGTCTGAATCCACTCCATGGAGTTCACGTCGAAGATATCAATTGCATTTTCACTGTACACAGAGAGGTATGGTGCATTGTAACCTGAGAGGTAAGGATTAGGTATAGTGTCATGTCAGGGCTATGACATGTCATGTCATAGACGGGGCTCAAAATACACAATTTCTTATGGTTGAACCATATTTATTACAAAAAACCCCCATGCCACAACCCAACAACAATCTTTGCAAAGTGTGTTTTAACTCAAAAATGACCAAGAAATTTATTCTGAAGGCAAACCACCACCAAAAAAACCTAAAACCTTCATGACTTTTCTTTGAACTTTGCAGAACCAAACTACTTTTTGAAGTACAAGGGATTACAGTTTACTCTGCCAAACACTGATGTGGTTCAAAGTTTTTTTTCTTCTAAAAGCCCTATTTTTAAGAGCTCGCATTTTGAAAATGATGTGGTAGGAAAATATATTGTTGTTATTTAATAACTGTCATTTGAATAAACTGAGCTCCTAGTCTTTGGATTATGTAGTGAATGAACATCAGTTGGAACTAAGCACCATGACACAGTCATAAAATCTTCATGTTTCCTTCTAGCTTTAATTCTCTTTTCTTATTTTCTGGATTGTAAAGAGAATTCTTGTGCTACTCATCTGGCACATTTCCCCAGGACAACATTTGTTCCACTGGGACCACTTCTAAAGGAGAATTCAGTATTTCCATGTCGGCAACAAGACTGCCATGGTCTGCCAAGACTAACAAGAGCATCCAATTTGTGTTTAAATGTAACAGTTTTTGCTATAAAATATACCTCCATTCTGAACTGAAATAACATCAAGTCACTTCATTTAAGGCAATCAAAAAACTTTCACAAGTATCAATGACCAGTATAGATGAACTACATGTGAAAATACCTGTTTTACAATCTATCACAAAATCTTTTATTTTCATTCATTTATTCTCCGAGTCCATTGTAATAATCACACTCTCGCTTGAAAAGAAGTGACATACAGCCTGTAAAAGTTGCTCCTTCCACATTCAGAAGGGGCTTCACTCAAACAAGGTGAAACATTCCCCTCCTCCGCAGTGTGACTGTACTGCTGTCACAGTGAAGTAAGAAGGCAGACTATTTTAAAAATCAACATAAGACTGGGCTCATTCACAGATACTCTGAGGACAAATTTGGCTAATCTTTATCCTCATTCAGAAAGACATTAAAAAGAAGATGGGCATTGCAGGGTTTTTTTTCCTCCAACCGTCACAAAGATAAAGCCCCAGCTTTGAAAAAACGTGCAATAAATATTTAACACAGTTCTTGCTGGAAACTGAAATCTTGAAAAATTACAGTATTTTTCCCTTGAGGTTATGAAATATTTTGAGTAGAAAAAATTTTTCCACCACCGCCTGCCATACATTGTATTTTGGGGAAGAGGGAGACAGAGGGGGAAAAACTTAAATTTTTAAAAAATATTTTTAAAAAAGCAAAGAGAGGAGATGAATGAGAAGAGTGTCAAAAAAAATGCTGAGGAAGGGAGAATGAAGGAGTAAGGAAAGAAAAGAAAAAAACCCGTTAAGTAGGAATAAACACCATTAGAGAAAATCAAGTCAAACTACCAGATCCTGATGAAAGAGGGAGACAGAGGGGGAAAAACTTAAATTTTTAAAAAATATTTTTAAAAAAGCAAAGAGAGGAGATGAATGAGAAGAGTGTCAAAAAAAATGCTGAGGAAGGGAGAATGAAGGAGTAAGGAAAGAAAAGAAAAAAACCCGTTAAGTAGGAATAAACACCATTAGAGAAAATCAAGTCAAACTACCAGATCCTGATGACTCTGAACATCAAGAAAGCTTGAATCACAATGCTGAGCCAAAGTACAATCAAATTTTATGACTTTAAATAACAACAGTCCAGTATCAGTGGTAGCAAATGCATAAAGAACCCATTAGCCTCTGTAGGACCTGAGGCTTTCAGCTGTTTTAGAGATCAGGCCACGTGTTTAGAAATTGGACATCAGAGTTAGAAATCCTGACCCTTGATTCCTCTTTGTGCTACAGCAGCACGAGTCAGTGACAGTTGTCAAAACTAGCATAAACGAGATCAGGATTAAACCCCCTGACTAGATTAAAAATGCTGACAGAAGCTGAGGGCATTCATTTACCTGTCAGGTAATTATCCTTGAACTTCACTTCCTGTGGATTCTAATACAAGCAGTCATCACTTCAATGTATAATAGCAAGTACACTGACACACATGGCAACTTACAGCAAGAAGATGGAGTTGCGGGCCACATCAATTCTTGTTGTCTAGATCTTCGGCCCTGGCAGTCAACGTAAACCCCTACGCTGCTAAAACACAGCAGGTATTCTTTATTTGAGATTTCGACTGCACAGATGGCATCAGTTGGCTGCTGTGAGATAAATGATAGCGTGTGGTCATCTGGATGGAGCAGACTGTATGGGCTGCCTTCTCCATGAAGGGGGTATTTTAAGAAACCTGACTGGTAGCCCACACAAAGACGGTCACTGAAGACTGACATCCACTGGACATTCCCCTGGACTTGAATCTCCTTGATCTTTTTGTGACGTATCTTGCTCTGATTTAGTTCATAACAGAGGACCTGCCTTTTCATAGCTACACACAGGCATGTAAGAGCTCCGTGGCGCACATGTCCAGAAACTATTGACTGACAGCCTTTTGTCTCTGCCAGCTTATAAAACTCCGTCTCCCTTCCATCCAGGGCAGCCATAGGGAAAAGCCGCACATGACGGTTTCGTCCTGAGATTACTGCAATGAGCTGTTCATTTGGGATAAGCTCAATCTGATGAACCTTCTTGTTGTCACCAACACGGATAATCTCTAAAAAAACAAAACAAAAACAAAAGCCCCCGAATCCAAGTAAATAATGTTGAAGTGTGAATTGATTATAACATATGTATTTGTAAAGATAAACTATGAAAGAAACCCAAGAAATCCCCTTTATTGCTTCCCTGCAATATTAAAAAGTACAGAATCAAAACTTGTATTTTAATGATACCATATGTGGCTTTTCCTCATCAGAAAAAGGGAGGAGCAGATCCGATGCAGTAACAACCGCTGTATTATTTCAGTATTCATTTCAAAAACAGTTTATAGCCACAAAACTACTGAATAAAGGAAAACCCTCAAAGAACTGAAACATACAATTAAACATGTTGCTTGTTGAATTAGCTTGGGCATCTGTCATTACATCTCTTTACAATACCAAACGTAAGTTTTCATTTCCAATACCAAGGAGGAGGTTCCAGAAAGGATCAAGCCAGTCTCCTTACTGAGGTGCACAGCAGGAGAAGAGGAGACAATAGTCACAAATTGAAATGAGGGAGGTTCCTACTGGATATACAAAGAAAACATTTCATTGTGAGAATAATTTGCAACAGGCATCCCAGAGAGATTGTGGAACCTCGAACCTAAGTTTTCATTTCCAATACCAAGGAGGAGGTTCCAGAAAGGATCAAGCCAGTCTCCTTACTGAGGTGCACAGCAGGAGAAGAGGAGACAATAGTCACAAATTGAAATGAGGGAGGTTCCTACTGGATATACAAAGAAAACATTTCATTGTGAGAATAATTTGCAACAGGCATCCCAGAGAGATTGTGGAACCTCCGTCCTTGTCGACTGGATTTTCAAGACCTGACTGGACGAAGTCCTGAGCAATCTGGTCTGAATTCAGTATTGAACCTGCTTCAAACAAGGGAAGAAAACCTTCAACTGCATTCCAGATGCTGGATCTTTGTTACTGGAAAGGATATCCGAAACAGAAAGTGCACAGAACACCACCTTATTATCAGCTCTCACATGGGGTTGTCCAGCTGATAATGTAGTAAATCGAGAAAAATGAAACCAGAGGATATTGAAAGAGAAAAAAGGTTACAAAGTCACTTTCTGATTATTTAATATTAGGGAAATTATTACCAGTTCCTCATTTCTTACCGTCTTTGGTGACATGCACAACAAATAACCCTTCTTCATTCCCCAGAGCTATTCTTTCATGGTCTATGATATTAAGGGGAGAAAAAAAAAAAAGGTTATTTTTCTTTGGAAATACTTCTTCAACAATAGTGATAATTCTGATTAACAGAGACAGTTTTTTAATATCTTGAAATAAACAAATATAAAGCCAAACCCAACACATTCCTGTAACAAAACAAACATTGGTAACCTCCCAATCTTTCAAATTTCTGAAAAAAATAAGTCTTTTCCCATTTCTCCTGTTAGTAGAAGTAACAGCAAGAAACATCATTTTTAACAAACCATTCAGAGCACTTAAGTGTACTACCGACTTTGAAATAACTATAATATCATATTTAAATAATCAGAGTTTAACTTATTTTATGCAGTAGCATTTAAAATGACTAAATTAATTCTCTGCTTTTATGTTTTCTCTCTGGACCCACAGGCAGATTTTGTAAAGTCAGTGATTTACGTCTATTCTATAGTGCTAATTTTGCCCAGTTAAGGAATAATGTTTACAGAATAACAAGAGAGTAATGTCCAATTCTCAGTCAAAATTATCCATAATTATGAATATGTGTGAATAGGGGGAATATTCTTAGCGATCTGACAAAAGTACCGGGTAGTGAATTGCACTTCTCTCTTAAACCCATCCACATTTCCATATGGGATAAAAACACTACATATTACTCTCTATTCAGTAGATAATGCAATTTAACACGTTTTTTTGCAAAAAAGTATGCTTTTAGCATACCCATTTTTCTTAGAGCTTTCTCCGTATTCATTTCATACCTATGATTGCTGCTGACTGTGTTGTTTTGATGAGGGGTAAGGTACTGTCATAAGCTTCTTTGGGAACATAGACTGAGCGGTCTTTGAGTTTGTTCTTCTTCAAAATCCTATGCAATTCATTCAGCACTCCTACCCACTTGCTTTTTTCATTCTCACCGTCTGCTAGAATCAGGATTGAACACTTATTACTGGATGCAGAGAGCTGGGAAGCTGTAACCTGGAAAATTTTAAAATATGTATTTTAAGTCATAAGCAATAAAAAATTTCATCATGATCATTTTTACAAGGGTATCAGATGCCTGTAAGTGCCCTTTTAATTAGCTGTCTGAACTAAGAATGCAAAAATTTAGCCTCAGTTAATAGAAAACACTCTGTCTCAATCAAGAACCCACAGCAGAAAAACCTGTAGATGGGAATAACTCAAAGAACAGAGAAAACTTCGGCTTTATTCTAAATGCATTTGTATTTATTCTATAATTCGGAAATGTCTGCCCTAAATAAGCTGGTCAATTGTTTCTCACTGTAATTTTATAATGAAGCTGGTCAATTGTTTCTCACAGCAATTTTATAATGAAAAGCATTTCTTACAAAGTATTCTGTATGTTTAAGACCAATAGTTTTTGTTAATAACTTAATGCAATAGGAATGGTCTTTATGGAAGAATGATCTATGATCCTTTTCATGTATTTGGTACAGCTACTATAGATAAAAATGAAAGTCCCTTTTGTAGGTTTATCTCCTCTCAGCACGCAGCATGATGAACAGTCTGAAAGCCGGAAAAACAAGGAGTGAAATACAATGGTATAGTACAGAAATGATAGGGAAATTAATAAGACACCAAAGATATTTCACTGAGGTGAAAGCTTCAGTAGAATATCTAGTAAAAATAAGAATAGTATTAGAAAAAGCCAATGATGGCAAAATCCTGACAATAAACTTTGATGTGCATTTTACACTAGATTTCTATACTGACTACCTGATAAAATGGGAGTTTTCAGAGATCTAATGCATATATACAAAGAAAATAGATAAAATAAAGGCTTCAGGAATAACACAACAAATTAAATTGAGAAGCAGAAGGCAACTTTAGGAAATGAGAATGTAGAAGGTCGCAAAGAACAGAAGAATTCCAAATGACTAACAGGAGGTTGAGAAAACTACGTCTTATTGTGAAGGTTAAAAAAATAAAACCCACATAAAGGGGAGATGAGAGCCTTGTCTAAACGTACCAGTGCTATTTTTACCACGAAAATGATATATGTACAGATCCTTATGCGTTGCTGCTGCTGCCATGGATACCACACGGCCAGAACTTGCAAAGGAAATAAAATACTAGCAAGCTGTCAGTGAATGCACACTGTACATCACACTGTGAAACCCTGTATTTCTGGGTTACTAGGTTCAAGACATAATACTTACCCTAAAGATACAGGGGATATCTTTTCGATTTGCATGGATGACGTCTGAGGCCAAGACAGAACTCACTGAGAATTCTTCATCCCTTACAGAGACCACAAACATAATTGGAAAAGAGTTAAAGAGCAAAATCTGTATGGTTTTTTTTAACTTATATTTCCATAGTACCAATAGCCTTGTTTTGTGAAGGGCACAACAAGACAGTACTGAGATCTAATTTTTAAAATTATCCTTTCCTCTTTATCTGCAGGCAAAACTCACAAATGCAATGTTGCATAATTAATTCCTGGTAAATGTTGATGGAGATAAATCTATTCAGAGTATCTGCTTTTTGTCTGTTTAAATTAAAAACTTTTTAAAAAAAATATTTCCATAGTACCAATAGCCTTGTTTTGTGAAGGGCACAACAAGACAGTACTGAGATCTAATTTTTAAAATTATCCTTTCCTCTTTATCTGCAGGTGAAACTCACAAATGCAATGTTGCATAATTAATTCCTGGTAAATGTTGATGGAGATAAATCTATTCAGAGTATCTGCTTTTTGTCTGTTTAAATTAAAACCTTTTTAAAAAAAATAAAAACAATCACACTTAAAAAATAAGCCTGGACCAAGAACACCTCTCCAACTCTTTCACAAGAATCCAAACTCACTAGAAGCTATAAGCTACAGCTGTTTGAGACTTCCTGGATAAACTAACCTAGTTCAGAGATGAGCTTTACTTAGTCGGTATGTTACATGTTCTCAACCTTCACTGAAGTTGGTAGTATTTCAGTAATACTGAAGACAGTGGGAACAAACTATTTAGCCCTTCTGAATGAAAAATTGTGTTAGTTTTATCCTCCAACAAAGTTTTATCTGTCTTTCAAAACTCTACTCAACCCCAAAAGAATGTATTTTTCTTCTTTATTCTTTCCAGATCTTCTATACAGCTAAACAGATGCATTTGGGCACATGATGTAGTAATGGAAGTTTAAATTGCCACAGACGAACACACAAGCGTAGTTCAGGCTAACTGCAAATACTGCTTTTTTCTGGAAAATTAGAGGCTCTCAACATGGATTACAGTGTTTCATAAAAGCTCCGGAGCTTGCTTACTGATTTCACAAAAAGGAAAAGCAGAAAAAAACCTCCCAGTGCCTCTGAAAAGCTCCCACTCAGCACTGAACAGCTTACCTCATGTCTATGACCTGACTCACTATCACGCTGGGCTGGGATGCTTTTCCTTCTGCTACATCATATAGGAAGAGTTTAAAATCACAGATCACTGCCAGCGCTCTCTGCCAACCTTTCTTTACTCCAGCTGGTTTTGGTACCTTTAGCAAAATAAATCCTGATCAACTCTCTGCACGTTTGCATGCAATCAAAAATCAAACACACAGTACGAAAATCAATTCTCTCATCTAGGCTGACAAGCTTTCATTCAGTGATAACATTAAGCAACATAAGCAATAGCACAGGTGCAGTAACAGCATCAAACACAGCCACACAGACAGCACAATATATTATTTAAAGAATTCATAGCACCACAGATTGATTCTTCTTATTTCACAAACTCATTCAAAGCTATATTAAGAAATATAGAGAAAGAAATCCACCTCTAGTTGGTCAACAGGAATATGGCCAAAACTGTGTCAAGTAAATTTTAGTATTTATATACAAGTACCCACACCAATGACCCTAAACAGTACTAGCATCAACAGAAAGACTCAAAAACTCACAGGCCCTGGAAGACGATCTGATGTCTAGAGATGGATTATTCAAGACCAACTCAAAGCACAAAGGCTGACAGAGATGGAGAGAGAATTACTGTTGAAAACGCTAAGAGTTGCTTTGTGAAAATTTAGGTCTTAGTCTCCAAACTGTTACCTTAAGGTATAATTGAATCCATCCCCCCTGATGCCCCAATTAGAGTTTAATTCCAGCTCTGGAAAACAAGAAATTTAATGTAAGTGCCCCACATGCAGCTACCTGATACTTACTCGGACATGTCCTTCATAAGCTGTTCCTATGCCTTTCTGCGGATCTATTCCCAAAGGTCCCTTAGTCTGTTCGGGAGGGATTGGACATACTGCGGGAGCCTTGTCTGCACAGGTCACGTGGCAAGAGAATCCACATACTTGTGAGGAGGAGAAGAGGAGGAGAAACAAAAAGACTTGATGGTTATTTCTTGTGCAATGCGAAAGCTATGATAATGATGATGACATTTATAAAGGAATTCTCCCTTTTTTGACCAACAACTGAATAGTTTCACTGAACTTTGCTACACCGAGACAGAAATGTAAGTCTGCGCACAGCAGCAGTTCATGCTTTTATCTGCTCTAAATTCTGATTTTCTCATTTCCAGAGGTGTATGGATACACAGTCTGGTTTCATCCAGGTAAGAAAGAGCCTAAGCAGAAGTTCACACTGAGATAATGTCAATGATTTCCTCTAGGCCCAACTCTACTAGTAAACAAAAAGCTGGAAGCTCTTCTCAATGATGAGCGTCATTCTGTGTATGTACAAACCTAGAATAAATTAGTCCTGGAAAGAAGCAAAAGTGGTACTGAATGGTGAAGCTGTCTTACATTTTGCCCTGAGTCAGAAAGCAAAGCTGCTGTCAGCGTACTCGACCACTGACTGTGGCCCCTTATTACTATTTTAAGTAAACTGAACTAAGCTCTTCTACCACCACTGGAATAAGTATGTCCCCAGATAACTAGGTAATCTGTTACATAAGATGTTCAAAGTGTTTGGCTTCTACTGTTAAAAGACTGAAGCACGAGAACGTATTCTGTTACTCAAAATATAAACAGAAAATTCCTGCATTATCACAGCACATTTACTGTGCAATTTGCATCTACAAGAACTTCAGTTCACACTTCCTGCTTTCACAAGTGCTTACCTTCACAAGTACAGCCCTGTCGTATCAAACCAACCATCAGAGATGTGCATTGATTGCATTTTGTTGGTGTATTAAATGATTTCACTACAAACTGGTGGGCTTTAGGCTGTGAAACAAGCAGACAAGGATGTTAATACCTATAACGCTTCTGAAGAACAGTTATTTTTTCACAGACATAAAAGTGCATAGGTGCATTTAAAAAGGTAGCTTATTTGTGTTTGCTGAAATGAGATCTGAGCTCCTAACACATGGGCTGAAAAAAATTCCTTATCAGTGCTCGTTATTAATAATTTAAACCACCCTCTGTAAACAAAACCATGGAAACCAGACCTTGTCTCAGAACACGAGTTTGCTTCCATTGCAGATAGGAAAGTTGCCAAAATTATTCCATTACACTCTAGAAGTTGAACGTGTGTATGTATGTGCTTGCTGGGCACCTGGCAGCCAGCCAAGGTCAACCCACAACAGTATTTTCTAAGCTGCAAATTCAGTGCTCCTCTCTAAGGAGTGTTGCCTTAGTTCGAAGAAAAATACCAGACTTCTTCAAAATTCTAATTTGTATGCCAGAAAGCATGACAGAGTTCAGTTTTATGGTGTCAGGCACAGGGAATTTCAGAACACCCAATTTAAAAGCAAGAGTATAGCTGAAGTTGATTTTGAAAGGGCTTCTCTTCTTGTTAGTTCTTGGGAACACAGACTACATGAGTAAGTGTTTTAATTCTCTCTCTCCCCTCAAGGATGGCAGTGCTGGTGCTATGACATCAAGGCTAAATGACTACATAATGTGGTAGTACGATTCATAAGAGGCCTTATATAAAATCCAGGAAGCTGCTTTGCTTTTCTAAAAAAACTCCCAGCAAAGTAACAACTGGTAGGTGGAGAAAGGATACAGCACAGGGTGAACGCAAAGGCTGTCCAAACAACTGGGACAATGTACATGATGTGAAATAAGACAATTTTGCAGACTACTTTAATGAGTAGGTACATTAAAATTTTACTCACTGTCCTGTTTTTCACAGCATACGATATCACAGCTAAGGGCTCAAACTTCATCCATATTTAATGACAGTTTTACTGTTACAATGGAAGCTTTCTGTCTACAGATGGATGTCTTGTTTTGAAACTTGCAGGGAAACAATACTTAGCTTTAGAAACTGATGCAACCATCAAGTAAGAAGGTTCTTTAGGGAAATATAATAAATTAGAAAGCCAATCGTTACTTACTGAGCAAATATTTGCAAAAATGAAATGATGTGCACAGTAAAATCTGTTTCACATGATTCCAAGTGCACTTACAGTATTTTTTTAATTGATCTACTAAGACGTTGCCAAAAGAACACTGTCTGCTCAAACTTTTTAGCCTTCCTTTACACAACTGAAGTCTTTTGCTATTTCGCAATTTATCAAAACAGAGAAACAGAGCTATTAGAAAGACTTACTTCATTGATTAGTTGCAGAAAAACTGTCATTTTTTTAAATATACAGAAGATTCCTAAGCCATCGAGGCACTTCTGAAACTTTTACAAGAAAATTTTTCCTTTCAGTAGCTTGTATCTTATTCCTCATTTGCTTGAATATACACAATTCACTGTGAAATAGCATACACTGACTGGCTTATTTGGCCAACAGCAAAATAATTTCAACAACTGATGTAAAATCAATATTTAGGCAAGTAAAAAGCCAGAAGACAGAAAAACTGGAATTCCTTCTCCCAGCCCAGTGCTGCAGTGCTGGCTGTAGTGCTCACTCTACACTACTTATAAAAACACAAATCTACGGTTTCATTTTAGGCTTACTCTTTGCCTTTTCTCAAAAATAAGCATCTAATTAGCACACAGATGTGCTAATCCGAGACTGGCCCACAGTGACATCAGTTTTATTGTATGCAGAGCACAGAGGCAGGTTGGTCAGACACATGCCGGAAAACACTCTCTTCCCAGAAAGTCTCTTTTTTCCTTTCTTCATGTTCTGGTTCATTTATCTCTTTCTAATGTCCAAACTACTGTTCTTCCTATAATCAAATGACTGTGTGCTGCTACAGTGGAATGCCTAGTACAACTTGTCACATCACATAATGTAAGAATGAGGGGTTTTCAGCTTTAGAAAGCAACCAGCTTGCATATAAACAACCCTTCTAGGCAGTTCTGGTAAGATTACTGTCATAAACAGTTCTCCTGAAGCTGTTGCCCAGGAGTGATATTTTCCCCCTTACTATACAAAAAGTGTGAATGCTTGACTAAATACCTTTGGTGCAGAGAGTCCCGATCCAATATATGCTGTCCTCATGGTTGGTGTGTGAATTGAACGGGGAGGATGATCTGTAACCTGAACATAGTCCCCAAAGGATCAATAAGACATCAAATACACACTATCAAAGATAGCTTGAATAAAGTAAAAAGACTACAACGTCCCACCCACCCCATCCCCAAACGTACAAGCAGCAAAACCAAACTGATTAACACAGGAAAGGACTCAGAAAACCAAATCTTATTTCTCAGCAAAACGATTTGTGAGATTGATTTCCTAAATGTCAAAAATAATTTTGTATTATCTTAAACATTTGACTGAATCTTTTCCTAGTGTAAATTAAGAGAGTGTTAAATTTTTTAACAGGGAAAGGGGATACATTATTATAGTTGCAGAGCCTGGCTAGTATATCGTATTGACAAGACTTTCAGCAGAACTCCAAAGTGTGCTCTTACAAACTACAGTATAACATTAACTTTGTGCCAGCATTTCTTACATATTCATGGCTGAGGATATGTTATGAAGAGAGACTGTATCTAATAATCGATTCAACATAGTTCCCATCCCTAATCGATTAACCATATGTGAAAGGAAATGCAACATTCCCCAAAATACAGTTCACGACTAGTGCAGAAGGCTATTACAAGGTCCTAAACAGTCTCGCTGCAGAGAAGTGGCCTTCATTCTAAAGAAAAGGATTTGCAACAGCAATTTTTATATGAGTGAAACAGTTACTCCTAAAAAAAAGACAAAAACTTGTCAACACTGAAGTACCTCGATTGGTTCATTCTCACTAGCTGTAGAAGGAGACCTTGATCTTGAATGGAGGTGAGACTTGCTGTCTTCATCCCGTGATGGAGTATTAGACAATGTAAAATTCTCAACTGAATCAATCTAGGAGAACAATTCAAGAGAAAAAAAAACAACCAAAAAAATAAATCAGAAGACATGATTAAAAATGAATTCTCAACTCTCACCAAAATAAGATATGGGAGCAGCAGAATTCCTAAAAGAGAACTGAGAGGATAAAAATTCAGTTTTTAAGCAACTTCTGAATTAAAGTACAAAAATGCAATGAAAATTATTGAGTATGAACACACCAAGGCTTCTGCTGAGAGGTGAGCACATGCATAAGAGTTGCTAGTTCAGGGGCCTGATAAACACTTGAAGAGACTTGTAATTCAGCATTTTTAAAGAGTGAATATTTTCTAAACACTGCTGGGTTTTGTCCACTGGTAGTAGAGATTTGTTAGAAGTGAATTCCCACATAGACCATGTAAATCACTGTTGACATATTTAGGACAAAATAAGGAGAAAAGGCAGAGCAAACAACATATTTCCTGAGGTTAGCGTTAATTATATTCACAGAGAATTGAGGGGGGTTTTGTACCCTATTTGAACTACAAAAACATCCTTACCAGGAATACAGTTTCTTCAGGGGAATATTTTCCTAGTCCTTGATACACAATGAAACTAAGCCCAACACAGAACTGCACTGAACAACAAGGCATATAGGTACAACCAGGTATCTTGGATAACAAGTCATCTTTTGTCAGTGCAACTGAAAAATCAGAGAATGCAGGATTCTTCCTTGAAAACAAGACATCTCCACATCAAAGTTTTCTATGTAAATTTATATTTAAAAAAAAAAAAAATAGCGAGATGAGGATGCTTTTCTCCACTAATAATAAAACTAAAAGCAGGAGGGCTACAGAAGGCTCCATTGCATGCCTGGCTTTCCTGGAGCAATGCTATCATCAGTTCCCCATTGCTAAGGATTTGGCTAGCTAGCTTGCACACGAACTAAAATATGCAGCAACGTTTACAGAAAGCATTTGAACATTCCAGTGTTTTTTATCTCATTTGCCATTTACATCATACTAAGAATTCCACAAACTTTACTGCTTTTTGGGAATAAAATATATTGCCAAGCCAACCTTATACATGCATATACAGTCCTGTTCTCCAGAAACTCAGTCATGGTAGCGAACAGGTGCAGTTGCTGTTTTTTTCTTTTTCTCTTTTTCTTTTTTTAAATAGTAGTGAGTTAAGTTTTATCATAGCCTTCCAAAAAAAAAAAAGTATCTGGTGGAGAATGCTCATCAGCTTAATCAACTTAGGCATATTAAGATGCCTGCAAGTATTTCTGTAATGAAAACGGGAAATTCTCACACTGGGATACACCTGCTTTCTACACATAGATCATGTGTTTCAAGCATTGAGGCAAAAATTAGCAGTAAAGCAAACATTTTGTGCTCAGATTTATCAGAAGCAAATAATAATTGGAAGCTTTATCCACTATTAGAAACATTGATGCCTTTAAGTAGTAAATCCCCAGACATATAACATTGTTTCAATTATTTTAAACTTCTTTTTTTTATTGACTCTAAACATGTGATAACTTGGAGTCCATTCAAAGACTGTTTAACCTCCAACAATTCTACCTTCTTCCTAAAAGTATTATTAAAAACTAAGCCCAATGAGTAACTAAAGGCAAATTTTTCATGGCAAGAAACAGACATTCCTTTTCTTCTGCAAGTTAAACTCAGAGATCTAATCTGTCATTTCATAAATGTTTCCAGATACTCCAAAGGCTTTCCCTTTCAAAGTAGCATCTGCATACCAAAGAATTTTCATGGTGTCTCTTAAAAAATTCAGTACAAGCACGATATGAATGATGGAACTTTTCTGGAATGTGCTACAAAGCCTTTGTGGTTGAAGACAACTGCTGAACCAGTAACAAATGTATTTTTACTTTACTTATGAACATAAAAAGCCCACAAAACACACAGAACCTGGTCTACCATTACGGAATTTGAAGGGAATTTAACCACCACCTTTACTGGAGAAACAGGGCCTTAAGCTGTATTGCTGCAGTAATCTCCAGGTTCCTTGCTTTGATGAGAAGAACTAAGTACAAAAGCAACCTGACTCAACTATGGCCAAAAGCTTACGTGGACCTTATTAACACCATTAAAATTAGTTTTAAACTAATCCACTGGATTATCAAAAGCATATTTCAATATTTCCTACCAAATTGTAATAGCCTTGTCGTCTTCCACAGGACACTGCTTAGTTGTCTACACAGTGTCACCTGTGTAGGTGTGAGCCAAAGCTGGCCAGTGTATAAGCACATCTTGAGGAGAGATGAACTTCTGAATTGGAGCCACAGCCAGCAAAAACAAGCAGTTACTGTAAGCTTGCCTAAGACACTGAGCGGTGTGCTTTGAACTGCATAGGTAAGGTCATTATTAGAGCTGTTGGGCATTATTGCTTATTTATTGAATATTCAACATAAATGCTTTGTATGCTTTCCTATTCCTATCATCATCTGTGTATAAAAGAAACAAAAGTGGCAGTATGAGCTTAAAATGGACATTACATACCTGGTACGAATTCAGTCTGACAAAGCTTTGGTAACGCCATGTTTAAAAATCCACCTTGATTTTTGAAACACCATAGAGCTTTCCAGCTTAACAGACTGTAACACATCCAACTCTGTTTTCCTTGTATGAATTTTTCCTGCCCTCCTTTATGCTTTAATTTACTCGATTCCCCACTTCCCATTTATCTCTGTACTGTGATATTTTCTATCATGTGCTATGACATGCCTCCCAAACGCCAAACTTCTACCGTCTATAGGCAATTCCCGTAACTCAACACATGCTCTCTGCTAAGGGCAAGGAAACAAACAGGCCCTCATTTGACATTTGCTCATCTTCCCAACCTGCATCTACCTCATCAGCTTTCACAAAGAACCTTCATATTGAAATGAGAAAGTATCCAAAGCATCTTCTCCAGTTACTGTGATATTCTGCTCATAGGATTACCAAATGAAATACTCCAAAAGCTTTTAGCCCACAGCTGTAAAACAACAAAAAGCACAGCAGCAGCAGCAAACGGTAGCAGCAGCACAGGACATGCAGTGAGGTAAATACACAATCCATACATTAAACAAAGGCATGTACACAACAGGCAAAAAATAAAGGGCCACATAGAGTAAGACAGCCTCTTACACGTCTGCCTTTGTTAGCTGGAATACAGGAAGGAGAGCGCTTTAACAAAGAAAGGAGGAGAATATGTTACAAAACCGAACAGTGACACATACATCAGCTCAGAATTCGTCACTCTGTATCTCCAGAGGTAGTGTTTAAACACACACAAACATGTTCATTTTTACAAGTATTTTGAAAACAAGCTATTCTGGGGCAACAAGAGGGAAGAAACATCAGAAAAAAGGAACAGTTATTTTAAAGTCTATAGTTTTACACTGGACAATAGCAGTGAAACTGCAGACTACGTTACACTAATAATTTGCAGTTAGCATCTCTGTACTTTGAACAATACGAGTAAAGCAATCTCTTGGCGGCGCAGTATGTCCAGTTTAAAGTATCATTAAGAACCAGAATTATTCTAATCTTAATTATGAATGTGCAGGTAGAGTCAGGGCTCTCACCACACACCACTATGGCTTATTCTGTTTAATAACGAGAATTCAGAACATGATTTATTCTGTGGTTATTTACAAAGTTCAGATTTGTTTAGTCTAACCAAAGCCCATGTGAGGACAGATTGCAGGAGGATTTAAGAAATCTGTTTTTAATTCGTAATGTGTTGATAGGAGAAAAACAGTATTTTCTAGCAAGTGGGGAAAATAATTTTGTCAAGGGAAAATGGGATTCCATTTTATTGTTATTAAATAATCACAAATTCATCTTTAAATAAAACAAGTTGATTGCTTCTAGTAGCTAGTGAGATCCACAAAGATCCACTTGGCAAAAAACCAAACCTCAACACTTCCATTATCAGACACTTCTAGTGAACACAGGAGACTTAACACCTAGACAACACTACTGAGAGACAGCCTGCAACACACAGGAGAAACAGCGGCAAGGATTTAGAAATTAGTATATTAGAGTCACTGGGGGCGACTTCCCCTCCCACCAAAATCGGAAACCAGGGACAGCAAAACCCATTCCTACTCCCCTTTGCGCCCTCCCGTGTGCACAGGAGATACGAGGATCATTTCTGAACACATGGGCTTTCGCAGCTGTGAGGATTTAGGCACCAGTTCTGCCAGCCTGACCAAGTATCTTTTCAAGGAGGGACAGCTGGAACCAACGGTGACTGCTACTCATCTGAATAGTGAGCTACCACTTTTCTTGCTCAGCATCTGCAGGCTACAGAGGCAGCAGGACATCTATTTTTACTTCTCTCCAGTAGAAATTGCAAAACTACCGTTTTCCTCATTGAAAAAATTAGAATTAACTCCAGTCATTCACAGAGTGCTATAAACAATTACGTTGTTTGGATGGCAGACACACAGGAGGTACCCGCCCTAGTAAACTCCAAACGTCATCGGTGGGCCAAACTCAGTGCTGCTTACACATCTATGTTAAACAGACTTCAGAGATCTTGCAGAGAGTGCTATGTAACTGCAACTGCCTATTATTTTACACTCTCTCTGTCATTTCTTAATGAAGCACAGAGGGTGAAGAAACAATATGGGCCATCAGTAATATTTACTTTGGGTTCTTGATTGCAGGAGAGGCTTTCCTGAAACCCATGCAATATTGCAGCACTGCAAGAGTCTGACCTGAGGACTTCTAATTCTTCCTTGGTCTTAATATAAAGAACCCACACGCTTCTCAGGTTTGATTGAGCACAGATTAATTCTTCTTGGGATGCTGCAAGAAACACTGCACTTCAAGGTAACTACTGTCAAAAAGAGACATTGGAAAGGGAATGGGAGGTCACATCCAGTGGGGAGCCATTTATAATACCCTTATTTTCATTTAAGTCTGCTTAATACATAGATATTGAACCAACTCAATGAGCTAAAACATAAATAACCATTCATTTTGATAATTCAGAGGCTATATATTATGAATCTCTCTATGAATTAATCAAGTAATTGTCCAGTAAACGAAAGATGCAGAACTGACTTTAAGCACAACTTAATTATACCACCTTTCACCTACTAACGCGGACATCAGCTTTATTTCTCTTTCTAATAAAGACAGGTAGCTCAACAAGTCTTGTATTTGTCTGCAAGATACTCTTCCCATCTTTGAACAGTCAACTCTCTTCTTCTGCAGTTTTGCCAGATGAGAAAGAACTCTGCCTCGGTGTTAGACACGTTAGCCCCTGGCCAGTCCAGTCCAGAAATGTACTCTTGCCCAATGCAACTGAGAAAAAAACGCTCCCGTTCCACTCAGATTGAAGATGTAACAGGGGAAGTTTGATTCTGCGTGTAATAAGTCATCCACATGCAACAATATACACATTAATACCTGGAGTTTTACCTAAGACTAAAAGATGGGTATCTGGAAAGATTTGATCTGGGTAGACCAATCAAGAAGAATGTCTGAAAGGATGTACACCAACAGTTGAAAACTATTCACTTGCATAGATTAAAAAATGTGATTTTGTCAAAATGCTTGTGAAAAAAATATGCTGCCTTCTTTAAAAAGAAAAAACAACCAACAATAAATACAGAATAAAGTACCAATGTCCTTCAAAACTAACTAGATAGCAACCATGAAAACTTTCTTAAGTTTCCCCTTGCAAAATAGAATATTATCAGCTATGCTGCCACATATGTACTTTATTTCTCTTTTAACAGGTTTTAGGAGAGAGTATTAGATATTTTTAAAGGTAATGTTCTATGAAAGAACCTGCTGATACAAACTAAGTGTTCCTAATACTCAGGCAAGATAGAGAACACTTCTTTAATCCAGATAAAGGATATAAATATTATTCATTTATTGTAGATTTAACATGACAGGAAACTGTACTCTTGGTTTTTTTGTGTAAGAAAATTCCAACGATATCAGCAAGACAAAATTTTCTATATGCTATACAAAAATGCAGGCAAATACCTTCTACTACGGTACCACAGACGTACCTTCACATTTTGTCTAAGGTATATACCTGATTTACAGAAAAAAAGCATCTAGAAGAAAAGCTGTAGATTTAACAGGAAACTGTACTCTTGGTTTTTTTGTGTAAGAAAATTCCAACGATATCAGCAAGACAAAATTTTCTATATGCTATACAAAAATGCAGGCAAATACCTTCTACTACGGTACCACAGACGTACCTTCACATTTTGTCTAAGGTATATACCTGATTTACAGAAAAAAAGCATCTAGAAGAAAAGCATTCTTTCAGAGTTTGTGAAAGGAAATGCAATTGGTAGAATAGGCCCATATACTATATCCTCTTTGTTACAGCCCTCACAGCAGACATTTCTAGAATACATTTCTAGAATAAAATTAATTATATCACATTTTAATGCAAATAGGATTGTACTATTTTAAATACCGATGTATAAATACGTATGTGTATACACATATATACAAGCAGACACAGACGTACACACACAATATACCTACAGAGTTGTAATGCATGGTTCTCTACCATGGATGCATAGGGTATATACTTTGATTTTAAAAAGATTATTATTATTTACTTTTATGTGCCTACTACTTCAGTCTGGAAGAAATATAATGCAGTCAATTTTCAGCTTTTAACTCAATTCCCTTAGTACGCAATTAACTAGGGTAAATATTTAAACACTGCCCTGACAGAAAACTAGCATCTCAAATGGCAATAAAAAGTAGTCAGTTCACTTCAGTTATAACGAAAATTACTTCTTATAATACAGGCTAAAAAAGAGACAACATTTTATCTGAGCAAACAGAAATTAACTGTATGCAAGGAAAACAATTTTCACTGAAGTGATCAGAAAACTTTTGGAAACAGCTAATGATAAAGTAATAATATGAAGCAATAGAACTAAATGAAATAAATGTGCCAGTAATTTTTGAAACATTTTCCACAGGCCATATCAGTAGATAAGGCCCCAAAGCACCTTCTCCCCATTAGAAAAACTGTTTGCAATTAAGAATTCTTCACCTGCACCTAAAGAAAAACATTTACTTTAGAAATGAACATCTATCTATATATATAAATAGGTTTAAGTATGCTATTATAGAAATATTCTGTTCTCCACTGCACTTGCAGATTTTTTAAGTTGACTGCACTGATGTTTGAATATTCCAAATCAATCAGATGATCTCTGTTACTGAGGGATTTACTGGTTTGAAAGTCAAAGACTTACATCATCCATAAAATCAATCAATGAGGATGAAGAGGAGGAAAAGGAATCCTATTTTAATGAAAATAGCAGTGAAAAACAGAGAGAGAGAGAGAGAGAGAGGAGAGAGAGAGAGAGAGATGGATGAAGAAAACTGTTCAGTATAAATAAAAGTGCAAAACCAAAGAACTGTAAATAAGTAGTGCCAGTAACAGTTACCTCAGTAAGTTTTCATTAATTGCCTTTCACAGACAATTAATCAATAAACTTCCTGTATAAAACCCAATGTTCTTCCAGTATTCACTCAATAAAATAATATTCCTACGCTCCAACAGGATTTTTATATTGAAAGTAACTTGTAAGATAAATAATTAAAAAGCAAATTTAAAAATTGTATTAATTGTGAGGACTTCAAGAGAGAACAATGAATTAATGAATACACAATGAAAAGAAAGTAAATTTTGGAACATCAATAACATCACGGATTATGCTCTTTCATAGCTAAATGTGATGACCTTGTACACCCATCAGAAAAAAAAAACAGGGGCAAATTTGACACCAATGTGTAACTGTAAAGGTGGTGCCTTGTCCCCTCTGAATTCAGTTTGACCAATATTTCACCCCAGCTGTTCTTTTAAAAGAAAAATGATGCATTGCTTACTGTTGATTAAAAAAAGAAGATATGAAATTTATAGTATCATTTCAATTTTTTTCTTCCAGGTTTTCTACCTAAACCGGTCTTTTGTCTAAAAGTGACAAAGGAATTAAACAGATTTATTTTTTCAGTATATAGGATCTGGGGAGAAGAGATGAATAGTAATTATCTGGATTTTACAGATCTGTGTAAAATGAACAGAAGATGAAAACAACCTAATAAATATACAGTACCAATGACTTCATGGAATACATTCAAGGATTATTTATGTATTTTCTCTCATTTTTACCAAACCAGTATCCGCATTATTTAGCATTTTTCTGAATACAATGACAGGCCATTTGAACAACTACATTTTTCATGTTCACTACAAAATCAGGAAAATTTCTGCATTCAAGGTTTGAGAGAGAATTCACTATGATTACTAGTGTTCAAGAGAAGAGAGCCAGCACCATAAATGACAAACAATTCTCACATATTATTATACACAAATATAAACGGGGCAATATGATTAAAATACAGTAGCAAACTCTCAGCAAATATGCATATAACCTGCACATAACAGCAGTAGTCGCACTGACTAACAGAGAGTTAGAAAATCTGTACACTTACTTCAAATTGATCCAGAGCAGAGGTAGGCGCATTCAAAAATGCCAAGAAAGAATTCTGTGAGTCTTGGTGCTTTACACCTAGAAAACAGCAGCAGGTTTTTAAGCTACAGAAAAATGACCTTTTCATGGAGGACCTTTGCCTTGCTGAATCAGGGTTTGAGTATCCACCTGAATCACCTACATTTTTTGAAATGAGTTGTCACATTTGGTTTGTTTTCCAGAGTAAAAGATTTTTTTAATAGACATATACCCACTAAGCAAGCAGCATATGTTTAATTAACCTTTTCCAAGCTAGGATGTGCGTGGTGTGAATTCAACATGAAAACACACTCTATGTACGTGCCTATTATGCAGAAGGCGCAAGTTTCTAACGTGTCTGTTTGCAACATGCGCTGCATGACATACAGGCATGCACGCTAACGCAGCAGTTGCCATCCCTGCTCTAGTCACACGCTGGGTAGACTATCGTGACAAGACAGCCTTAGCAAACGGTGAGGTTCCACAAAAAATGTACAGAACAGGCTGTTTGAGGAACACGCTGCATTTCCAAACAATACGAGTTCCTTGACCCATGCTCCATGCCTGTCTGCCACCTCTCACTTTTGAACGTCCACGAGTAATACAATCCTGGGTAAAGCTTCAAACGTCTCTGTCACGCTACACCATTTACATGGTTTTCAGCCATCCTCCAGAGCCACAGAGGCTGGCACATCTTGACTGTTATTTTAACTTGCTTCAACTGATACATTTTTTTCTTCTTCTTCTTTTCTTTGGGGAATAATTCAAGCTGCTGTGTGGGTGTTTATAAATCACAGGTGTGTAAAAACTCTAGCTTCCTGAACACTGTAAGTACATTATATACACATACACTTATTATGACCAGAGCCTGCAGGACTCTGTGCATCTCAAAAGACTGATGCTATTAGAAGTCACTTACTTCTTTTAAAAAATGTCAGTGTCTTGCTCTAACTGGCCATATCACCCTGTTTGCTCTAAATATAACCCACAATGAACAAAGAAGGTAAAAGAACCCTTTCCTCTTCAAAATATAAATACGCTGAAACCCCAGTAAGACTAAAAACAATTCTCAAATTACCTGCTACTTTACAGAACCATTTTTAGTAATCTTTTTCCCCACCCTCCTCAGTTTCTGGGACACGTTTATAAAGAGCAAAGAATTCAAGTGCTAATCTAAGTAATTTCTTCCTAGAAATCAATTTCCACACACAGGAAGTTACTCTACCACTGTACATTGACTTTGAATCCTCTATACAGTTCATGATTCAAGCATCAATATATTTCTTCCTATAAGAGAAAACCAAGTCCAAAGATAATAAGGATTTTGGATTAAGGTGTATTTCTATCAAAATATTTGAATAGTTGCAGTAGAATCTTATTAATTTACTTCTGGCAAAAAGCATAATAACTAACTTTTCCTCGAATAGTTTGTTGTTTGTTTGTTTTTTTTTTTTTTAAAGAAAAGAGTAAATGTCAATCCCTATTTTCACAAAAACAATAAAGTTTTAAACACTGGAAAAAATACAGGGTAAAATATTAATTATAAATTCTTAACAAATTGTTTAATGCAAAGGAAGATTTCAGAAGCCAAGTAACCACACATAATATTTAAGACAGCTCAAGAATCTGTAAGTGAAAGCTAAACATGACAAAGCATTATTGTCTCCAGGGATATGCTATCAAGAGTTCCTCTCCGAGCACTTGGAAGAAGCAGAATCCTGGCATCAGTGCTAAGCATCAAGATGAACAAGTATCAATTCCCTAAGCCTTATTTGCTAGTCAGCACCAGTCATTTTTTAGTGTTCTGTATAGGTTTGTATTATTTTTACCAGTCAACCAGCACTTGGAGGCCTATATATAGGAGATAAATGTTAACTACAATACAATACTGATTGACATGCTGTTAGGTTGCAAAGGCTGAACAATATTTGACATCCTATGCAGCAATTGTTGCCAGGGTTTTGAAACTCTGGGGTTCAAACAGTTCCCTACAGAAAATCTGGTAATTCCATTTGGTCTGAAAAATCACTTCTTCCCACGTGACTCAGAAGATACAAATATTAGAGCTATTACGGGAACTGCAAAGAATCAGCCAAATCATTAATCGTATCTCAATGAAAATTTTTTTCATTTCAGAATTACCTAAAAATCTCTTCTCCCAGCAACAATGTGAAATACTGTTAGACAGATGCACTAGAAATCCCAGAACATACTCTTAATATCACAGCAAAGCAAACGTGACCACACTGCTCACTACGTGGTTACAAAGTCAATCAACGAAGTCATCCCAGAAACAAATGAATGCTATGAATGCCTCTGCAGTTGTTTACTCTCTGTGTAGACAGGGCCAAAACATTCATAGATTAAGAACACTATGATCAGTATTGAAGTCTAAATATCTTCACCCATCATAAAGGGGAAAAAATTACAAATATATCTATAAGTCTAACAGTTTTCCGGCAGTAAATCACCATATATATGCCAAATAAAAATAACGCAGTTCCAACTCAAATAATACCTTACTGGTTCAAGTATATCAACAAAACTGAAGTGTATTACAAGCATGTATTAGAAGTGCAAATGCAACTGCTGTGGGTACATCTTAACATGCAATTGTTGTGCTCACATTTTGTATGCCAAAGTCTGTTGGTATCATATTTTAGTTGCAAGGTGACACTTAATTGATAAGATGTACCCACCAATGTGAAACATGTTATTTACTTGGATATCGGTTGCCATACCCTTTTCTGATCTAAGCTCTTCTGTCTCCTTTTTCAGCCTTTCAATATCTGTCAACAGTTCCATGTTCTTCTTCTCAGATTCTTGCAATTTACTTCAAAAGAATACAAACAAAAAACCTATGTAAATATTGAGAATCCATGATACAAGTCACATTTTTTGTCCATCTTTGCATGCTATTTAAAACTTAATGCCCAGCAAGCTTCATGATGTCATCAAATGCCAGCATGAATTCAGAAATCTATTGGGACCTGTTTAGTATGGTATCTTAAAAAAAAAACAGAACAAGCAATTAGTTGCCCCTGTTTACCTGTTAAATAGGCTTGTGTTTCTAATTTATGAGTAATTGTGTGAGCTTTTATCCCATGAATGAGAAAAAAAGACCATATGTATTTTTATGCTTTAAAATTGGGGGGTTTTTTATTTGTTAATTCACAGCACCTGGGATACTAACAGATTATGTTGAACTATTTTTCTTCTCAGTTACTTTACAGTTAGTTGTTTCAGTGCTTTCCGATTCACAGCTGATAGGTAACACTACTATGCATTTCTACCACACTTCTCGTCCTTGCCTATCAAAGCAAACACTGGTTCTCCTCCTCTTAGAGGATCTACAAATGCTGCCTATCATCATGTTACCTGGCCTGAAAAACACCCAAGTCAGGTGGACAAGGTATTCCCACTTTACAGATAACATACTTGAATCTCAGCTCTGTCCAACTGCTTTCCTAAAGCTGCAAAACAAGTCAGTGCCCTGAGCTAGACTGAAGCTGGAGACCTAGAAATAGAATGTCTTCCTACTAATCCCCTGCTTCAGACATTCACCCAACTCAGAATAAATTTTGTAATTTGTGGGACGGGGGGGATGGGGAGAGAGGTCTGAGGAAGGAATAAAAGAATTCATAATCTTCCATAAGCACATCTTATTACTGTGCAAATCAGTGTGCAATGATAGGTTTTCGTCAGCTAACCCAATGCAACTATCAGTAGAATGGAAAAGAGTATGTTCTAAGATACAAACCCAAACTCTGCTTGCACTTGAACTTGTTATCACAACTAGGAGAGATTCCATTCTTAAAGAGAAAGTGTCCCCTCTGAAAGTCTTCAAGATTTCAAATTTTCCCAGTAAGTGTTCAGCTGCTTACACAATGAGGAGAGGTCTTTTTTTCACATTTGGATATAAGAAACTGGCATATGATTCATTATCAGATTTTGACAGACAAGATAGTTAAAATCATGACTTGATGACACTCCCTGGGAGGTGTCAAAGTAAATTTCCATCAGAACAATTCAGTCTTACCACTCTGTAGAGATACAGGAAGCTTTGACTTTATTCAACTCATCTTGAATAGCCTGTTTGGCTCGGATTTCAGCATCAAGAGCAGACTGTAGTTCCAACCTTGCAGACATATCCAGTTTTGCAAAGCGGCGCATCTTCCAGGGCATGTCCTAGTAAAGAATAAAAAAGGGAGAAGAAAAAGTAAGAGGAAAGAAGGCAGAAAATGAGGAATGTAACTAACTTCTACAATTACGCTTCTCAGTCTATTATGTTCTTAACATGAATTCATTAACTCCAAAGTAATCTAAAATTAAAAAAATAAGAGAGTACTCTTATTAGTATTATTATTTTTAAACTCAAGTACTAAATAGGCAAGATGAACGTCTTACACTGTCATGATCTCAAAAGCAAAGAGATTTTGTGAATTCAAGTTTTGATGTGCCTCAATTCAAGTGACAGCTATGAAGGACTTTCACATTTCAAAAGTGAAAGATTTTGAGGCTTTCATGACCCAAAGTATAGATTTCCTTCAACGAATTCATGTATGATCATAAAATAGCTACTTGAACAATGTAATAGATAAAATCACATTATAAAGATATTGGTGTTTAATTAATTGATAAACAATAAATTTGCTATTCAGTTATTCAGAAGGGAATCTCTAGGAAAGTTTACTTTTTGACTAACACAGGCTCTACAGACAGGTTATTACTGCAGCTGAAACTATCAAATTAGTGTTTTTTCAAACAAACAAAAAAATCTGACATATGGAAGTAGAATCTTACTGTAGCTCTTGCACCCAAACTGGAGTTCCTCAGGGCCTCTAGTTCTTCTGTCATTTTAGAGGCCAAGGCTTGAAGATAACCTCGAGCATCTTTTTCATCACTTACCCTAAACAATTACATTAGAAGAAAAAGGTGTTTTAACCAAAGAAGCTAAAGAAAAAAAAACAAAGGTCCCTTTAACAAAATAGCAATCAGAAACAGAAAAAAGCAGAATAAAAAACAAAAATCATAAAACATAAGGAAACAAAAAACCCCACAATACAGAAGACCACACAGAACCGAACCTTTGCTGCTTTGTAGAGTTCCAGTAAACAATATGCATCACTAAGACAAGGAATAAAGATTGAAGAACTACATATTTAAGTAAGTCATATATGTCTCAGTATAAATGTCAGCTACCTGAAATTGAGACTGTGGGAAAGAAACCTTTCAGAATTCAACCTATTTTTAGGGAATGAATTAAGACAAAATTTATAACCAATAATTAACAAATCAACCACCCACATAACATTGGAACTAGTGGTTGACTTTACTGTATCAATTGACTATCAGAACTAGTAGTTAGAATCAAACAGTGATGTTATTTCAAGAAATGCTAATTAAATAGGGAGAGTCTAATTCTAATGTTATTAAACAGCAAAAGCCAGAAGAGGCTCTTCTCATTTCCCCAACCTTTCTTTCTATCAAGACATGTTTTCCGGGTGTAAACACATCAAGGAGGAGACATGTCTGTTTTTCAGATTCTTTGATCATCAGTCACGAAGAAAAAAAACCTTTGTGATTAATTACAGCAGAAGGTTCTTTCTTCACTTTGCCTCAGGTATTAACATAGAAAAGAAAGTTGCTAAAAAAATCAGCTCACTGAAACTAAGTAGCTTATGAAAAACCTAAAACAGGGGAGTGGAGAAAAAGGAAAAAAAAACCCAACATTGTCTTTCACCTCACATGCCTGGCTCTGAACATACTCATCTTGCCCACAGAAGAACAAACTCAGTTCTGCAGCACCAGGGCATACCCAAGTCTCTGAGCCAGTCTCGGAGACCCGCAGTCTAACACCACAGCTTGATCACAGTTAGATCTATCAACACTAACCACAGAAATGTTTAGCATGTGCTCTAAGTAATGATCCTCAAATAGTTTTAAATAACTTTTAGGAAAGTGGGAAAATATTTTTTCTACTTCATGGAAATTAACTTATTCTTGCCTCCTGACCATTCCTTAGTAACTGTAATCCTGAGTATGTTGGACTGGAGATGAGAGTTCTCCAGGTGGTTGAATTTGTCTCAGTGACCTCTCTGCAGAAAGGGATTCCCCCTCCGTGCCTACAAAGCAATGTAAGTTTCTCTGGTTGGTACTATGGGGTTCATACACACAGTGAATATGGAAAAGGTGCTACTTGCAAGCTTACCATTAATGAATAAAAATAATATAATGTTTCAACAAAGACTTACAGATAGTCATCAGGAGGCAAGAAAGACAGAGAGCACATACTCTGAACTGCTACAGGCAAGGGAGGAACAGAGGAGCTTTCCCGTAGCAGCCTTAGGGCAAGATCACAATGCAAAAGCTATGGGCTAAACATCTACAGGTTGCAGTGACTTCTGGGCGTGCAGTTTAAGATTTACATAAAGATTGCTTTAATACAGAGGAACCTAATGCAAAAATAGTGACCGTTTGCCACAAAATTCCCACCCAGCATGAAAAAGTAAGCACTTATTCATGCTCTGGGTTTTATCTTCTTTGTCTCCTGCCTACAATTTAGTTGAAGAGGTGGGAAGAAGCCTAGGAAAAAAAACCAAAACAAAACACATGCCCTGACTCTATTAAAAGTCAGTGAGAGTTTTGATATTAATGAGTCAGTATTTTTCCCAAAGTATACCAGAACTCAATGGAAGCAGCATGCCAACTTTTTTTTTTCCATGACATTCTGGATGAAACACATTTTGACAACTAGACACAGATAATCTTGGCCTGTACAAACCACTTAGGGTAGAAGAGCGGGCAAAAGATGTGAGAAGTATTATAAGATGCTTTTGGGGGAGGTGGGAGGGTGCATAATGAAATGCATAGTAAAAAGAAAAGAGTGTAAGTAGGAATAAAGAGAGTGTGAGGTTCTCAAGGTGAGAAAGTAAGTTTTCCTGATGTAGAAGGGGGGAAAAGAAATTTAGAAATCAGCGTTTGATCGTCTCTATTTTTAATGACATGTAAAATCTTTGCAGAAAAAAAAGGGACAATGTCAGATTAAAAATAAAATTGAATTGGTGCCTTATTTTTTAACTTTTCTAATTAAAGAGGAAAAACTTTAAACATCCAATTTCTTTGTCTATATTTATCATGCTATATAGATCCTTCCTCATGGAAGGTGAGAAGACATTTCAGTTATTTGGTTTATGATGCACAGAACCTTCAGGCTCTAAATTCTGAAAAGCTGCACATGCAATAACCTCAGAGAGATGTTCCACAGACCATGTAGAAATCTAGAAAATGAAAATATACATATAAAGTCAATTTCTGCAAAAATCTATCCTGAGTAAGACAGCAAATACAAGCAGTACAATTTAGAGCTGAGATACAGTTTTGTTGTCCACTAGATGGCAACATCCTCTCGATAATGAGACACATTGATTAAACCCAAGAGTTCTTGCAGTTTTTTGATTTGTTACTATTTTGCTGGGGTTTTTTTGTTTGGTTGGCTTCTTTTTAGAAGATAAAGCAAGAATGGTAAAGTTAATCTTACTAATATTTCTCTCCTTGCCACCCCTCCCTGTCTTGCAGAGAGCCCTAACAAGCACAGCAGAAGACCTAAGGAAGAAAAGTTCTTTAGGTTCCACCCAGAGTAATTTCTTTCTTTACTGAAAACTTAGATTAGATGAACTGTTCTGTTTTCATATATAAGTGCCCTTGCAAGCTTAGTTCGTTAACTACAGAACAGCGATATAGTACAAATTCCTCTAAAATTTAATTTCACTTTTTAGTTGGAGCCCACATCGTGACAACCTTCAAATAACCATTGACCAATATCTAGTATGTTATTGGTCAGGCTGCTAAGAACCTCAGTCTCTTCCAGGTCTCTCTATCTGGGATACTTTACAATACAAAATGGACCCAGAGGACTGAAGATTTTTTGCTGAACAGGAGCAGTCTTGAAGCCCTGGGATCTTACACCAAGCTGCATCTTACCCGATTTTAAAACCCCAAGGAAGCCTGTGGGCCATGACTCCCATTTCTCCTGTAGTTTCTCAATGCTTTTAAATTTCTGTCTTCATATCACTATGCTCAAAGCCTCCAACTTAATTATTTTCTTTTTCTCCTGCCCTCTCCAACAAAATGTGTTTTTTAAAACTACTTCTGTAAAAATTTTCAACATTTCACCCTGCTCCCAAACCCTGACATTTCCCCCTGCCCTCCAGACTTTCTATTTTATAGATTAACCTCTGATTATTCTTACCTCAAACAATGCATCTCAGAATTTTTCATGTTTTGAGTTTCTTACAGTTGAATTTGACCAGAATTTTTGCTAAACCTTTTTCACAATTTGTGTGTGCTTTCTTCTCAGTGCAACAAGCTTTCAGAAAAAAACCCAAAACAACAAAAAAAACCCCACAAACAAACTTTGGGGCTTTTTTATGTTTGATTTAATGCAGAAGTGTTTGGGGGTTTTGGGGGGGTTAGCTTTTTGCGGTTTTGTTTTGTTTGTTTTTTAATGAAATCAATAATTAAGATAAAATCAACCATAGCACAGCTGATTGGAAAGATGCCTAGTCAGCAAGGAGAATATTAACTGAATCTTCTGGTAAACAACAGTCACAGCTTCTGGCCAGCTGAATCTAAGCCTAACATCCACTCTATAGGTAAATCAGGTAGGATTTAGCTCATCCCTATAAACATACTCAACAACACAGAATTCTTGATTTGAACTAGTTTTCTACGCTGCCTTTTCAATCAGTGGGGAGAAAAAGAGACTTCTACAGTACTAGTCATGGGATTTATTTTAGTTGCCTACCTTAGGACTTCTAAAACTAGGTTACATGAATCCCTCCCAGAGAGACTAATAAGTTAAGATTCTTGCCAAGTGCTCTGGGAATCACTACCAAGATTTCCATCGACCTCCTTTCTGCAACAGAACAGAAATACTGCACACCATAGCTATTTAAAAGATTCCTTTTTAAAGTGACTGCATTAACCTCCTATGCAATGAATCTCTTTCCCATCTCCCATAGGAAAATTTATAGCTGACTATAAAAGCCCCAATATTTCTTACTCTTGTCAAGGAATGATGAGTGATTTTGCAAATATAAACTTGTCAATATAATAGCTCCATTAAGGCTGAATGATCTGTGAGGGTCTATTGCTACGACATTAGAATTTGCAATGAAAGTTTGATTCAAGTGTTTATATTAAGATTTTGGCTATATTTACGGCATCTTGGGATAATAACAGCAAAAATAAAAAGACTTTTGTACATTTGCCCTAAACAAGATTCAAGAGAGCACAGTAAGAAAGAAGGGAAAGGCTAAAGGGAACATGATAGGCCATTAAAATTACTCACAAGTTATAAAATCTGAAAGAAATAATTTAGAAGGCCCCAATAAGTCGTAAAGAAAGTGACAATATTTACCACCCAGAACGTGGGCTCGAATAGTGGGGCAGATTTCCTGAGAGAGATATCTATTAGATGTCAAAGCACTCAAAGGAGGTAAGGGACTCCTTGGGCTTGTGTTACGTAAAACAGGGTTAGAACAAATCCCTTGAACTACCACAGGCAGCTGAGCAAACTGTTTACAAAACCAGTAATTAATTCCATCTACTGCCTCCTACCCTTCATGAATCATGGTACAAAAAGAAGACGGTAGGCAAAACCCATTTTTAAGAGGTGGAAAGTATGCACCCAAAATACATATTTTAAAGTAATATTATGCGAAAAATCTGTTAGTTTTGAAGTGGGAGCCTACAAACTCTACCCTACTTTGTTAGCTCCAAGGCATTCTGTTGTCATACTGAAGAGGTGGACAGGTATGGATTTAAATTGCATGTTCTTCTGAGGAAAACATAGGCTTGTGACTGATTAAATAAGATTAATTTTCTTCAAAGTTAGGGGTTTTTTTTCTTTTAAAATGTTTATCATTATTATAGATGTTTAAATACTTCATGTAGCACCCCATGTTCCACAGCAAAAAATCCCCAGAGAAGGACCTAATGTCAGTATGCAGTGCTGAATTCTAAGGACAGCAGATGGACATGACCAGATTATCTGGGTAACACATGGAAAATCTAAACATTAATAATTTGAAAAAAAAATGTGAGCCAAGATATGGCCCCACATAGCTGAAAAAAAATTAACATAAGCAGAGAGAAGTATGGAGGGAAAATTGAGATGTGTACAGTGATTAAAAACTGGAATCAAGCCAGATTTTATGATCTCCTTAATGTTTGCTCACAGTACTTCTATTTTTTTTTTCTTTTCACATAATTCTTGAATTTTTAGTTCCATACTTTTTAAAAGACACTATATTATAAGGGATCAGTAAAATGGTATCTTTCATTCAGAAAGTTAGTCTTGCATGTTCCTGATCTTTTTTCGTTAAGTATCTTTAGAGATAACAAAAAACTCAATCCCAAACCTCTTTTACCTCCCAGTGACATCTCTAATACGTGCCAGATGCTTTATCATATACCTGAACCACATCAGTAGTACATCTTAAAATATTAAAACACACTCATAAATTGGAGAAGGGACATTCTTAATGGCTGGTGGTACATTTTTACATAGTGTTAAGTAAAACAATCCACAACTAATTCTGACTTGTCTTTTTCCAGAACTGCCAAGTTTTATGAGTGCTTTCACATGTAAATCTGAAAAACAGGGTTTGGTTACCTTGGTGCATTAAGACAGATAAGCATTACCTTAAAACGATATGGACTATGAAATAACAGACTTGTCTCTCTTGTTACCTTGATTTTTTTCTGCATAAACATTTCTGACTGGCTAGAAATTAACTGTTCATTTAAACAACTTTTATGTATTTTTTTTATTTCTGTGACGCAGGCTGTCTACCACATTCACAGTTATGAGAGACAAGATTTAAAAGGAACACACACAAAGTGGACCCTTTAAATTTTTTAACCCCTGCTACGAATACAATGCCTTGAGACACTATGGACTCCATAACACATAATTTTATGTAACAAACACTGTTTAAAACGCTTCCAGAAACCCAGAGGGCAGCCCTTCTTTCTTGTTACGTATTCACATGGCTATATTCAAAAGCCAAAGTTCTCTGTATTTGGACAACAAAATTTTACTGACATTACAACAATACCAAACTAGGTTTCATTAAAACAAATGTTTCCCATTTTTGCTTTGACACAACAGATCAGATTTTTTCACTAACATGAGATGGAAAAAATGGGAGGGGAGAATGAAGTAGTAAACCAAAAAAAAGATCAGTATATGATGACGAAGTCCTCCCAGAAGTGGATGATCTGTAACAAAAATGTCTGGATGCAAACCATTTTTGTAGATGCTAAACACTGCAATGGAGCATAAAAGGGGAGGGGAGAGAAGCAGGCACAGAGAGGAAAAATAAAGGCCACCTAGATAAAACAATCTTTTTCTCCTAATAGATTCAGCTTGGATTTTTTTCCTTAATTTATTAGAACTGGACAGAAGACTTTAGAAACATAACATCATTATTTAGCAAAAATATTATTAGAAACATCACTTGACTGGCTTTGTGGTAGTCTCAAATGCCCTCCTTGGAAAAAAATCACATAAAAATTGCACTGTATTTGTTTCATTCTGCCACATGCCAAGCAGATGAAGGAAGTTAATGCCGAGACACAAATACTCTCAGCCACTGCTTTTCCCAGGCTCGTTCCCTCTCGGAGGCGTGAGCTCAGCACATGACTCCTTCCAGCATTCTTCCAAAGCCACAAGCCACACCCAATGGCCATGATTCTTCTGCACTTAAAAAAGTTGTATTTGGTAAGATACTTTTACTCTTAAGGAGGAACACAATTTTCCGGATTTGGATATTATTAAATTCTCAAGCAAAAATACAGCAGAATCCCAGGCGGGTGTGAGATTTCACCTAAGCACTTGCAAGTGCCATGTGCAAAGGCAGAAACTCAGTAACAGCCCTACCACATACTGAGGGCATCCTGCAATGACATTAGAGCAGAGTATTCACCATTGGATGATCTCAGTAATTTGGGCCTCCCAGTGGGCCACGGACTCCTTTTTATCAGCCAGGTCTCTCATCTCTTCTTCCAGCTGCCGGTTATTCACACTCAGCCTCTCAAACATGGTGGTGAGCTGAATAAAAATTTAAACAACTTGTTAAAGGTATAAGCTGCTGTGACTCCATCTCTGTGCAGACTCAAAGCACGTGTTCCCCTCTCCCACATTGTGCATATGCTTTAAAAATTGGTACTACCCATCACAATAAACACCATGTTACAATAAAAGCCAGAATCTCTTCTCATGTATGACCTTAGCTGTACTGAAAGGCCATTTTTAAGGACTAGAACTACATTTTTACTCTAAGAAATTAATTAGTTTTCTGAGAATTAGTCTCCAAACACCTCTACAACTCTTAGAAGGTTTCTGCTTTGCACCATATAGGTGTGGAATATTCTATATAGAAAAACCTACATTAAAAGAGCAAAGCAAGGGCACAAAAATTGTTACAGCTCAGATAAAACTGCCGAACATCTCCCTTGTTTAGTAACCATGGAGTATGAAAGGCTTAATAGATACAGGCGCGAGTCAGTCCTGAGATTCTCCAGGTGTCTCGCATTCCCCTATTTTTCATTTTACATACTTGCAGACAGGGAAATTGAAATTAAATGCACATCTGTAAGTACAATATGTTATACCTAGCAATTAACCTCACTTGCATTCACATAGCTGTCATTCATACATGCACATTCTGCAAGACAAAAGCCACAGCTAACCTGAGTTGGTATTGGGACCTAAACCTTCATTATATTAAATAATTATTCAGAAAGTCAAAGTAGAATCAAATCAAATGGACTTTATAGGAAGGCCTGCTTAGGACAATGAATCTCATGTGAAAGGCTTCTTTTAGTACTGAAATATATTAACAAATCAAAATGATGAAAAAAAAATCAGTTTTAAATCTATTCTGCTTTTTACTTCCGAGTACTCCACTCCGCATTTATCATTTAAATGGGCTTATGATTTAAATATGCCTATTTATTAAATGTCATTTGACAAGAAAAATACAAAGAAGGAAGGGGAAGGGGAAGAGAAAAAAGAGACTGAGCAGAAAAACTATCAAAGTGACTAGTCTTCTAGTGCTCTTGGACTAAGCCTACATATAGACATATATAGTATGCATCTTATACTGGTGTGAAAACATACTTTAATTTGAACACTGACATGCAAACATGCTTACTTTGAAGAACACTGTACTTTCATCACATTTTTAGAAAATTTAATGCATTACAAAAAGAATAGACAAGTTTAGCAAGACTTGGCTAATCCACAATGAACTTGAATAACCTGTCAAAATGAACAATAAAGAGATAATCTAAATGCACAGAACATAATTATTCCTCGCTCAACACACTTCAATTAATATGCCTTATCATTTGTATTTTTTTAATATCTCAAAGTAACACTTAATCTCAATGGACAGGAGGGGCTCTGCTATTTCACAGTAATTGACATGCAAATATACTCTAAGTGATCACATCATTAACTATGTATTTTTATAGTTGGGTCATACAATGAAATAATCTTTTTTTTTCCCTTAAGATATTGTCTAAAGTTAATCTTACCAAACTGTAATACCATCTAACTCAATTCCTACACATAAATACACATACCTGCATATATATACATATGTACACACATTCTCAAGTTCAGATACATGTAGATACTCTCTATTCAAATCAATTAATCACCACTTTTTGTGTAATATTAATTTCTGCTATCAATTAAGAGTTAATAATAACCAATACAGCTCTACATTGTCCAATTTGTACATAGCATACAGAGGTTGTAAACT